GCCTTCGGTCCTCGAGCTTTGCCAGTCCGTGCCCGGGAGCTGCGTGCAGGTGGAGGGGGCGCCCCGGTGACGGGCCTCACGCGACCCCGGGCAGTGCCCGCCTCCTCAGCGTTCCCGGTGGGCCTGGGGCCGGCACGGAGCGGGGTCCCCGCCCTCCGAGGGCCAGGGGTGCGGAGGCCAGCGGGTTGGGTGTCGGGGACCCGACCCGACAGGAATGCCCGTCCCGGGACCCACGCATCCCAGCCGTGGAGCCCGGGCCCCTCACACTACCGGCTGTGCTGCTCTAGGCCGGCTCCGGGCTCCGACCGCGTGCATCCTTGGAGGCGTTGGGGTGCCGCGCCCCCCTGGGGCCCCCCCCCGGGTGTGCCTCGGTCTCCTCAGCGGTACTGTTCTTGGATCGTGAGCCTGGGATCTTGTCTAGTGCAGCTGCTGATTGGGGGCTGCGGTCCCCCGCGTGACGGCCGTGTGGGGGTTCCTCGCTGTGTGACGACCGTGTGTGGCCCCCCTGCTGCGTGACGGCCGTGTAGGTGAAGCCGCCGCCTGCTGTCTACTCCCCAGCGTCTCAGCCCACCCCCGCGGGCAAGGGCAGCTGATGCCCCCCAAGGACGACCTGCGGGTGCGCGCTTCCCTCCTCCGTTCTGTGTTACCTTTGCCAGTTTTATGTATCATATCTAATAGTATTATTTCCCTTTAAACGATCACTTTTCTTTAGAAGAAATCTTGATTTTTTTGGTAAAGATGTATTTATTTATGCACAGAATTGGGATACAAGCCAGAGGTGCAGGGGCAGAGAGAGGATTCCCCAGAGACAGAGCGGGGAGCAGAATAGGCAGAATGAGGAAGCCCACTGCTGAGGGAGCAGCGTGGGTCCCCTCCAGTGTGGGCAGGATCGAACTCCTGCTGAAGCAGCTTTAGCTTTCCAGTGGTGCACTTTAACCTGCTGCGCCACGATCTTGATTTTTTAAGGTCTTTTGTGTTTGCCGTTTCCAATATTCTTTACTTGTGAAGACCCCCGTTTCTGCCGTGGCCTCTCCCTTCTGCTTGACATCTCTCCTTAGGTGCATCTGCCTGCCGGATCTTGCCTTCATTCGTTCCTGCATCTGCTTCTTTCTCGAGGGAAACCTGCAGCTGTTTTCCTTACTTCTGGCACGTGTCTCTTCCTTCCTCTGCCTCTTAAGATTGGTCGTGGGTTTTCAAGTGACTGAGAGGTGACCCACTGTGCTTTCTGGTATTTACTCTGTGTGGTATTCTAGGTCTGCTTGGCCCTGTGGGTTAATGATTTTAACAACTTGGAAATTTCCATCCATTAATTATTTAAAATTTTTTCTGGCTCCCTCCTTTCCCTTCGCACTAAGACTCCAGTCACACATATGGTGGAAGCTGTGTTTTAAAGTATTTGTTTTGGGACAGTTTCTGCTTTTATGTCACCAGATTTACTGCTTTTTCCCCCTAAGTGTCAGCACACATTCTTACTGCATTATTTTTATTAAGGTAATTTTGGTTTACAGCATTTACATCCAGAGGAAGCGCACACCCTGCAGACGGCATCACCACCACACCCAGCGCCAAGGCTCTTGAGAGCTTCAGCAGTCTGCTGGGCCAGCTCGCTTTCCTCCCCACCCCCGGCCCCTACTCTGTCCCTCACCCAGTCCCCACCCAGGCCCCTTTCTGCCCCCCACCCCGGCCTACCCCTACATACCCCCCCTCCTGCAGCCCCCCTCTCTCCAGGCTCGCTTGGCGCGGGTTGGCTGTTCCCGTCTCTCCAAAGAGTTGGTGCCGGTCTCTCTGGGTCGTGTTCTTGCACGCAGGCTTCCAGTTTCCCAGCCCTTCCGTTTCCCCAGGTGGGGGCGTTCCAGCTGTTGGTATTCTGGCAAGCCGTTTGCTGGCCGCCCACGTGTGAGCAGCGGCCTGTCAGTGCACCTGCCAGCCGGAGAGCCTCAATCCTTGATCCTCGCTTTCTCCTCTCTGCCCCTGAGGCTCTGGTCCAGCAGCCGCCGCGCTGCATGTTGGGCTCAGGCCCTCGCTGCCAGGAGGAGCCGGCTCTGTGAGCCGCCGCTGCCACAGGAGGCCGCGTCCAGTGAGGGGCACCCCACGCCTGCGTCTCTGCTGAGCCTTGCTGTGGGGCCTCTAGCCGGGGGGCTGGTCCACCTGGCCGGGCTTGCTCGGGGGTCACTGCCCTGCACGCGGCTGCAGCCTTGGAGTGCGCACCGGGCTGGCCTGGGCTACGGTGAGCAGAGCTACCGGGGCGTCTTCGGTTGCAGATACCCCATGTCGCCCCCACCCATTACTGAGTTCCAAGAGCCGGAGGGCTCCGTCCCCCGCCTCTCCTCCCCCAACCCCCCCAGGCCAGCGCTGGGAACGACTGATTTGGGGGGCCCCTCACCCACCTGCAGGCTGGCAGCCTCCTAGTAAAAGCCACTCCCGAGGCCTTTTCAGGGCGACCCCTGGAAACAGGGGTGCCACCTTGAACCCTCATGTCATTCATGCAGAAGACGACTAGGCCACCTTTCCCCAGTGCCAGCGAGGTGGGGCACTGCGGGCGCCGCGTTACCAATGTTCCTCCAGAACCCTCTGTGCCTGGAAGGCGCGCACCGCTCTCCTGTCCCGTCCTCAGATTTCAGCACAAACTTCACCTTCTCAAGGCACTTTCCTAGATTCTCCCGATAAACCACCTCTCCCTGCTCTGTGCTCCTAGGGGCTCCATGCGTCACCTCCCACCTTCACAGTTCTCCCACACGCTATAACTAGGGACACTAAGTCACTGGCAGGGTGTTGTCCCCCCCACCCCAGCCCTGGGGTGCACTCTCGATAGGTGGTGTTGGGACCAGCTGGGACCCACCCAGAGGCGCTTTTCTGCACAGAGGCGTCAGCTGGGGCTGCTGTTTGACTCCTTTAAGGGTGGTAAAGGATGAAATCCAATTTTTCTCAAGGAAGTCACAACTGAGTAATGAAGTGACTACTTTGGGGAAGCTCCGCAGAGAATTGGGGCGGCTTACAAGGCCACCTATTTGAGGCCTGAGTGTGAGAGCTGAGGCCATGATATAGAAATTGTATAAAGAAGAGACCTTTCAACCCATTTTTATGAAATTTATTCCCAGTCTGAAGTGGCAGTGTATACAAAGAGCTGATGGTACTTTACAGAAATTGCTACAACATGCGCTTTGTGAGGTGTTTCGAACATTTACATAGTCTCATGCTGAATAAATAATCCCCCATTTTTATTTTTACATAAAAATATAATATTGCACTCTTAACAAGACCAGTAATTTTGCTTATTTTCTCTCTAGGTAAGTGACGAAATTAGGCCTTAGAAAAACTGAGTAGTAACCCTATGCTAATAGGGACTGATTTAAAGTTCTCTGTAGAAAAATGCGGCCAGACAGAGCTGCGGTCTCATCAGGAGCACAGGACAACGTCACCTCTGCACCCGCGGGGGCTCAGGAGGGGCAGGAGCAGGTTAAGCAGGGCGTGGCCTGCTTCCTCCCACTCACCTCGACAGCAGAGACTTTGGAATTGTTGTCGACGTTTTTAAGCAGAATGTTTTGGAAAGTCTGGAAGTCACAAAGTAGTTCTGTAAACACCGTATGAATGAAACGTTCGTAGTGCAGGAGCGTGCGTATTTTTATCCCACGTAACATATTACTGAGCTGTTTCACAGGGTTTTTGAGCCAATAAAGCAGCACCCAGTAAAAATACAGGCATAACCCCATGGTGGGAACAGACCAGCCCGAGCTTTAGGGTTCTGGGTTGGCGGCATGTAAATGTGCTTGGGGTTCACCTTGATTTTTTCTGTTCCTAGGATCCCGGGGTGAGTACTAGGTTAGGAGAAACAGAGTGGAAACTGTTCCCTCAGAGAAGTGTCCACCTCCTGTTTTGAAACAAGGCCACCTGCTCTTCTTTTGTGGCCAGTCCATCGCCCCTGACCAGCCCGTCACCCTGAGCGAGGCTGTGCGGTCGCCTACCGAGAGGCTCTCCAGCGCGGATGTTGAGTGGCCAACGCGCTGTGATGGCAGACACCAAGAGAATGATCTCGGCGCTTCAATTGCCGAGTGACTCGAAGACATGCGATACCTAGGGGTGCGGGCTTTAAGTAGGATTTTTATGAGGAAACAAGAAACAATGTGTCTGAAATAAAAAATACCTGTTTGCGGCTGTCAGAACATTCTAGTCTACTGTGAGCTGAGAAGGCAACTGGCGGAATCCGCCTGTTGTCGAAGTTGCTGGCGGTCTGTGTTTCGCCCGACAGCACTGAGCGCCGGGACAGAGGCACCTGCCGGATCACCCACTTCTGGGTGCAGTCACTGCCATCTGGGCTCATCACCGTTTTCGTTCTTGTCCTTCTGGGCGTGGGGTGTAGTATCTTGGCATACAACTTCTAAAATATAGTTATTTTTAAGAGTATTTTTATAAATAATTACTTTGCCAACAGAAAAAGGCGAGACCCTAATTTTTTCTTTTGAACAGACTCGTAGGGAAAAAGCTTGAGGATGTTTTTATTCTAGCATGTGAGCTTGAGGTCTGGCTGGTTAGAGATTACTAACAGAACTGTCCAGATCATCAAACATTATAACAAAACTCTCAGAGCCTGGAGAATACAGAATTTTGAGCAGGTGAACGGACTTTGTCATCACTTGGATGACTTTTCTGGTCACCCATTTCTTGAGGTTCAACCTCCTAAAACTGGCCAACAAACCTAGTTCAGAATTAAAGTGCTTTGGAGAATGCAGAGTTCTCCTCATTCACCCCGCCGCGTAGCTGCTCAGGAAAGAATAGAACATCGGCTGTTTCAGGCGCTGCTGATCCTTCCGACACCAGGCAGTCACGGTCCCGTCGCTGTTGGCTGTGTACAGATGGTGGCCGTCACAGGAAAACGTGAGGCTGCGAGGGGAGAGAGGCGCATTACCCAGCACAGCCTTACCACCCTGGCAGACGGGGTCAGGCAAGGAGTGCGCCTGGCCATCTCGACACCACCTGACCACCCCACTGGCAAGTTTTAGCGCGCTTTTCACTTACTTTTGTGAAACTGTTCTGCTAATTCACTATTCCTTCCTGTACAGTATCTGACTTCTGCCTCAGGTGGAGCCCCGGTCTCCCCCCACCCTCGGTGCCCCGACCCTCACCACCTTCCTGGTGCCGCCCTACAGTACGTCTCAGAGCTGTGACAGCTGCAGGTGCTGTCGCGGTCCTGGCCCTTCGCTTGGCTTTTCTGTCTTCTACATGTACATGGATGCAGTGTGTATCTTGCGCCTTCTGACTTCTCACTCAGCATAACTTCTCCACCCCTGCGAGCTCAGTTTCTCCAGGTGACACAGAATGGACCTGGAGCCTAGAAATCTCTGTCTCTTGTCCCCTCTTTCCAGATTTCCTTTTTCTATGCTTTATTACTTAAAGGAACAAATACTTGGGAACAGGAAATTGGAAGATAGAGCCCAACAGACTTGTGGGATAAAGGTGCCACAACTCTTCATTTGTAAAGTTCGTGAAGCTTTAAATTTACTACATTAAAAATAAATTTATTTATTAAAGTGTAATTAAGAGTCACCCCTAGTTGAATTTTTAAAATCAAATTTGTCAGTGGAGCCAAGGGAAATTGGCTGCTCGTCAGCCTCGCCCCCCACCGTCCTGCGGCTGGCGGTCTGGGCTATGGCATCTCAGCCTGTGAGCGCCCGAGGCCGGCCTGCATCACCTCCCGATGGCTCTCAGCAGCTTCTGAGCCCCTGCCGCTGCCTTAAGCCCCATGCAGCCACGATGCCTCCCGCCACGGGTCCCAGACAGCCTGGCACGGTGAGTCCTCCAGTGCTATTCACTGCAACGCCCATGAGGAGAACAAGCGCTGTCCGTCAACACTGGAGCAAGGACCTTTGTTATACCTCCTTTTGCTTAAAGTCAGAGTTTCCCAGCACCTACTGCTGTCAGTGAGGCGTCTGGGTCTGCAGCCAGTCGTCTGTAATGACGACGGCACCACACACTGCTCTGGGTGTGTGCGCAGCACTGTCTAATAAAAATACAGTTCTACGGTAGCAGAGGGGAAAGTTTGTTACCTTACAATTGGCTTATTTGATTTAGGAAATGTAATTTCTCGTACAGGTTTCAGGTCCCAGGTACTCCATAATCTAGAAGGGAAAAAAGGCATTACCCAATTATGCAAACTAAAACTTCCTTCACTCAGAAGCCCTACTTAGTCGTCAGACACCATCTAGAAGGAACAAATAATCACAGCAGAAGCTTCTGGGAAGTCCGCAGGACACTGCCACTCGTGTTACAGTGAGAACATGCAGCTTTGTTGTAAACAGGCCTGGACTCCTGCCACTTCAGGCTGCTCCCAAGCCATTAGTAAAGCTGACATGGCAACAAAGTGATTCACTTGGCTTCTCTGTACCACAGAAGTTACTTGTCCACTACACTGCAGTCTAGTAAGTGTGCAGTATGTCTATAAAATGTATAAACACCAATTAAAAAATACTCCATTGCTGAAAAATGCTAACCCTCATCTGAGCTGTTGGGAAATGGCTTGAGAGACCCAAGTTGCCACAAATCTTCAATTTGTAAAAAATTCAATATCCAGGCCCTCCCTGGAGGTGTATGAAGCACAGTGCTATGAAGCTGTCCACAGTCACTGCAGCGCGGGTCTATCCCTGGCCAGGGAGTGACCCACAGGGCACATCAGACCTCTCAAAGTGGACTTCATCAATCCACCTTGTCCTGCTCCCCACTCTGTCTCTGGGGAATTCTCTCACCACCCCTGCACCTCTGGCCTGTACCCCAGTTCCGTATGCATAAATAAATAAATCTTAAAAAAATGCAGTACCCTTAAGGCTTAAGAAAAGCATGAACACAATAAACAAGGTATGTCTGCAGTTACATTTTGCTAACCTTTCACAGTTAGGAACAATATAAAATTTCAAAACTATACAATTTTTTTCAGGAATCTAACCAGAGTGACTGAAGACCCCTTATCCCAAGGTAATTTTAAGACTTTAAAATATTAAACATGAAGCGACCTAGGTATTAAAAACTAAGCTTTGAAACTGCTGTGTCCTTATCAACTTAAGCAGAGAGAGAGAATAAAAACCCAGCTCACCTTACAACCCCATTCTCCAGCCCCCCGGCAATCACGTTGACAGACACTCCCTCAGGCTGGTTAGAGAAGGCGACTGAACAAATGTTCTCTCTGCAATGGACGTGCCCGACAAGGTCCCCATTCACTGTCCAGAGTCTGAGGTCACTGCCGCCACCAGCTGAAACACCAAAACGATGCCCCAGTCACTGGGATGTGGCAGCCTGAGCCCACGGCTGCTGTGGTGGCGACTGTCGGCCGCTCGTGCCTGAAAGCGTACAGGGGACATGGCTCCTGCTCTGCAGGGCAAGTCTTCATGTGGCCCAAGTACTTCAGGGTATGAACAGCTAAATCTGGGTGTAAAGTACTTAGAAAGCTAAACAATCTCCACAAGGAGAAAACATCCAGCAAAACCATCTGTAGGAAGTGATATATGAGTCATCTAGAGAAAAAGTTCAAGAAAAAATAAAAGAAGTAAAAAACAAATCCTAAAAATACCTTCCCAATGTCTGAGATTGAATTTATAAGTTAACCTCTTACTAAATGAACTTTTTATTCAGAAACCACAAGGTGCCAGCTTTTTCTGCAGTGGTAACAACAGCTCGCCATCCTCTCTGATCGGAGTGGTGATGGGGCAGCGCGATGTGCGCCCAGCCTTCTGTGGAGGAATTCTCAGTGACAGAGCGGGGCTGGGAGGCAGGTAGGGTCTGGAAGACAAAGTCTGATCGTAAGAGCGTGAACAGCTCCACTAACTAAAAGTGGAGAATCTGCTCTCCTTAGTAAAGCAATGAAAAGACTTGGTGTCTCCAGCAAAGCAGCAGCTATCGGAAGTGTTTTTTATCTCAACTGTACGTGAAAGTCCCTCTCAGACTGTAAGAACTGGATGATGAACGCTGTCTGGGCCACTAAACGTAAGCGCGGCCTCTTAGAAGCATCACCTTACTGTGCTCTCTACGTGTCAAGTGCTCTTTGCGAAGTCGCCCCGTGACAGACGTGTGAAGAGGCCTTAAAACACTGGAGGAGGCTTTTCTGTTCAAACCAGAAACAAGAGCTCGCTCACTCATTACACAGCTCTCTCACCCCTCCCCACTGCGGGTAACAAGGCTGTTCTCTTTCCCGCCCTTGAGGCTGCTGGCCCCAGTCGAGGCTGCTGGCCCTAGGGGGCCTTCTACAGCGTTGTGGGATGAGACAGCGAGACAGCAAGTGCTGTGCATGAACCTCACCATGCCGGCCGTGGACGTGCTCCTGCTGGCCACTGACGCGCAGCCAGATAGGCCATCAGTCTCTGCCCACAATGGGTCAATCAAGTGCTTCAGGCATTTTCTCCTGTTACGGGGTCTGGGGTCACTAAAGTCTTCATGCTATTATTTTATGACTGGGCCAAGGCCTGCGCATACTTCAAGTGTGAAGTCTCTAGAAATGACTCAAGACGTCATTTCGCTCTAAGAATGAGTGAACATTTTGTAAAAGCAACAGAACTCCGAGAGGTATCTGCGGTGTCATAAAAAACAATGGTTTCTGCCCTGTTCTGCCCTGCGCCCATTTTTACTCTTTTCGATGCTAATGGGATGGCTCTTGGTGGGGAGGCCCGGGGCTGCGGGATAGGGTTGGTCACCAGAAAAACCAACTATGGGACAGAGGCTTGAAGCTCACACCTCAGCCTCCAGGGGCAGGCAGCGGGGCTGAGTCCAGCTCCAAAGGTCAACCGCCAGGGGCTGAACTCCAAACCCACCGACACAGATGCTCGGTGAATTCCGAGGTGGCGAACACTGCCAGGAGGTGGAGAACTGACTCGCAGGTGCCTCCGTGTCCCCTGGGGACCCTCTTCCCTGGCTGCTGGTCTGTAGAGCAGACGGGCAAGGATGCGTCCCAGGGCGAGTGGGCAGCTTCGGGGACAGGGCGGGCAGGAGCTGTGGAGACTCAAGGAGGCTTCCAAGAGAAGATGGCCCATTCTAAGACGTGCTAACCAAAACCCTCCAGAGACGTGGCCAGAGAGTAGCCAGGGAGGATGCAACAGACAGTAAAACCTGGAGAGTAAGACCCTGGACATGGAGGTCAATGCAACAAAATAGGGCAAGGAGATTTCAGCAGACAAGAGGCTTCAACCCTGGACATGGCCCCGGCCCCCGCCTCTCCTAAGCCCTCCTGTCTCTCTGTTCACTTAGCTAGAATGTCTACAGATGCCCCTTGCGGCTTCGTGGGACATGAACCTGTGGCAACTCAGGCCAAGCAGCAGCACAGTGGCCCTAGTGGCTGCCACGGGCCCGAGGCAACGGCCAAGCGGGGGACAGCTGTGTCCGACTGGGGCTGGTGGGACGGCGGCGGCCAGGGCGCTGGTTCACCGTCCCGAGATCTCACAAGAAGGCAGCAGGCAGGTGTGTGGGAGGCACGTGCCACCCTTTTAAAGGGGGAAACCCAGGGAACGCCGCCCTCTCAGCTGGTAGCTGAAACCGCCTTGTCGTTAGTCCAGATGCGGTCCTCACGGTGAGCTCACCCCTAGGCCGAAAAGCAGCCGGGAAGAAGCACTGAGAGGACTGGGAGCGCACATCATGCTTTGTTGCTCTAGACCAGATTCAAGTCGCCGCGCTTCAGGTAAAGCAGCTCATCGGACTCCACGACACACATGCGCTTCGTCTTCCAACTTCCTGAACGTCGCCCAGGGAAGCAAGCAGAGGTCTCCTCCTGCTTCTTGGCTGACTCCTCCCCTTCTCAGGCCCTGGTGTCCATGGAACGGGCTCTACACCCATTGGGCAGGAGCCCTGGCATGCTTACACGGGCTTCCGAGTGTGCTCCAGTGGTTCGTGTTAGAATTGAAGCCCACTGCTGGGCACCCCGCTCACCACTGCTGGGCACCAGCTAGCCACTGCTGGGCACCCGTTAGCCACTGCCGGACACCTGGCTAGCGTCATGGAGCTGGATACCCACTAGCCTCACGGAGCTGCAGGAGCGTCGGTGTCTAGAAAGACATGACACCTTTGGTATCCGAAGAAAACAAAACGAAAAAACTACAGGGCCGAAGAGGACACGACCATGCTGCTACCAAGCCAGACCCACAGGGCCCGAGACACGCCTGCCCGCCCCCTTTTGCCCACTCACCTGAGTCACACACGGTAGCAATGTCACCTGTGGTCTCGCTGGCAGAGACGGCCGTGACAGGACTTTTGTGTCCTGTTAGACTCTGTACGTAGCACAGCCTGAGAGGCCAAAGACATGAGTCTGTAAACGACCATGAACTATGACTTGGCTCCCTCCCTCTGACCCTCTTCCTCAGCACATGCGGATCACGTTAGGCGTCTGCAGCTGAATTCCTGACTGGAATTTCACTGCAATAGGGCTAGGAAGGCTACGATCATTTTCAGTCTCAAAACTGAAGATGGTTTCAGTGCACCTATTTCCTACAGAAAGCCTTGGAGTGGTAAAACACCGCATCTGAGAGGAGGCGCGCTGCACCTGTTCAAGTCCCAGATGATGCAGGTCCCATCCCTGCTCGCACTTATCAGGACACTGTACGGCTTGCAGACAGACAAGCAGGTCACCTCCCCGGTGTGCCCGTATAGATGCGTCTGGGACTCCACTTCTATCTCTGATGGCTGAAATGAAAAGGTAGGTGTAAGGTAAAGACCATGACAAGAGGTAGCTGAGTACTGTACGTGGAAAACAGAAACAAAGTATGTGCCTCAAACACATCCATCCGTCAGGAGCATCAACATGACCTCGGGGTCATCTGCGACAAGTGAGAGGCGGTCAGGTACTGGTGCACACACCGTAATGTTTAACGCTTTGGTATTTAAAAACCTGAACACATTAAATGTTCGAGTTGGCAGCACATATTCTACTCTTCCATGCCCTCTGAAGTGGATTTTAAAATACGTTCTGATAGTAAACCGCTGGTCTGGTTGTTAAGAGAACCCCAGCTGACTTCAGGCTCAGAGTCACAGCAGCAACCACAATGACACCAAAGTGGTGATGTAACCCCCGAGAAAAGGCCTTTAAGCCCACGTAACCTCCCCCAAATCAAAGAACGATTAAACCCCACAGTGAAGACGTACTTTTGGAAATGGTTTAAATAGTGAATGCTAATCTCATGACTTGGTCACTCAACACTACTATTACTTAGGAGACACACAAAGCCTTACCAATAGGCTGAAAACCTTGCTTTCAGCCATTATACAGCCAAGGAAAGGGACACAGCGTAGCCTCGTAAGCCTGCATGAAGGCTTTCCCACCAGACGGGCAAATGTCTTGCTGAAGCCCAACCATCACGCTCTGCCTTAGACCTGCTACATTCAAAGCACTTCTGTGCACAGTAACTCCTGCACTGATCACCTTGTCTTCTTTTAATTGAAACTAAATACGTGTTAGTATATATTTCAACACTGGAACTATATACGGGAAGCTAAGAACGCATCTCTTAAGTGTTGGGAAACACAAGAGGATATAAAAAACGAAAAGCTGAAGCTAGTTTTAAAATCGCCATCTGGAGCAGTGTTCAAATATCTAAGAACAAAATATCTAAGAGACAGCTAAGCAGACAGCTGCCTTCGATGCCGTGATTAATATATGCTTGTGGTAAAAAGGAAACAGAAGATGAACTCGGGGGACAGAAGCTGACGGCGGCTGTCAGCAGCGACCACAAGCTTTGGGGTGGCCTTGGGGTGCGGGGGAAGCAGGCACCCTGACGTGCCTCTTCTCTGCCAGAGCCTCTACCGCAGGCTGTCCTGCCCCTCTTTTGTGCCCTGAGTGGCACTACAGTTCCTAGGGACGGAGGGAGGGAGCTGAAGGTGGTATTGCATGTGTCTTCCTTTGTTCATTCAATTCTCAAATCCTGAAGGTTCAGTACATGACTAAAAATGTGTATCAGTAGTAACTAGCAGCACTCAAGATGTCCTACTCAGTTCCACGATCATTTAATTTCCCTGAGAATGCAAGCACATAAGCATCAAAATGTGCTGAAATACAGAACCGGTCACATTGTAAAATACTGTTCCTGAGACTGAAAACTAACACTTGTATATTTGTTGTCAAAATTCTTCAGTCTAACAGACTCCACACTGAAGAGTAGGATAGACATAACCATCTATATTTAAGAGCTTAAGAAAGATAAAGGTACAAAAGATTAAAGTACAAACCTTCCAACCTACCATGTGGGCCGTGAACCTGTTCGCATAGGCTGTGACGACCCCGCACTTGCTCCCAGTGAACAGCTGGCAGCTGTCAGGCACCCAGGCACAGCTGGTCACCTTTGCAGAAGGACAAATGGAAGATTCACATCTTGTAAAAGCATGAGAAGTACCACTTTTCTGTCAGCTATTTGACAAGTACATGATCACGAAATTTAAAGGATATGCTTTACTTCAAGTGATTAGAAAGTGTCTGATGTGATAACTTTTAGTCAGACATTAAAAGTTATTGGTTTCCCGACTCAAGTGTGCTACAGTGTACTGTCTATGATTTCACACTTTTCAGCGTACGCACACACTGCGATCTGCTTCTCAGAAACTTCAACGATGAGGATTGCACTACATACAGCCAAGGTGAAGTGTGCAATGTGTGTCTGTTTCACAAGTTCACCGAGTTTGACTCTTTTTCTTGTTTTCGGTGGCAAACAGCTCGTCAGGCCGGCACGTTTTCCTCCCTCCGCTGTGCACTGAGCCTCAGTGTCTGCTGATGCAGAGGAAGCCGCCCTGTTTCCAGGGCCAGCAGCCTGATGCCTCAGCGCTCCTCAGAACGCCGTCCTCTCTCTCAGGGTTTCAAACAGTCTTTCCTGGCCGCTTCTCTTGAGCCGACAAATGTGTCAGGTAACTGTGACCCTAGTCGGGGCCCTCGTCTTGGCTCTTCTGAACGCTGATCATAATCTGAGTCTGTTGGGCCTAGTTTTGGCTTTTCAGTTTCTTTTTTGAATAGTTCTATCACTAAGGGTTGACATTTAGTAACTTTTATATTTCCTTAGAGGTCCAAAGAGAAACCATTTATTTTTAACATACAGAAAAAACCCTCTTTCTTACAATCACGGAATAGGTCTGCAGGACTCTTTTATAAACGTAAGTTATACATTATGGGATTTTGAAAAACTGCTCTACCCTGAGACATTTGTTATTTTACAGCATATGACTTATTTCATCAGGACTCACTGATTATTTCCAACTATGCTAAAGCAAAACAGAAAAGAATGATGTACATCCTGGAAGGGCATCTGTCAGGTGGAAAATCAGTTGTTGACTTTCGGTTTTCTTAATGCACTGTCCAAAGAACGAAGTGATTTTTTATGCTCTTTTAAGAAACTGTAAAAGAAAATTGGAGCCACCGTTTCTGGAGTCTGCTTGTAGCTTAACTGAACATCAGGTGAACATTTGGGTTTTTCTACCAGTGACACAAAGAGAAGGAAACCAACAGGAGTGTCTCATAGCTCCAAGTGAGCTACCAGCCCAGGGTGGGGGCAGAGACCACAAGCCCTGAACCGCTGATGACGAGGACACTGGCCATACAAGGGAGACCACGAAGCACAAGTCTTAATGTGATGGTGCCCTAGGTGGATTCTCTCAAGCTAAGGAACTAATGGGTGAGTAACATGTTCTTAGGGATGAAAGGAAATACGGTATCTCAGCCCGCGAGCCACTGACTAGAAGTACACGAAGAGCATGAGCCTCACCACTCTCTGAGGCACAAGGGCACTCCTTCATTGTGTTGGTGTGCCAGACTTCACAGGACAGAGACGGTCTGCAGTGCTTAAATAATTAAGTTTCTAATAAGCTTATTTCCACTAGTTATTTTTGCCTCTTGGTTTACTGGTAAACCAGATAACAAAAGGCAATGGCTTTTTCCAGGAATACAGAAGGCTAAGCCAGCAGTCACTGCTCTCCCTTCTTCCCCGGCCAGTCTCGCCCCAAAGCAGGTTGCTCCACTTTGAAGGCGCTCAAAGTGTAATGCAGCTAGGGACCCGAGTGGGGGCGGAAGTACGTGTGGCATCTCAGGGCTCAAGAAGCGCTCTTCCATCTATGAGAAGTGAGGCACAGAAGACAGCGCCATGGCTAGGCAAGGGTTGTACAGCGAACGTGCATCAGAGGCGAGTACGCAGACGTCCTGCGACGGCGCGCTGCCCACTGCGCGACAGGCTTACGGCAGCGTCTCCACAGGGCCATGGCGACCTCAACCCTCCACAAGGTGGGAGGAGGCAGTGTGGGGACACAGGAAAGTGGTGGCTGGAGCAGGTAAGCATGTGAAGGAGGCCTACGGTCGGGGCCAGGCCACTAGCTTCTGGGGCGGAGATGAAAGCCAGGCTATTAACCCAGACTGAGTTGTCCACCTCCCTTCAAGTCGCTGTGTGGGTTATTATGGAACATTTAGTAGAACATTTTACCTGATACTGCTGTGAACTCTGTATAAAGTTGGTCGGAGGTTCACTCTGCTTACTCTTCAGCCTCAGGATGTTGTCAGCGTAGCCCCAGCTCAGGATGGCTGACCACTGAATGTCGGTACTGTTCATGCTCCTCACACCTCAAGGAGGAGGAGGAAGCGTTAGATGGTCACTGCTCAGCTGTCATGTGACAGCCCCCCAGTGCCAGGTGAAAGGCTCCAGTGTACCTCATAAGGCAGAATTACTAGGCAAGATCATTCTAGCTATAATGTGAACAGATTTGTGTTAGTTTTATATCCCTTTAACACTAACACAACTTGAAGACTGGAACTATATTCTTTTTTCCTTTGTGGTGCTTCAGTTGCTATTTGACTTGGAACTAAATCTGTTAGGAAAGTCTGTGTACAAAGAAATAGTGGTCGAGCTTACGCTGTGTGTTCCCAGACACCTTTACTTTTAAAAATAAATGCGAACTAGACACTGCCTGAATCACTTTCTAGACACTGCCTGCTGGAGAATCAGCAACGTGAGGAGGTGGCCACTGCTAGCCTAGGCGAGGCCCCCGAGCAGCCAGCCCCATGTGCGAGGCCTCGGCCCTGGGCACTCCTGGCCCCGGGGCAGTGACTAACCCTGAAAATGAGCCAGGCGCTGAGCCTCCCTCTCTGCACCACTTCACTTGATCCTGGCGAGTAGGTTACCCAATGAAGTAAGGCCTTTTGTTAGTCCCAGTTTATGGGCCAAAAGCCAAGGTCTGGGAGGTGGAAGTAGCTTTCCGGCAGTCACGAAGCCTATATGTGTTGGGCCTGGGAAGCCAACGCAGGCACTGTGCCTCCGGAGGTACAGGGGTGTTACCCCACCTGCCCGGACACACCTCGGTTCTGACGTATCTCTGCAAGGAAGTAATACGTGAGCGAATGAACACAGACGTGCGAGATGCGCTAAGGACGTCATGGAGGGCAGACCGAAAACTTCGAGAACTTTATTCCACTCTAACTTTTTATAAGCACCACATTTAACTCCTATTTTTGCTTACAGCAAGTTGTAATTCCTACTTTGCACTTTGAGCAGTTTTTCTGCAAGACTCGGACAACTTAGAAGTAAGACGAAATAGCACACACAAGCTGGAAGGACTCACACCTCAGGAAAGATGTGCCTGGGAGAATTTTCACTATGCTTTGCTTTACCTTGTTCTTTGCTGTACGTCACCAGAAGACAGAAACTTTGGGACAAGCCGCAGATGGCTCTGGTGGGCAGAGCCTGCAGAGAGCCAAATCTCTCTCCATGGGGCTGGCTGAAGCAGACCACAGGCACTGGAGCGCTTGGGGAGCCGACGAACTCTCCCCACTTCAGGCCTTTAACCCATGGTAAAGGGCTCTAAAATTAAGGAAAGTTTGATTTTTTGGGAAAAGGTAGTGACCAGAAGTCCGTATAATATAAACTAAGTCAAGGAAGAGAACGCCTCAGGCAACAGTTCAGGTATTTTTACCCCTCACCCTGCTTAGTGTAGAGAGACTGTGTTGCTTATTGAATTTTATCTTAGGCGTCTGTAAGACCTGCTTACAGGACCACATCTGCTTAATAATTCAAAATCCCTTGAAATGTGAGTGGAGAAAAAACTACCTAGTAAGTACATCTCTTCCAGTCTGACTGAAATAACTAGAGTCGAGCCCTCAAGAGGACTGTAAGCGGCTGCGGCCCCCTCAGCCGGGGCAAACAGGCGGTCCTGAGGTGAGGGGTCTGGAGGAAGATGACACCGAGACCCGGCTGCCCAGGCCACCCCCCGCCCCCTGGCACCAGCAGTTCCTGTCAGGTCCCCAGGGTGGGGCTGGCTCTATAGTCCCCCGGAGCTGCCAGTGGCCTGCGCTACAAGTGGCCTCTTCACGACAGAGGCGGCGGCAGACCATGGCTGAGGCACATGCAGGCTGCCCCACCCACCTGTCTGCAGGCCCGCGGGCCCTTAGGGGCGAGCACAGTCTTTCCGAAGCGCGGGAAAACCAAACAGCATACCGGGTAGGTGATTTCCTTGACCTGTTCCCGGGCGTCCCTGAATGCAAACTGCACGAGCAGGCCGACGGCTGCAGGCAGCTCCCCCTCCACGCTGGCGCGGGGCCCCGGCCTGCTGGCGTGCGCCGACTGGAACAGCTGGCGCGGGGTTTGCCCGTAGGTTTTGATCATGGTTTCCAGGGCTCGTCTCTGCACTGGGTCTTCGACGGCAGACACATCCATGCCAAAATAGGTCTGGCGGAAAGAACGAGAGGCGTGAGCAGAGGCAGGGCAGCGACGCCGGGGGACGACTCTCGCCTTCTAGCCAGAGTCACTCTCTTTCTATAAAGTGAAATGATGTTCAAATGCTGTGGACCAAGTTATTAGTCACGAAAGGCCCTACAGAGATCAGAACGAGAGCAATCAACGTTTCGGAGTGGGTGAACGAAAGGCTTATCTTGCGTGAGTTAATCAGGTAAGTTTAAAAAACTGATTTTTAATTTAAGACCAGAAAATATCACAGGCCACTTCACATGACTATTACAAAGTTCTTGTTCAATGCAACCCATTGAAAAAGCAAAAGTTGCGTCAAGACAGACGCAAGCTGCTCAGCAGCCACAGGAGGAGTGCTTAGGTCCTGTTGCCAACTGGAGGCGAATGCAAAGTGAGCAGTGGGGTGTCCGAGCCCTGGTGGGAAGGTGTGGGGGCACTTTTCTGCACCCTGTCACCTCAAGTCAGCTGGAAAGCAACAGGCGTTTACTGTTATCCCCAAAGCAGCCAGCAGGAGCCAGCCCAGGTCTGCTACGCTTTGTGACCCTCGCATCCAGTCTGGGTCTGTGTCCTTCGGCCACACAGCTCTTAGATGCATGTCCAGCTGTGACATTTCTGCAAGCGCCCGTCAGAGTTAGATCCTCATCACTGCCCCCCTCACCACCAACTCCACCGTGGATTAAACACTGGTCATAAGTTGTCTCTAGGAGGGGCGCTGCTTTATCGTGGGTCCGTTCTTTTACACCGCTGCTTGCTTTTCACAGCATCTGACTGCCCTGTATCTCCCCACCTGAGAGCCACCGCCCCCCATGCGTCTCCCTGCTGTTTTGACCCTCACTGCCCCGCCCCCACTGGAGACTTATCTGTGGTCAGGCTGGCAAATTTTGTCTTTTCCTGACCCTTTGTTCTGTTTCTGTGCATTCCACAAGTAAAGGAAACTGTTCAAAATTTATCTTTACCCTTCGAAACTTTTTCACTTATCATAATCCTTAAGGGCCATTGTTAATGGCGATGTGACTTCATATACTCAAAATTTCAAATGACTCTTTTTCTTAATTTCTTGCTCTTAGAGTTCACTGTTTGTATATATTAATTTTATACCTTGTTTGTTGTTGTTTTTTTTTTTAAAGATTTATTTATTTGTGCATACATAACTGGGGTACAGGTCAGAGGCTCAGGGGTGGTGATAGGCTTCACCAGAGACAGAGCGGGGAACAGAACAGGCGGACAGACGAAGTACACTGCTGAGGGGAGCAGCGGGCGGGTCAGGAGAGGTCTCCCACACCATATGGTCACCTCCGGGGCAGGCGGGAATCGAACTCATGCGGAAGCGGCTTTAGATTCTCAGTGCTGTGCTTTAACCCGCTGTGCCACCAGGGAGGGCCTGTTTGTTGTTTTTAATAGATTTTTAAATGAAATTTTAGGGTTTTCTGTGTATATTTTCATGTCAATTGTTAACAGTGAGGAAAACAGAGAGACAGTGGGTGAATGGTTAGTCTGACGTGCCTGCCATCTTCCAGGCTAGTAGGGAAGTTTCCCCTCAGAATTTTCCCTCTTTCTGAGAGGGCTCATCTGGGTTTCACTGCAGCGGGCAGTGGGGCCTCCAGGAGGAACCTGCCACCCCACCATTCTACACTACCTTCGGCCCATATTTGAATCTCAGCATCTTTGTATTCTGAGTCTGGCAAAATGCTTCCTAAGTGGATAAGATTATTTTTGTTAAAAAGGAACCTATTAATATCTAAAAAGTATTTTTGAAATATTATTTTATTATTATTATTATTTTAATAATAATTAAAAAAAGATTTATTTCTGCACACAGAACTGGGGTGCAGGCCAGAGGTGCAGGGGGTGAGAGGATTCACCAGAGACACAGTGGGGAGCAGAACAGGCGGAATGACAAAGTACGCTGCTGAAGGGAGCAGCGGGCGGTCAGGAGAGGTCTGCTGCACCCTGTGGGTCACTCCCTGGCTGGGGATCGAACTTGCACTAAAGCAGCTGCGGCCACTTGCAGTGTTGTGCTTTAACCTGTTGTGCCCCAAGGAGGGCCCGAAACTGAAATAATTCCTTAAGAATTCATCTCAAGGAAATAAAGATTTACATTAAGAAGTGACCTGAGGAATATTAAATCTAATAGCAAACAAATGCTAACTGAATACCCCCAGTAACAGGGGACCGATTAACCAAGTGTGCAACACACCCTGAGGCAGTAAATGGCACTGGTCTCGGTGAGAAGTGAGTGTATGATGTGCACGTACAGAGAACAGTGTAGAAGGGTTGCAAATGTTTCTGCAATAGGAAAGATCCGACCTGCAAGTGAGCGTGTGCACAGGAGGGCGAGGCAGGCCTGCTCTCCCGCGAGGGGCCTTGGCTTAGCACCATCCCCTAAGTGAGGCGAGGTGGCCTCACCGCTCACCTGACAACACAGTCCATGCTGAATGCCTGCTTTTCTCTGGACCTCAGTGCGCGTGGCAGAAGCTGCCTGCACCAGCGGCCGGCAGACGCCCAGGGCATCGAGCTCTGAGAGCTGCCCACCAGCAGCGTCACGCACGTCACGACCGGCTGCTGCTTACTGGGAGGGGGCTTGGGGCGCACACCCGCTCTCTCCATGGTCTTTCCCTTCTGCTGACTTTAGGCCTGTCCTTCACCTTCCAGCCCTGCCCCGCGACGGCGCCAGGCTGTGTCCCTGGCCCTCCCCACCCTACGGGGGATACCAGGGAACCCCCGACAGGCAGTATCGCAGTTATGTTAAGGGGATGACTTGCCATATCTGCAACAATTTGAGTAACAGTCTTTCTGATAACGTGGGTGTTTATTTTAAAGAAAGAGCCAAACAGTAAGCGCTCAGATTCAGGGTCTGCTTATCTAAATGCAGGCTTTCTTAAGGACACTTACAGCAGGGTGAAAGACATTGATGGCTTGCACTGAGGCCTTCCCTTTTTGCTTGTAGCCAAACACCAAGTCAATCCACTGGCTGATGTTCTGGGACACGTAGTCAGACTCGAGAGCTTGTCGGTGGATGAGGATAAAGAGACGGGGGTCGCTCCGTGCCCACGGGGGCAGGCTGACGTGATGAACCCGCTCACCACTCTGACGCACACCGAAGTCAAAGCCTACAAGAGAAGGGTGACATTAGTGCTCATCGCCCCCAAAACAAGCTTCCCCTCGCCCAGTGAGCAGGTCTTAAGGCACTCACAGAATGGCTGCGGCCAGGCCAGAGGACGGCGAGGGGCAGAGGAGCCCCACGGTCACACACCTACTTCCTAGCAAGAGCGACAAGGGTTAATGCCAAACCGAGCCAAACTGGAGGTCTTTCCACGTTTCCCTTCCATCAAGTGCACGGAGAAGCGGAACATAATGCCCATAAGCCCAACATTCCACTAGTCAAACCTCCAGATGCAAAATGTGCTTAATACTTACTCAACTGCAAACTTGACAAAGGTCAAGCTAAGTCATTACAGCACAGGCATTTCTGAATTATTGGTGTTAACACTGCAATAAGTTTGAGATTATTTTTATTCAGTAAGAATGTTAAGTATTCTAGCATCCTATACAAAATACACATATTCCTAGAATGAACTGTCATTGTCTATTAGTTTTACAGTAAGTCTACAGGTTTGCTCTGACTTCATTTCTACTAAAATTCATGCCAGCAACAAAATTATCCCCACACACTGAATGAGTTATTCCATGTTACAAGTAAGCTCTTCTCTAATAGTCTCAGTCTGCTAATGTAAACAATAATCTCAGCGCTTCTTATTAAAAAAAAAATTGTCATAAAGGAAATGTTACCTTTAAACAGCAATATTTTTGGTACTATCTATTATAGACAAAAAAAATCCAAATATTGTAACAGAAAAAAATTAAAAAGGCTTTCCCTGGTGGCACAATGGGTTAAAGCACCACATTATGAAGGTCTCCAAAGCCACCACCGCACGAGTTCAATCCCAGGCCAGGGAGCTGACCCACAGGGTGCACAGACCTCTCCTGACCTGCTGCTGCTCCCCTCAGCAAATTTGTTGATCTGCCTGTCCTGCTCTCCCCTTGGTCTCTGGTGAATACTTTCACCCACCACACCTCTGGCCTGTACCCCAGTTCTATAAGCACAAATAAATCTTTTTTAAAAAAGGACCTCCTAAAATTTCATCAATAAGCTCTATACAAACTGAAGTGGCCATCTGCCAAATTCTCAATCTTGTCAAAGCAGTTAGAACGATCTTCACTAATTTTGGAGGTACTTTGAAAGGCTATGAAGTGAAGTACAAGCCAAGGGCTTCTATAACATAACCACAGGTAAGGGCAGAGGTCACCTCAAGAAATAGCAGTCTCCCTACAGACTGCTGAGAGGTGACCCTGGCAGGCTGGCTGAGTGCACTCTGAGCCCTATCACGCGGCCACTTCAGGAGCAGTGGCAGGGACTTGGGAGGAGCTGGGAGGGCCAAGCAGCCCCGGGCCTCGTGGCCTCAACTGTCCCTGCTTCCCAGGCTCTGGGGGCCTGTTAGAGCTGACCCGCTGCAGCCAGAGCAGTGGCCACAGGCACAGGGTCTGAGGAACACTGGCCGGAGTGACGTGGTGTGCTTCAGGAGGCCAGGCGGCCAAGGACGGTGACACCGAGAGGCCTGGTCCAGAGGCAGCACCTGATCTATCAAAAACAGGTGAAGACTGGCCAAGACTGGTGGTTGGTCACTAGTAACAGAAAACGTAATTCTGTTTCACTTGTTATTTGATAACTCTGGCTAGAGTGCTTCTACGCTGAGCCACTTCTCCTAACATCATTGAGACTGTGGCTAATTCACACAGTGCTTACAGTAAGCTTTGTATCTTTTTTAAAATGAGCACACTATAGCTCACTATCAGAAAAATGAATAGTTGTTTCTGTAACAAAATGAAAATACATGTTTTCAAATACTTTCTAGTTACAAAGTTTCTCAAATTATAACTAGCCCTATAAAATAGTTACAGATTCTCAAGTTTGCATGGCTATGAAATCATACACTTAATAAATAAAGGTATTTCCCTTATTTTGGACACAATTTTACAAAAGCTGTTTTTGGAAAATCATAAAGTAACTAAAATACCTCATAAATATAACTGAAAGTTGTTTAACTGACATACCTTCGCGGTTAACTAAAAATTCTGGAAGGTAGAAAAACTCTGGTATAAGTTCTTTCACATCAGTCATGGATTCAAAAGACGAAAGGCGCCAAGTTGTATTTGTAGAATGAAAAGTTCTGTCTGGAATGTCAAAACTTTGATCTATAAAGAAACACAAATAATACAATTAAGACAAAGACTTGATTCCATTTGAAGTCAGTCAGAATTAACTTACTTTTGCTACTTAATGTTTTACTTGTCCATAGTTTAAAAAAGACCACTTACATTCTTGAACTAAATATTTCTACATATGATTTGAGACCATATTATATTTTTAATTTGTATTATGTTGTCATAACAACTATAACTATATATATATAAATATATATATATATATTTTTTTTTTTTTGCTTTACTGATGTCTGCCCCAGCAGAATAAAGGCCCCAATGGCTACATGATTCGAACAGATTGTTAATCTGAGTATGTTTAAAGAAGTAAAAAACTAAATTTACGTGTGCAGACTGTGTTCAGACTGTAGAAGGTGAAGTGCCTAAGCACAGACATGTTCGTCCTGAGGCCAAGTCTGCGCTCAGTGGACAGTGGCTCGGGCTCCTGAAGGGGTCTGTGGACAGCGGGGCTCGGCCAGGCCTCTCCCCGACATCCCCTTACCTTGATAGGCCAGGAACATGTGGGTGAACGGGGGCAGCCTGACCAGGAAGTGCAGCACGGTGCCACTGTTGGAGTAGTGTGAGCCGTAGTGGTAGGGCCGCGCGGGGGGCACCGGGTCGTCGTCCCTGGCCCCTCTGCGGTACTCCTCCTCCAGGTACTGCGGGCCAGGCGAGGGTGTCAGCGCACCGGTGCCCGGCGGCCTCCTGCCTTCTTCTCCCCCCCACCCCCTACCCCGGGAAACCAGGCTCCCCAGCGCCCTCCCCCCACCTCGGGGCTTTGCTGCCCGAAGGTCTGGGCCTCCCGCCACAGAGGCCTGCCCACTGCCACTGCCCGCTACCCCCTGCTCCAGAGGGAACCCGCCTCTGGGCTCCCAGCCTCGGGCACAGAATGCCCAGGTCAGCCAAGCACGGAAGGCTGACCGCTGCCATTATGGCCACCGGTGTCTGCACATCACAGAGAGCTTCACAGGGCCGGACAGGCCAACTGGCCGCCTGTGTGCTGCTGTGTACCAGTCACGTAAGGCATGTGTGGGTCTGCTGCTCCTGTCTCCCACTATGAAGTCAGGAGCTCAACTAGATATACCCCACTGTCGCTATTCTCATCCTCGCTATTCTCTCTAACAGGCAGGTGAGTGATTTTCCTGGTCTCTTGGCTCTCATAGCATGGCCCTAACGTTGTCAGCGGAGGAATCAAGGCTTAAGTCATGGGATGCCTGAAGGGTTTTCTGTGATATAAAATAGCGTGGTAAAACAGGAGAAAATGCTTCAGATGCTCCTGTCTGGACACATGGGTCATGAAGATTTCCTGAACTACCAACAGATTTCCATTAATACTAACTCACAGAAATAGTTAATAATTTTATCTTTCTGAACTTTAAAATTTGATAAATTTTTGTTAATAAATTAAAACAAAATTTGTTGACTATAGATAATATGGGATATAGCATATTATGAATAAACTGATGATTCTAGAAACAGCAGCGGGGGACTGTAATAGCAGGTCCTGGGGTCTTGGTGAGTCTCATAAGGAACAGAAAGAGCTACATGTATATTTGCTTGTAATGATGGATTATTCTCTTTCAATGTATGTTACAAGAATATTCCTTTTTCTGGGTTTTTTTTTTTTTTTCAGAGAATGAGACAGGATAATATTTAAAATCACAAGACGATTTCCTGTTGTTTGTCAAGCAAAGCACAAGGAAGTGAAGCAGAAAAAACAATACTATACAATTACGAACAAAATACAAAAGACAGGTCTACAAACGAAATGCCAGTTTTCAGTTCTCAGAACACGAGGACAAACAGCTGACCTTGTACGTGTCCACATAGCGGTCTTCTTTTTCTTTATGCTGAACAGCTATAGGCTTAGAGAGACTTCTGCAGAGGAAAAGACAAAGACAAATGAAGTGATTTCCTGTTTTCAGCATTAAGCTGCCTGATGTTTACATCCCTAAGTAAACAATCAGCAAAATACATGGTCTTCACTCTTGTTCTTACACATGAAGATTTGCAACTACCAGTAAGGATAAAATTACCATTTAAACATTTGGGTTTTTAATGCAGGCCATTCCGGCGGTGCGAGGTGGCCTCTCACTGTGGTTCTATTTGCATTTCTCTGGCTCCAAGGGATGCTGAATATTTTTCCATACACCTGTTGGCCATCTGCACTTTCTTTCTGGAGAAGTCTTTTTAGTCATTTTACCTGTTATTTGACCGGACTGTTACTCTACTAGCAACAACCAATGCTGGTGAGGGTGTGCAGAAAGAGGAGTTCCCCTGCCCTGCTGGTGGGGTGCAGATGGGTCCGGCCACCATGCACAGTGGTGTGGGGTCCTCAGGCCACTGCGAATGAACCGCCACGTGGCCAGCAATTCCACTCCCGGGGACCTACCCAAAGGACACACACACATCAACTCAAAAGCACTCCTGCACCCCTGTGCTCTCTGCAGCGCTACTTAATAGTAGGTAAGCTTGGACACAACGCCAATGCGCCAATGCCCCAAACTAGCCGGCTGGATCAAGAAGGCGTGGTGCACACACACAGTAGGATACTACTCAGCAATCAAAAGACTCAGGTCTCTCACAGCAACATAACTGGAGCTCAGTGGAATAAGCCAGAGGGGAAAAGAAAACTATCAGTAGGATGCAGGAGGAATGCAGGGAACTGAATAAAGGATCAGGAAAAAGAAACCCCAAATGAACAGGCAACTATAAATCAGAGCCAGTCTGCGGGGGGGAGGGATCAGAATGAGGGCAGGAGGGACCGGGGCTGGGTGACAGTGCAGGGTGAGCTGGTGGGGGCTCCATGAGGACACACCTGAGAGGGGCGAGCAAACATTGTGCAAATATGAATGATGCAAAAGTTGTATAAATTAATAAATTATAAAAAATAAAAACTTAAGGTAGAGTTTTCTGTACGATTTTTAAATTTTATTTACTTTTTATTCACGATGCACCATTATTTCACAAGCTTGATTGTTTCTCCCCTTAGACGGGCCACACAGCTCTCAACTAGAGACTAGAAGGACAGCTGAATGCTGACAAGGAATGAGGTACCCTAGAAGGTAGATGGCCTTCATTTCTTTCTCACGCAAGTAGCAGACATACACAAACTGAAGGCCATTCCAGATGCATATCTTCAGTGACATGGCAGCCAAAGTGACATTGACCTTGATTCAAGCAAGACACCTTTGCTGTAAGAGGGGACACCTGAGCATGAACTAGGGACTAGAGGACACGACTGTCCACTCTCCTATGTGTGAGCAGTGGCACCAGAGTTAAAGTAAGGAAGCTCTGCTGTCTTAAGAGACATATACGGACAATACAGGCTTGGCACGACCAGATACCTGTGATTCATCTCAAATAGGAAAAAGAAAAGAAAGACGCACACGCTTGGCAAAGTTTTTGTAACCTTTTTTGGTGGGTCATTACATGCTCATTCCATTTTTTTGTGCATGTTTGAAAATTGTCATGGGAGGAACTTTAGTGAAATAAACACAGTGTACAGTGCTCTGACGAAGCCGCAAGGTGACGGTGCCCGCAAGTACCTGTAGACTAACGGGTCGCCGAGGTCAAGCGTCTCGCTAACGTAGTCCGCAAGTATAAATGGGAAGACTGGGTACTGCATGAGATCGTTGAAGGAGCGGCCAGCATGCTTGTTTAAGTGAGTCAAATACTCAAAGTTGGTGATTTGCCCAGTGTACCACAGGTTCGTCAGAGCGGTGATGTTGCCGTACTCCAGGAGGTTGGGGAGGTCGTTAGTCAGCACCCCGTGGTACACATCATCACGCACCTACGAGGACAGGAGACAAGGATCTTAGTCTTTGACTCCTGCCACTTTCCTCCAAAGAGTTCACGTGTCGCAGGCTGGGTACTGATTGCCAGGCCAAGAACACACTTTCTGCCCAACGCTAGCAGCTGGAGAACTGAGGCCCAGATCTAGGTCTCCCTCCGAAAGCTGAGCTCTTAGTCATGAGGTTTGCTGCTGCACAAGTCTGCTTATGAGTGAAGAGATGGTTTGTATAGAAAAGTCTGCTACAGACATACTTCTTTTCCTTGAAGCGTGATGCAGAGCGCACGCTTTTCTGAGCTAGCACTGTCTCCTCCTTAAAGCTTCCTAGTGCAGTTACTGCACCTGTAATATTTGGGCACTAAAATGTATTTCATAGAAATGAAATAAAATATGCTGAGTAAAGTAGGTTATATGCTTTTCACTACTGATTGAAACTAACGTTTAAACTTCTTTTTATAGCTTCATATAAGTTTTATCATAAAAAAAGAGTATTCTGATTTCTCGCAAAGCAATTAAATGATCTTCGGGAGTTAAGTAGGAAGAAAACAGACAAGCCAGGTCTTCGCTACAATAAAGTCTGAAATACCCATCTTGAATGTGTGGTCTCAGGCACAGAAAATGTGCCGCAGGCACTGACGACCAGAGCCAGGATGGAGAGGAAATGAGAAGAACAGGAATGCAGGTGTCGCCAGGACGGGCATGACGACAGCTTTCGGAACCCAAGACTGTGGCCTGGCTGAAGACGGCCTGGCAGGAGACAAGGGTGTCCATTCCTACCACTCTACTAAGCACCGCCTTGGGGCCCTAGCAGGAGCCATTAGGCACGAGAAAGATAACAGGGCCGCTTCAGGAAGGAAGAGGGAAAGCTAACTTACACAGAGAACCCAAAGGTGCCACTGGAGTACTAATTAAAAATAAACCAGTTCAGCTCAGTGAAAGGGTACAAACTCAATACACAAAAGTTAGTTTCCTTCTTATATGCAAACAATGAACAGAAGAAGAAGAAATCAAGAACATGAGCCCATTTAGAATGTGGACGGAAAGAACCCATACCGCACTGAGAGCAGCTAACTGCGAAGACCCAAGGAGATGAGGGGTTCACTGTGCATGTTCAGTGCGGAACGGCCAATGAGACATCAATGGGAGAGGCCCAGGAAGGAGCTACATGGAAGAGAGTGGTGATTAGAGGGGCTCGGGCTGTGCTATCACCTGTACGCTGGTTAAAGCCAAAAGAGTAGACGAGAAGAGAACGCGTCTGAGGAATGAGCCTCACTCAGAAGAGGCTTCTACACGCCCGACCAGGCCGGCCCGGCTGCTGGATCGAAGCAGGACTGAGAGAGAACCCGGAGGCCCACAAGGAAAGTTTGGTTTATTATTGTTTTAAGAGAAAGGAGGGTCAGCTGGTCAAATGCTCCTGATAGTTCAAAAATGAGGACTAACAATGTCACAGGGCTTAGCAGCAGGGAGGTCACTGGTGACCCCGTGCAGAGAGGCTGCGGGGGGGCACGCACCACCGACCTGCCCGGGGGATGGGGGATGAGAGGGGACACCTGGCCGCAGGCACGGTGTCCAGAGAGCGGACAGGGCACAGCTGGGGGCTGGGCAAGAAAGGGTTTCGCCACAGCAGAGCCTACCAGCAAGGCTGTAACCACTTCTGTGCTTCTCATACACTCACTCATGCAGTTTTTACAGATCCAGCCACTTTGGGGAATCAGAGTTTAAGACGGTTTTGGAGGACAGACAACCAAGGAGCACTTAACTAGTACTGAGACACGGGGCAATTTAAAATTCACAGTAACAGTGAACTGATGTTTAAATAAGCTACATCTTCATATAATCATTGAGTCCAGTCACTCTGGCCCCATGACCCTTCAAAAATACACCTGCCAGCAAAGCTGAGTTCACCTTGGTGTTATCGAAGGCCAACAGGAGTGTCCTGCCATTGGTCAGGAAGATCTCTACAGCGTTATCTCGCAACTGCCACCAGCGCTTGTGAACTTCTTTAATCTCTTCGTATGTCCAAGAAAATGAGGCTGGCTCCAGCTCCCCCTGGAGGTTCTGAGACAAAGGAAATAGATGGAAGTACACAAAAGATAAATAACCACTTTACTTTTATATCTTAAAAATATATAAAATTAAAAAATCTTCCTCCTGTGGCAAAATGACAGATAAGATTCTGAAAACCCCCCCACTATGAAATACTTCAAAATGGTAGATGGAATTTAAGAATTTTTTAAAATTAAGAGCTTAATTTTTAAAACAGACTTTTGCAGCAGTTTTAGATTTACAGAAAATTGAGAAGGTATTAAGAGTTCCCATGGAGCCCATCTCTGCACCCTGTTGGTTTATTATTTATTACTTTTTTTTTAAAAGATTTATTTGCACACAGAGCTGCGGTACAGGCTAGAGGGGCAGGGACTGTGAGAGGCTTCACCAGAGACAGAGTGGGGAGCAGAACAGGCAGATCAACAAAGTACACTGCTGAGGGGAGCAGCAGGCGGGTCAGGAGAGGTCTGCCGTGCCATGTGGTCACCTCCGGGGCAGGTGGGAATCGAACTCATGCGGAAGTGGCTTTAGCTTCTCAGTGTTGTGCTTTAACTTCTGCGCCACCAGGGATGGCTATTACTTATCTTTTAGAAAATATTTATTTATGCACACAAGAGCTGGGGTGCAGGCCAGAGGTGTGGGGGTGAGAGGACTCCCCAGAGACAGACTGGGGAGCAGAACAGGCTAATGATGTACACTGCTGAGGGAGCAGTGGAGAGGTCTGTTACGCCCTGTGGGTCACTCCCTGGCCAGGGATGGACTCTCGCTGCAGGGGCTGTCAGTAGCTTGACAGTGCTGTCTTTAATCCCTGTGCCACCAGGGAGGGCCTGTTCACTTATTATTATTAACCTCTTCCACTGCTGTGTTTCATTGTCTTTACAACTGATGAGCCAATATGGAATATTTTGTTTTTATCTGAATCCCACAGTTGTCATCAGGGTTCAATCTTGCGTCTCACCATTCTATACACTTTGATAAATGTTTGAAGAAATGTACTCACCGCTACAGTATCACACAGAATAAAATCCCCTAGTGTTCATCTATTCACCTCTTCCTGTCCCTGAAACCACTGCTCTTTTCACCAACAGAAAGCTTTTCCCTTTCTACAACACCATGTAGCTGCAGCCAGGCCGCAGGCAACCTGTTCGGGTTGTCTTCTTTCCCAAGCAAATGTTCTGTAAATGTATAGCTGAGTTTGCAAGAAAGTAAGGGAGAGAGATCTCCAGGAGTTAGAAATAGAGAAATTTGAACACGGTAGGAAGAGGAAGTGATACTTCGGCCACTTCACTGGGTGGGTGCATGCGTGTGCATGGGTGCACACCCCAGTTTCAGGGGCTGGGCCCGGCCCAGATCACAGGGTAGAATTGAGACGCCTTCAGGGAACCGAACCCATGAAGGGACGTGCTCCTCAGAGAAAGCCAGACAGACATGGCCCTCAATAAGGAGAAGGAACCGGGAGCCTGTCTCTGGGCCTGGGCCTGGGCCTGGGCCTGGATGGAGGATGGAAGAAAGCCTTTCTCAAGAGTGCGTCACATGGGCCTGCCCTCGCTGGCGTTCCTAGGGCTCGGAGCCATCCCTAAGACAAACCAAGCCTCTGGAGGGGCACCGCAGACACCCCAGTCCAGCTGGCGAACGCAGCCCTGGTTGTACTGCCAGCAAGCAGGCCTGCATCATGGCTGGAGTCACAGCAGGAGGAGGTGGCCACCAGTGGCTGCCTCCCGCTGTATGGATGCGGCCTGCGGGCCCCCTGAGGAGCCTGGCGTTCCGGGCCCGAGGCCCTCTGGCTCTCCTGTCCTCAGGCCCCACAGCACAAATTCAGAGAAAACTTTGAAAAACATCTACATCTTTCCTAAACTGCAATTAAACACATGAATTAAATGAGTCAAAGTTTTAAAAGAAAAATAATGAAAAGTTACCAAAGAGAAAGATAAGTTTAAAGTAGTTAGAAAAATAATAAAGAAATAAAATGTTCCTGTCCATCTTTTCAAACACCCTCAGCCTTGACTCCTGGCAGTTTCCCACACGGACGGCGCAGCCCCGCTGGTGACTCACAGAAAGCCACAGCGATGCTGAGCACTTGGCTGCTAGGCTGCCGTGACTTCGTCACTTCAGCTACTGAGTCTTTCGGAAACCTGTAGTTTTAAAAATCTGAATTGCCCTGATCTATGTGCTTTAATGGAACCCAACTGATTTCTGGAAGTAAAGGCAGAAAATATATTACAAATAAAAAGATCTAATAAAAACGTAATATTCTCACTTTTTAAACTCAATTCCTCATTTAGCGTCAGTATTCGCCACTCAGTTTAACATAGATCAAGAATCTATGGGCAAAGTATTCCACCTAAAATAAAAATGTACTAGGTAAAAAGGGGTGAGAGATATTTGCACAGACATTTGAAATACAAGACAGAAAACTCCTGTAAGAAAGAAGAAGGAACACGACAGCAGTGCAGAGGAAGGAAAGACTCTGCTGTATGTTTCCAGCCGGAGTATTTTAAGAGAGTTTACAGGAGGGAACTGCCATGCTCAGACTCAGAAAAAAGCTGGCTCTTCCTTCAACTACTAATACCCTTGGCTGCTAAAAGATACGTCTTGAAAAATAGTAATTGCACATTTACCAACGTGGACAGATGCAATGGCGATTGCTAAACAAACCTCGGAAGAATACATTTTTCTTCTCCCATGCTTTTCTGGCTGCCTCCCGTCACAGACCCATGCCTGGGAGGACGTCACTTCCCAGCAGGAGAGACGGGGCGCCGACTCGGCTGCATCAGGTGTTTTCGCGAATTTTAAACGTTGTTTTATAATCAAATTTTCTGTTTTCACTCAGCTATGTGATCACCATTAATGCATACTCAATCTTATTTAGTATATCCTTAGAATTACTGGTTTTAGAACTTTTCTGAAACAAAAGTCCTATTTCTTTTATTAATGGCATCTCAAAATAGTATTTTAATAGGATTATGCTAGTTCAAATGGGCAAAACAACTTTACAGAAAAGTGACTTGTAAATATTTTCTGACTATTATCAGTATTTCCAGGAAAAACTTAGATTTGTAGGCTAAGGGAACATCAAGATTACCTAAGCTCCTCAATTATACAATCTTCTCTGTTGTTGAAGGCATGTACACATGAGAGCAAGCTGGGAGATTCGGAAGCGCCTGTCTGCGGCCCACGGGCAACCATGAGACTGGCTGCTATGGGTGGGATGGATGGGAAGCCTGGAGGGCTGGTGCTGCTGCTTTCTTTTTAATTGTCCTTTAAGAATATTGGAATTCAGATCAATCTACAGAGGGCGAAATGAACTCTGGCAGTTCTGTCGGCTTCATGATTATACTGAATTTATTATACATTTTGGGAATTTACAGATTTACTTAAGCGCCAACCAGCATCTACTTACCGAACTTTCAATGGTGTCAGAAGCATTATCTTCCACAAAATACATTCCACATTTGCCTGCGGAAAATAATTTGTATGAACTTTAAGATGTACATGCTCCATCAACAGTTACGGCTAAAAGCACGACCTCTGGATTAAGACAGCCGAGAAAGTTTACACAACCGAATGGCATATTAATGTGCAAAAAAAACAAGCTCAAAAAGGCTGCCAAATAGTCAAGAACAAAATAAGGCAAATGAACGTGAGAAAAACTTCAAAACAGGACTTACCCAGCAACAGCTCACCGGCAGTCTCTCGAGATGGCGCTACACTGACGCATCTTCGATTCACTCTGTCAAAACGGGGGCCAAGGTCGGGGTAAGCGTTCTGACCAGTGTCAGGGAGCCCAACTTTCATTTTATCGAGTAAAGGAGGTCAGCAGAGCAGACTAGAGTTTCAAAAGCATGAGCTGTCTTGTCAAAACCCACCTAGAATGTTCTACCATCTTTGAATATTGTAGCAGAGGAGAAAATAATCAGAACTTTTAGAAAAGGCTAATAATCCCTACATCTGCTGTGCAGAGTGCGGGTTCATCTACATTCCAGTAAATAAGCAAGCTGTGCTTCATGCCTGACGCTTCACACTTGTAAGGGAAGCCTATTATTCTTGGAAAAAAAGGTGAGAGTCAGAAAACTTCCCTGATCTTCAGTCAGGCTACTTATCTTCCTTTGAGCCTAGTTTTTAGTTGTTAAGTGAACAGCACAGCAGTGCTACCACCGTGATGACGGCGGTCACACCATGCCCTCAACAGTGGCCCGGCATTCACCTTTGGGTGCTGCCACCTTCCCTGGGCAACAGACCCCACTGGGAGGGACAGAGGCTGTGCGCCTCGCCCGAGACCCGCGAGCTAGGAGAGCAGGGAGCGGGCTTAGCCTCGGCCCTGCTCCAGGTGACCCAGGGGTGCCACGGGCAGGACTGTCCACGTCATGGACATGCTAGAAGACCAACATAAAAGCGCTAAGCCACCAGCGGCCGAGCACAGGCTGCAGGCGCTGATGGTCCCTTTCACGTTTTGGTCATCCATCCTGGCACCGTCTTGAGCCATGTTTCGGACCTCCCCAAGCCAACAGTGAAAGCAGCATCCAACTGAATACCCCATAGCCACTGCAGGAAGCTACTATACCTCATCGCCTTCAGCAAAAGACAGAGGGCTTATGGTGTCAAATTTACCTTATAGACTCACTTGCAGCTTTGTCTTTTACAGTAGAAGAGAGAGAAGAATGAGTTTTGTCTTCAAATAAGTAAGAGAGGGGTGGTTTGACCACGTCTGTGGGGAAAAAGTCCATGTTAGCTCTGTTAGGACCACAGCCGTCTGCTGTATGCACAAGCTCAGTGAAGAACTACGGTACCTTCTGGCTTTTGCCTGTCCCTGAGGAGATACTTATTGGGGATGGTTAAGTAACACCTCTGCAGACGCCGCCGCTCTCTGTTGGGCCCTTCTGTTGGGTCCAGCTGCCAGGACGTTGGGTAGTAGGTGGGGTCATACCAGACCGCTCTGCAAGCAGATGAGAGAGTGCTGGAAGAGGTCACCTGAGGTGCTTACAGCTTTCAAAAAGAACTGTTATAAGCGCTAATAAATAAACGAGAATTTACCTACCTAACTAGAGCTGCAGACTCAACAGCTCAGCCTGGCGCCCCTGCCCAGAGGAGGAGCAGCAGGTCCGCTCCTGACTGAGTCTCCGGGCTCTGCCCCTCTCTTATTCCCGTTACATTAAAAACACGATGACTGGCCCTCCCTGGGGGCACAGCGGGTTAAAGCACAAGTTCAATCCCTGCCCACCCCAGAGTGACCACAGGGCACAGCAGACCTCTCCTGACCCCTGCTGCTCCCCTCAGCAGTGTGCTTCATCGATCTGCCTGTTCTGATCCCCACTCTGTCTCTGGGAAGTCCTCTCACCACCCCTGCTCCTCTGGCCTGTACCCCAGTTCTGTATGGATAAATAAATAAATCTAAGAAAAAAACCGAAAAACACGATGACTGTGTCCTAGTGCTAGGCTGTTCTCCTGTGGCTGTTAGCACGAAAAACTTAACAGCAGGAAAGGTAACTGCGGCATACAAAGGTCTTACAAAACCTAGTGGCCTCTAGGAACCCTGAATATTTTTCCAGGTGTTCATTAGTTTTGTTTCACAGGAAGACTGTATTCCTATCTTTTGTTCACTCAAACTTTTGGGATCTTAGCATTCTCCTTTCAAGTCTTTAAAGATATTTTTAAGCAATATAGATATTAGCTAATATATTTTCATTATAGTTAAGCACATCGGGAAGATGGAAGCTGTGACTCGCTCACTTCTTCTCTGCAGTTTCTTCCATTGCATCTGAGCTCAGAAGTTTACCCACCAGAGTTGGTAAAGAGCCTGTTTTCCTGTTTGACACACTTTCTCAGTCTAATTCTTTAATTCACCTGGAATCTGATTTTCTGTATGTCTGCTGTATTTTAGCAGCCCAACATCGTACTAATTAGTTACCTTAGGCAAATTTAGAGAATACTAAATTTTTTCCCCATTATTTCGTGATAGATGTTTTAAATTTTATTGCCGATGTTTTAGGCACTTAAGGGGGTGCTACACCTTTTTCTGGAGTGAAAGGCGTTAGCCTCGGTGAAGACACAAGCAAGGCAAAGACACCGCCACGCTCACCTGTCGTGCGTCAGTTGCTGAATGAGCTCCTGCCAGTGCCTGCTGGCACTCAAGCCCACTTTATACGCCCCTCTGATATGCTGGATCACCTTCTTCCTCTCCATTCCCTGGGAGAGAGACACTGCCTGGGTGACATCTGCAGCTATTTTGGATATTTCCTTCGATTTTGAATGGAGACGCTGAAAGAGACTAAGCACACACTGTCGTCCACAAGTTAAGGGTCCGAGGCCCCTTCAAAGTGTGTCAAAGCGCGGCCCTTTGCAGCTAAAGTGTATGTGAAATCGAAAGGAGCCCTAACCCCGGCGACTTTGAGAGCGCACCAGAGCCTACCTTTGTTGATTATTCTTAACTGTTTTCTGCCAGCTGGCTTTATTCATATCTTCTTCGGCTTCGTATTTCTTTTGTTCCTAAAAGATTTAGATAACAGCGTGCCAGTAAGCTGCAGCACCGTTTTCACTGTCATAGTGCCCATAAACTAACTTAGAAGCCCAGTTAACTGAGGAGAAACACTGTCCTCGAGGAGCAAGCCCGAGCCTGGCCACCCAGAGCTGCCACCCATCACCCACGCTGGCTGCCGCCGCTGCCGCCACCAAGGCTGGCGGAGTTAACCTGCGGCCGAGAGTGGCCATTCTCACAGCTGCTGACTGTTTGGATTTTTTAACCTGCAACTCAAGCTGGATGCTTCAACCTGCTTGCGCCAATAAGGGTCTTTCCTTCACTGGAAGCCCCTGTCAGTGGATGGCCGCAAAACAACACTCTGGGAAATACCGCTCCTTCTCCACAGTAAAAAGCAATATGAAGTAAGAAAGCTACCATGTCAGTTCCATCATCAGTGATCACTTATGATAAAAGCCACGTTTAATCAATTTAAAATCATAGTTAACGAGCTCTCCTAGGAAACCATTATGATGTCACTGACTCACCTCTTTGATCAATTTAGTAAGATCTGCTTTCGCCGCTGCCCCAGCAGGAATGCACTTATGACCGCATAATTTTAAAGCATTCATAAGCAAGTCTGCTGTGTCCAGTTCTTCTTCAGTCAGTTCATCCTGGTGATTATGTATCAATTCTGACAAATACAAAGCTAATTTGGCGCCATGCTTAAAAAAAAAAGCAGTATTTTAGTTTCTTACATTTAAATTATCTGCTAGTTAAATCAAATTATATTGGTTTATTTGACTAAATTGGCTTAGAAGGTTCAATTCTGGGCAGAACTGAAGAAATCTGACCCTGCACTGTCTCCTTGGTGACATCAGGGTGTATGAGAACTTTGTGAGGCATGATGATGTTATGCTAACACAAGAAACAGGCTGTGACTGCCATAATTGACTTGAAAATACTGCAGAATCAGAAGTAATGCTAAAATACTGGCAGTTGTTAAATGTAGGTAATGGTTTTATGGTATTCATGATAGCACCAGTAGGCTTGAAACTTTATATTGTAAACACAAAAACAAAGCAAAAGGAAGAAAAAGAGGTAAAAAGAAAGAAAGGAGGCAAGAGGAAAACAAGGCCAAGAAAGAGGAAGGAGGGGAAGAAAGAAAAGAACGGAAACAAGCTTGGGAGAAAGGAATTCCATAGAGAATCTGGGAGAGGCAGCCAGCAAGTAAGCCTGGGCCCACTGAAGGAATCTTAGTTCTGCTCACAGAAAAGTGAACTGGTAGGAAAACTTTCATCTCAACCTTAATTATGTTTATTTATTCTTTTCCCTTGGACTGCTTAGAACAGAAGACAGTTAAAATTTCAGGTATAAACCGTTCAGCGTTTTATTACTCCCTGGAGAGAACAAAAGGTGAACGAGAGCTCAGCTCCTAGCTGTATGAGCATGTCCGGGGCTGGTTGCAGACCTAACCCGCTGCGTCACCAGGGCGGGCCCTGAGTGTCTTCTTACGACGAGACCCTGCAATCACAACCAAGGGCTGTGGCACCAGCCGCTGCCCGTACAGCACAGCCCGAAGCGAGAGCTCGGTCCACGGCTGAAGTGCCCTGGTGAGACACTCTGACTGACCGCTACGGTTACAGCAGACATTCATTTTGACAGTTTACACAACATGCAGAATATTACTTAAAAATTTTGCATTGATACAAACGTCACTGCATTTGGCGTATGACATTTTAAACTGGGAAAAGTATTAAATGTCAACAATGGATTTGGAGACGATTACATTTTGGGTGATAATTTAGATTAACACACTGAATCATAGCATGTCATTTCCCGGCATGCTGTGTCATGTCCCCCAAGTGTCAGAGGAATAGGCGCAAAGGTGAGACCTGCAAAAGCACATTGTAACTCAAGTCAGGAGATGCTGCTCTATGACCAGAAGGTAAAAATGGACAGATGCTCTATGGGTAACAGGCCTGATGAGTTGGCAATAAGCCAAAATGGAAGTGACCAGAATATTTCTGTATATGTGGTTTAAAGGTAATGTTCTAAATATAACCCTAAAAATACTTCAGTTAAGCATTCGATGACATTCTAAAATCATCTTGAAAAACTCTCAGAAATGTTTTATTCTGCACATCCAAGGAACATGATTCTCTGAACACCGAGTTGTTTACGGCATCTCCCACCTCATTTAACATTTTCTGATGAATCACTCATGGCTCACAGCTACTGAACTAGAAATTATTTGGACAGTTGTGAAAACAGTCTCATTTCCTCCTTCGAGAGGCTGACTTAAGGAATTAAATCTATCAAGCAAATTTCTTAGAGAGCAATGAGATGCCTAATGAAGTGTTCCACGCAGACCGGAAAGAAACGGAAGGTGTCAAGGTGGCACAGAGAGAGCTGCGTGTGGAAAAACAGTTTACTTTCAGCTGTTTTGTACAATTTTACATTTCGCCACAAGTTTTTACTAATCTGTGGGTACTGAAACACTTACCTGCAGTGATGGGCTAAGGCAATCTCGCAGTATTTCTTGATGATTTGGTTCACGAACGATGTCAAGCACTTGCTTTCTCTCATGCGAAGGGTGCACCGGAGACAGCGTGTGCACCAGCAGTCTGCCCAGCTGCACACGGAAGGTCTCCTTGCAGGAGCACAAGATCTTCTTCCACTGCTGCCTGGGCCCGCCAGCCTTACTAGGACCCTTAGAGCGAAACAAGAATGAATTAGCACCATCTACAGGTAACCATGGGGCATGTTTATACCAGATTTTGACAAACAATCAAAGGAAGACACAAGACATCATACCAGTGGGTGCTTAAAAGACATGGACATATACCAGTGTATACAGGTGCATTAAGCAAAAGAGCCAAAAGGTGGAAATAATCCAAATGTCCATTGGTGGATGAATGGATAAAAACGTGATATTGTGGAGGATTACTGTAAAAAGGAACATGGTTCATGATACATGGTTCAAAGTGGTTGAACTTTGAAAACATGGTACATGAAATAAGCCACACACAAAAAGGCAGAAATATTAAATAAGGAGAAATAACACATGATATGTATTAGGTAGCTGGAAAGTCAAATTCACAGAGACACAAGGTAGAATAATGGCTATGGGGGAGGTAGCAGGGTTGCTGGCTAATGGATACAGACGTTAGTCTGGGATGATGAGAAGTTCTGGATATGAACAGCAGTGATGGTTGCATGAGAGTGTAAAGGCAGTTGGCACCCTTGAATTCTGAATTATATCCTTAAACATGGTCAAAAGAGCAAATTTTATGTTATGTACACTCTGCCACAATTAAAAAAGAGAGAGAACGATGAAGAAGCTTAAGTCCTAAATCACTTAACATGACCTACGGACTCCCCTCCCGCTATCTTTGTGGTCCTCAGTCAGACGGACTCTGGGACGCTTCTGGAGGTGACACCACAGTGGCAGCCCAAGGAAAACCCCAAATTCAATTCAAACTTGCACTGGTGGGTAATGGTAGAACTGGGAAAACTATATTCATGAAACGCCACCTCACTGGTGACTCTGAGAACAGGTATGTAGATGCCTCGGGCACTGAGACCCAACCCCTTGGGTCAGCACCGGCAGAGCCTGGAGAGACCAGTGAGTGGGAAACTGCAGCTCGAGAGACCTGGGCGCTGAGGCGGTGATTTCAGCCAATGCCAGCATGTGCTTCTAATATGCCATGTAACATCAAAGGTTATTTCGGGGCTTCCCGGATGTTGCGAGGGGCTAAGTCTCAGCACCGTGAAGCTGCCTGCAGCCACGGCAGCACAAGTTCGATCCGGCCAGGGAGTGACCCCAGGGCGCAGCAGACCCTTCCTGTCTTCCTGCTGCTTGCCTCAGCAGTGGGTCTCAGGAGCTCAGCCTGTCTGCTCCCTACTCTGTCTCTGGTGAATCCTCTCACCCCCCTGCACCTCTGGCCTGCACCTCAGCTCTTGTGTGCACATGTAAATCTTAAAAAAAAAAAAAGGCCATTTATGAGAATCTCTACCTGGAATGGGGAGCTGGCATGTGTGAGGCCTGGCACATGCCAGCATGCCGTGTGGTGGCACAGTAGATACTAAGACAGGAAAGTCAACGCAAGTGCACTGTCTTCCCTGAAAGAAGGATCTTCAGTGTTAGCACATTTCTGCAACTTTGAGAAGGGCTGCCTTTGACTTGGCAGAAAACTAGCTGGGGATCCTCACGTGGGGCTCAGTGCCACGCCTGCACCTGTCCCCACACGGGCCCAGACCCAGCCCACAGCAGGTGGGCGCTACTTGCAGGGCGCCCTGCCAGCTGCCCCAGGAGAGGACAAGGGCCTGTGTCAGAACTGGTTCCCAAGGCAGCACGGGCCACTGCCTCCGCACCGAGCAGGGTCCTGCCCTGCCTCGGGGACGCTGAGGAGACAAGCAGGGCTCAACGTTGAGTGTGGAGGCTAAAAGCCGCTCTCTGGGCATCAGTATTCTGCTACCTTGGAGGCAGCTGCCCCTTCCATGGTTCAGACAGAAGACGTGATAGCCACAGCAGGCACCCCAGGGCGTGAGAGCGATCACCTTCTCCTTAGTGTTAGAGTTGGGATTAAGCTGTATTTCAAGTTAAAAAAAAGACCTAGCTTTTGTAGATTTTAAACAAACCAAAAAATGCCAAAACCACAGTAGATGTTTTTTCAGTATGAAAGAGAAATAGTCATAAGACCTGAATTAGAAACAGGCTGCTGAGCACAGCAGCCCCAATTTAAGGACTGAATGGAAGGGCTTGGCAACACTCCCCGAGACAGTCCAGTGAGGCTGGTGCAGTTCTGAACAGAACTCCTGTATCTGCAGCTGGAATCTGGTCATTCAAGAACTCAGTCTGAGTTGTGGAGACAGACCTCCAATTACTCCTGACTCAAAGGGCCCTGCGTGAAAGATTCAGTTAAGTGCAAACCACAGACAGAAATTTGGGTTTACATTTGAAGCTGGCATTCACGACCCGTGCCTTTGCCAGAAGTCGGCCAGTCTGGGGTGTTTATGGAGGGAACTGACTGATTTGCTCCCCTTGCTCAACTGTAGTGACCTACAGAAATCCGAGTCAGGGAACATAGAGCCTGACATGTCGATGTTCCCTGTGCAATTCTGAAGATACTGACTGCTTTTAAGCCAAGTTTAAATGTCACAGTATTTCAGACTAATAATTCAAATTACTTATAAAGTCCTTTAAAGCTGAGTTATTAAACTTTCCCAGGAATCATCAAAACCCAACTCGGCTGATGCTTACTAAACTCCAGTATTGGAAGGTGCTGTCCAGGTTACACACTTGGAAACCAGGGGTGTATGAGGGACCTTCCAGGAGAGGTAAATCAGCAATACTTGGCACTCCTTGATTCAAAAAATAAAATTGCCTGAGTTTTAAAAAATGGTGTGAAAGCGTACAAATATGGTCTTGAAAACATAATACAGACACACAAAACCTTTACTCATTTGCATTTTCCATGTAATTAATTTACTTACAATAGATACTTTGAATCCTTCTACCAGATATGTGAACATTTCTTTCTGAAATGGATTGAAAATGAAAGGTTGTTCCTGATGAGTGTTTTCTTCCAAAGTTTCGTTCTGGGAAGCCGAGGTCTTGCACTGAGTTGCATTTTCTGGAGTACTCAAAATGTCAATAATGTCTGGATTAAATTCTTTGAATTAAAAAAATTAAAATTAAAGAGAGTCATATCACCAATACCACACTATCACAAATGGTAATGATGCTGGTAAAAACATTCTCTTTAATCACTAGTTCAGTTATCAAAACATAAATGTGTATAGTGTAATCGACTAGAGATTAAGCTATAACTAGAAAAACTGCACTCCTATAAAACAATCTAGGAATTTAAACACATCTATGTGAATAAGCAACTCTAAATCCAGTCTCTAGCTCACTAATGATGATGCAGTTGAACTGCAGAGCAATGAAGCTGAGGCTCTTGCAGCCCCACGATGTGCAAGTCACAGGAAGGACACAGAGCTTACTTAAGCTTGCCCACTAATGCTGCACACGAGATAAAGATGATTCAGTCTGAGATTCAGCCTGAGAGCTGGTGGACAAAGGAAAGCTGTTTTTTTTAAGGCTTAGGTGTATTCAGTGGAATACTACTCAGCAAGCAAAAAGACAAACTCGTGCCACCCACAAGCAATATGGAGCTGGAAGGGAGTATGTTCAGTGAACTAAGCCAGAAGGAAAGAGAAAATATCGGCTGGTTTCACTTATAGGAAGGATATAGGGGAACCATAAGTCAGAGGGAGGGAGAAGCACGGGGAGTGTGGTGAGGGTGCCCGGTGACCTGGAAGGGGACGTTCTGGAGACCACCCCTGAGAGGGAAGGCACACAAGCAGGCATGGCACAAAAATAAACAACAATGTAAAATACACATACATAAGTTGGAAAAAATACAGCTTAGGGGCACTGTGTTTTTAGAGTAATTATTGTTTCTAACAATTACTGTTTTCTATTTCCTGCCTTGAAGCCACTTGAACACATTGAGGATTTCATTTTGACTGAAATCTCGAGGGCTTCTGAGTGTATCTCTATGCATAATCTTTTAGTGGTTGTTCCAGGTCTATCTACATATCTTAAGCAACAGAGCAATTCAAATTGAAACCACAAAGCAATTCTACTCACAACTACCATGATGGTTAAAATAAGAAATAATAATGATTTCAAGTATTGGTAAGTGTGTGATGAAAACTGGATCACTCAGATGTTGCTGGTGAGAATGTAAAATTGTACGGAGACTCTGGAAAAGTTTGGCTGGTTTCTAGCAAAAACTCTATGGGCAACTGCCAGGCAAGCCAACGTTTACCCTCCTGGGCATTTATCCCAGAAAAACAAGGACTTATGTTCCCACAAAAGCCTGTGCACAGATGTTTCTAGCAGCCAACTTTATCTATAATAGTCCCAAATAGAAAAGAAGTCAAATGATTCTTCAACAGATGAGTGGTTAGCAAACTGGCCCATCCATGCTATGGAGTCATATTCAGCAAGACCAAAAAGGAATAAACTACCAAACATGCAACAACCAGGACACTCTCCAGAGGGCTACGTTGAGTGAAAAAGCCAGCCCTAACATTCTTGAAATGATGAAAATACAGAAATAAAAAATCCATCAGAGGTTGCCAGGGACGGGGGGTGGGGGAAAAGGGTGGGGTGAAAGTATGCAGGCTATGAAAAAGGCAAAGTAAGGAATCCTGTGGTGACAGAAATGTTCTGATTATTGACTCTATTAACGTCAATATCCTGGATTACAGTTTTTCCAAATCACTAGGGAAACTGGGGTCAGAGTACATGGAATCTCTGTAATAATAACTGCATGTAAAGGTAGGATTATCTCAACTGAAAGAAAAATATACTAGATGTCTGGCACTGTTTTAAACTCAATGGGAAGTTTAGGTCAGGATTTAACCCATTAACAAGTGAACTCTTACTCAAGATATTAGTTATAAATCAGAAATTCTTTTAATAGCATGGATAGTAAGAATAAGAATAATTTTGCTTAGGGGCCTCCCCGGTGGCACAAGAAGTTAAGTCTCAGCACTATAAAGCTGTCAGCAGCCCCTGCAGCACGAGTTCGATCTCTGGCCAGGGAGAGACCCACAGGGCGCAGCAGACCCCTCCTGTCTCTCTGCTCCCTCAGCAGTGTGTTCCAGTTTCTGCCTGTTCTGCTCCCCACTCTGTCTCTGGGGAGTCTTCTCACCCCTGCAGCTCTGGTCTGCACCCCAGTTTTGTGTGCATAAAACTTTTTTAAAAAAAGAATGCTGCCTAAAAGTTGGCAACGTAATTAGTTTCCTTTCCAATTATCTACTTTTAAGCCAGTATCTAACAAGAACATATTTCCTCTCTAGTCATACCGAGATAAATAATCCTGTTCACTGCCAACACGGCGAGTCTCTGTAGTCTCTGGGCCAGCTCCGCTTCTGTCGCTTGGACGGGATTCTCCTGGCTCATTCTTCGTTGCATCATCATATAGAGTTCATCACTTGCTACTGAACGCATTTTTACCAGAAGAGAGTCCGTCTGAGCAAGGGAAAATTTTCGAGGACCTTCAAGTACATAAGGTAAAACATCAAATATCAGATGAACAGGGATAAAGGAAACTCATTTTGGTGATTAACCCACTTAACAATACAACATTAATTCATACAAAGGGAAAGAAGGTGATTAAAAGAAAGCGGTTTCTCCCTCGTTAAGGAAATAAAACAGTACTTTTGATTTCAAAGGCCTAAATAAGAATGTTAACGCTGGTAATGTACCTTACCAGGATGAGTATCATTTGGCAAAATCCTGAAAAAGTCATATAATTGTAAGGATACAAGTAGTTCAGAACACTCTGACAAAGTATTTTCAAATACTGTTGTACTTCCTCATACTCCAAAACAATCAACAGATTTTAATCGCCTCTCATGTTTTATTTAGAACATTACACTATCTGGATCATTACCACTGTTGGATCTGCAAAGGAGTTTTGAGAAATGTATATAGTGACAGCACTGAAATCAGCCAAATGAAAGTGAGGCGATTAGGAAGACAAATGCAGTCCCAGTGATTTGCAGGAAGGATGATTTGCTGCATGCACGTCATCTGGAACTCAGCCCTAGGAAAGCATGTCCCAAGGATACTGCTTAGACACCCTGCACCGCTACTACACCTGCTCCATGAGGCACCGCAGAGGGAGCAGATTCAGGGGAAGGCGGCGGAGATGAGTCTTGGCTTAACGGCTGGAAGTTGAAAGGCATCAGAAGTTGGCCAAAATGACGCCTGGGTAGGTGAGGGGTAATGGACGCCTTCACGGGAACTGAACCTTTGTTTTAAGTTATGAAAACATGTGAGTTTACACAAATGCCTTTATAGACATTACCCATTATAGCTAGATTATGACAGGTTTAAACAACTCATCCTGTAAGACAAAGAATTTCATCGCACTTAGCCTACTATTTCAGGACATCAGTATTCTGCATTAGTGAATACATTTTGATGGACAGAGTCACTGTTGGGACAAAAATAAAGCAAAAATAACTCACATCTGGATATGAACTAAGGTACAGAATCAAAGAGGACACAAGCGTGAGAATGAGAAACACCAACAGGCAACATAAGCTATCTGCGCAGGTGACAGGCACACCTGCCTGTGTCAACAAAGGGCGAATTCCATCCGGACAACCAGTGACTCCAAGGCTGCCTGCAAAGGGGAGGTGGCCTAGAGGTCATCTTTTGGCATATATGAAGCTGTGCACGTATTACCGCCAGACCTGGGGAAGACAGGATTCTACCTGTGTCAAGAGAGGGCCAACTGGGACAGAAGCTCAAGGAGAGACTGCTTCCAGATATGAAATTAAAAAGGATACAGAGACGCAGTGACTTTAGTCATGCAGAGGCTTTAGCAGTTTGCTTACATAAGCTTTCCTTAGGCATTAGCTGAACATACTCTGGCAAGAAAATGTACATTTAACAGCCTTTCCCTACAGATAGATTTTTCACGTGGTTTTTAAGTTTGGCGTAGGACCGACCGTAACCAAGTGGTCATGTTCGGGTAGAAGAGAGACTAGGATCTAACACCCTTGCTCGTGGGGACTGCAGGGCCTCAGTGGTCGGTGTGGTGCGCGGACATGCCCCTGAGGAGGTGGAGGCGGCTGTCCATGAATCCTACTCAGTCACAATCCAACGTCGTGTAAAAACAGACAAATGACCAAACATTCACCAAGCGCCCTATGTGGAGACGTGTGTGTCCCCCTACAGACAGAGCTACACACACTCGTGTGCGGACAGAGTTGAGTGGGGGTAGTTATGCTTTCAGAATTTTGTATATGAACGTCATAGCAGATTCTGTGGAAAAAATAGGGATGTATGAAACTATCAGTATTTATTATTTGGTTCTATTTACTATTTATAGCACGCACGATGCCAAGTGCGCGTCACTGTGTCTGAGGCATCGTTTCTCCTGGCTGATTAGTGCAGTCATGTCTGACCTGAGCTCACCACTTGCTCTCTTGAACCCACTTCCTTCCTAGGAGCTACCCCGCCCCACCCCAACACACACACCCCTCTATGTGTGTCACGTCACATACTTAAACACTTCGGATGATTTTCCAACAGGACAGAATCTCAACTCCATACTGCGGCCTACATACCTGGCGCAGGCAGCCTCACCCAGCATCTTGCTGGCCACAAACGTGCTCTAGCACAGCTTAGACCTTCTGCTCGTGAACCATCACACAGGCCGTTAACTGCCTGCCACTCTCCATGGGTGTTTACCTGATCAGCTCATGTTTGCCCCCTCACCCTGCGCTGAACTCACCGCCTCAGGCCCCTCTGAGTGAAGGCAGGTTGCTCTGTCTTGATCTCTCTCCCTTCCCTCTACAGCCCTCTACAGTTCCCTAATCTCTGAAAGGCCAGAAGCTGTGTGTCTGTCGTTTTTTTTATCACTGCACAGCCAGCATTAACACTGTGCTCGGCATATTGAATGCTCAAAAGCTATCTGAATGAGATACCTGAATGGCACCAACAAGGAAGCAGCAGTTCCTAGGAGGAACTTTCTCAAGTTTAACTTTCAGTGCGAGGCTTTGTGAGGCTACCCGAAATGGGGTGTGAAGGCAGCAAGCATAGCAGGCAGGAATCCAATAGAATATGGCAGGGACTCTGGGCAGGAAGCACAGAGTCGCAGACATCGGGGAGGTATGCACGGGGAGGTATGCAAAGTTACCTCAATAAAAAAAGATGATAAGAGAGAAATGTTTAAAGAATGAATGGCAACAAAAATACTGTCAGTTCTCACCAGCAATGCTCTTCCCCTTCTGAAGTGTTGCATGGTGGGGAGCAGCAGTCACCTGGGACGAATCTGTAAGGTTTACGGAGTCGTGACTTGCAGTGGTTCTTATAAACTCCATGGCAGCCTGAAGTACCCTAAGCTGCAGCACAACCGCCATATCTGAAACAGAGGAGGCAAGAACAGCTCATAAGCTATGCGGTTGCCACGGTTTTATTTAACTGATTCTTACAGTCCTATAATATGAGCATTGCCAATAATGTTTCACTACACATAATTAAAAAAAAAATTACACCTGAAAGGGATCAGTGTTGTAAATCAGTGTTACTTTAATGAAAAACATTCATTAAAACTTTTTTATTAACGTGCCATTTTGATGGTAGCAAACTTTTTAACCTGTCTTTAAAAGCAATTTTAAAGCAAATTTACAAACAATCATAATAAAAATTTCCAACAGGAAAATACTAGCTCATATTTATTTCTTCTCATGTAACTTTTAAAAAATGGGCTTTTACAACAAGCATACAAAAAAATGTTCAACATCACTCGTAATAAGGGAGATGCAAATTAAAACCACAATGAGATACCACCTCGCCCCAGTGAGAACGGCACATCTTAAAACAACTCGCAACAACAAATGTAGGCGAGGATGGGGAGGAAAAGAAACTCTCCTGCACTGCTGGTGGGAATACAAACTGTTACAACCACTTTGGAAAACTGGAGGTTCCTCAAACTGCTAAACATGAGTTTCGATAAGACACAACAATCCCACTCTTAGGTATCAAAACACACAAAAACACTGATTCAAAAAGACACCTGCACCCCCATGTTTACTGCTGCTCTATTTACAATAGGGAAGACATGGAATCAACCCAAATGCCCAAAAGCAGATGACTGGATTATAAAAGATGTGGTACATATACACAATGGAATATTATAAAGCTATCAAAAAGATAAACATGCCTTTTGCAGCAACATGGATGGAACTGAAAGGGATCATGCTTAGTGAAATCAGCCATAAAGAAAAGGAAAAATACCAGATGGTTTACAGGGGTGGAGTGGGGGATGGGATCAAAACCAGTGAGGGGAGGGAAGTGCGCTGGACTATGGTGATGGTACACGGGTGATTTGGTGATGGGAAGCCCAAGGGGATTGCAATTGAGATGGAAAAATGCACAAAAATATGTAAAAATAAACTACTATAAAATAAAAAAAAAGTCTTCTTTTTAATGTTGATAGACATCATCACACAATTGAGGATAAATCTTCAAAGTTTCCTTAGGTTCAAATAATACTGTTGTTTACTTGCACTATAAAACTCCCATTAGAATTCCCAAAAATTAAATCTTACTTTGTGTCTTCTTGTTTTTGCTGTTTTGAAGGTGTCCGAGCAGTACAATAAGGTCCTCAATGACTCTAAAATACTGCGAGCCTGAGGAACTGCAAGCATGAACTGTAACTGCTATGAGAAGTTGCTGTATATCACAAGCAAGCAATGTGTATTCATTCAAGGGAATGCTAAAGAAAAAAAATAACAGTTTATTGCAAAGAGAACTAGTTTAAATTCCTGTTCTTCCAGGATTCACTCACTCACTCATGCATTCTTTCAACATTACACATGCTTATGTTATGACAGGTAATACAAATTCAATGCTGGGAACAGAAATAAGAAAAATAAGAACAACTTCTAATATGAAATATCAAAAAGCTTGTTCTTGCAAAGGACGAGACAAGTACAGAAATAATTATGTACACTAAATGACTGTAAACCTAACACCACTTTCTGTGTTTTATCAATTCCATGTGTTATAATCAAGACTGATTGTTTTGAGGAAATACAGTACTTTGCATTTCTCATATGCCTAGCACACAGGTCCTAAAAATAACTGGTGCCTAATAAAACTGGGACTGAATTGAGTACAAGACACTTTTCTTGTACTCAAGAGAGCCATTTGGCGAAAGAATCACTGACAGAGGCATGCACTCTCTTCTGTGAAAAATAAGATAATTCTTAATGCTTTAATATGCAATAAGATGGTATACCAGAGGTTTACATTTTAACATTATGGTAATAAAAATGCAATAGTGCATATCACAAGGCAGATATTTTTACAAAGGTACAAAGTCCAAGGAAAGTAAAATCTCCTAATATTTTTAAAAGCTGTTGGGCAACCTGGAGAGCAGCCATTTGTCAATGAGTCTTCAGGTGCTGAGAACTGCCTGAGGGTAGCAGATGAGACAGGTACCCCAGGGAGGCCGGCACGCTGAGCCCAGAGCAGTAGCCCTTGACACAGACTTACTCAGTCCTAAATGCTGTCCCTTACTAGCTGTGTGATGGTCAACACGTTGCTTTATCTCTCTGATCCTCAACTGCCAGGATGATATTTCTTTTAATACTAAAGTTTGGTAAATAAATTTGAAGATGGTTAAATTTCTTCTACTTGTTATCTGACTCCAAAGATCCAAAAATTGGTCATATCAATGGTTTTTCTCAACCAAATTTGGTTGAAAACACTGGGAAATGTGCCTTCCAAATGCACCTTAGTTTTGTCAGTTTTGTAGAAAGTTCTTTGAAAGTAGTGAGAAAAATCAAATGCTTTAATGTAAACTATTACTAAAGTTTCCCCTTCCTCCAAATATTCTCACCGTAGTTTTAAATGACACTCAACAGTTACCTTCTTCCCAGTCCATTCAGGGCTGCTGCTGTGTTACACAGCACATACAGCAGACCGTTGTCCAGCAACATATCTGCTAGCTTAGAGCAGGAATTTAGGAGCTGGAGGAGCAGCAGCAGAGAGTTGTGCAGGAGCACGTTGTCACATAGTGAGGTCTCTATTAGCCCCAAAATCGGGATGAGGGACCACTTCTGAAAAAGCCCCATATTTTTTACATCTTCCAGATCAAACCTGTAAGGATAATACAGTTATTAGAAATACTCAGACACTAGAAATAATTAACACAAAACAAGGAAAAATTTTTGGAATAGGAGCCATTTGCTTAGCCTGATATTGAGGATCTAAAAAAAAATTAATTTGGGAACAAAGATTCTTAATGTTTTTCAGAGCACAGAGCCCCCCAATAGTAAGACAAAACAGTGCTTCAAGTCTAGCCAAGGCAAATACACGAAAGAAAATGTACATGCAATTTGATAGCTTTAGTTGACTCACTTTAACCTGCCTGAGAACCTTTGGGCATCCAATGAACCCCTGGCTTTAGGGGGCTATGTAACAAGGGCACAGGAAAATAGTAATAGCAATAATAATAATTATTAATAATAATAATTATAATATTCAACAAAGTACTTGAGACAGGAACAAGGAAGAAAGAATTCTAGCAATTCCTCCCTGGCGGGAGGCCTGGCAGTCTCAGAGCTATCCAGTTGTCATGGGCCACTGTGGCCTGAGTCTGATCCCCGCCAGGGAGGGACCCACAGGGCACAGCACACCCCTCCTGTCTCGCCTGCTGCTCCCTCAGCAGTGGGTTTCAGTAGGTCCCCTGTTCTGCTCCCCATTCTGTCTCTGGTGAATCTTCTCAGCCCCCCTCTAACTCTGACCTACACCCCAGTACTTATGTGCATGAATAAATAAAAAGATTAAACAACAGAAGTAGAAGACTTAAAAAAAGAAGGAAATCAATCTAAGGTTCTCCCAATGCAATCTGTCTCTGTGATGGAGGGAAGTCAGCTTCACCTTCCTCATCTGTCAACTATGTATGGTGATATCTGCCCCATTTTTTTCTCCATTTTGTTGTGAGATTCAAATGAGAAAATGCAAAATTGCTAGGAAAGAGGCAAAATCGATAAGCAAATTAAAAGTCCTATTGCCACTGCTCTAATTAACAAGTAATGTCCTCCTAGTCTGACTGGCCTAGTTGGTGGTAAGGAGAGACTCACTAATGATAGGAAACACGCATCTATCTCAAGGTGCTTCACTTTTCCGCCAAACTTCTCTATGGAAGAAAGTATTCTTTTATTTTGCACTTTGTCAGCCTCACGCCGGATCAAACCTCAGTACAGCAGCTTGAAGCCTGCCAGGGAGCGAAGGCTGTAAGGGTCCATGCTGCTTGCCTGGCAACCTGGGGCTGCCAAGCCTGACCCCTTCTCCAGCAGCTGGGCTGCAGCTGGGCCCCAGCTTTGTCACAGCTGACTATCACCTTTGGCTGTGCAGTGCTTGTTCCCAGGGAGAGAACACAAAGAAGTCGTTTGGGAGAGGACATCTCTGGAAAACAGCACGCTAATTCACATGCAAAGTGACTTTGAGTAGCTTTTTATTCTCAAAGTGAGCAAATAATTTTTCTAATAGTGGGTTAATATGGAGTGAGTGTAACAAATGTTACAGTTAAGACAAAGATTTCCCATGACAGTGGCAGGAAGAACGTACTTACTCTTCATCAAGGCCAACAGGTCGACGAAAAAACATTTCCATGAAGCATTCTAACAATTCCTGTGTTCCTCGATGAAGATACAACTGATTGGCTAGCAAGGAAAAGCCACGATTCTTCAGAAATTTATCTTTTTGTTCCTTAGATGCTCTATTAAAATATGCATCTAGTAACTAAGGAAAAAATTAATGCAATTCAGATAATGCATTAACATTTTATGCACTATATACGAGTTATAGTGTATTACACTTGCCTGTGCAAGTTACTGTCTAGTTTCATAGGTACAGACACAAAAAGTTAAAAAGATGTCAACTCCATAGCACACAAACTCGAACTTCATCTCTGACTACAACTGAAGGCTACTAATGTCTCTACCCTGCAGGTCTGGTCGCCTGGGTGTCAGGAAATCTAGTCTTCAGAGGCACCGAGGAGCTGCGTGGTGGGACAGTGGTGACCTTACTGAACCCACAGAAAATGCCGGATCATGAAGGGAGAAATCAGTTAACAATGCACTAAGCATGCTCTGTAGTTGCTAAGAGAGCATGGTTTCTAGACATAATTTCTCCCTTCAGAGAGTTCTATTCTAGACTTCTGACAGATCATTTATCCTGAGCACAGGCCTAAATTTCTACCCTTCCCTGATATATAAATGCAATATGTAAAGCCAAATTAACTGCTTTTCTTTTTAACTCACTTCTTCCATGGTTCCAACCTTAGAGTACACTCCCTGAGACTTCAAGGCTAATGTCACTTTTGCCTTTTTCATCCTGATTCCTCCTTCATTCCAGAACTCTCCAATCGGTCTGCCTCTGACTCCTCACTCCTCCTTACAGCACAGGAGCACATCACTTCTCCTGGACCATTGTGCTAGCTGGTGAACAGTTTTCTCCCAGCAACCACCCACTCACACTGGTCATTGACTGCTCTTCCCCAAACACACGTTTACCTATGGCCCTGCTTAAGGAGCTTTCCAAGTTTACGGCGTAGTAACAAAACACCGTTTTCACGAACCCTTTGCTGACTCGTCCATTAAAGTGAACTGCTTCTCCTATGTACCAGCTCTTTCTTAGTGACACTGGCCTGAAACACTCACCATAGAATTCCTGACAGCCTTCTTAGCTGGGTGTTCCTCTCCCTGGGCTACGTTACAACATTTGGGTGCAGAGCTTACATCATCCCTCTCTGTCTCACTCAGTGGCCAGTGCAGATTTTGCACATTGGATGAAAACTCAAAGACTACGGGGTTGAACTGCAAGTAATTAATATCCGACATCAAGACTAACTGAAGAAACGAGAATCTTTAAAAGGTCCTGTTGATATCGGGTTGTTTCTTAATGGTAATCGTAGCAAACGTATCCATGCAATGATATACTTAATACCTACACTTCACCTCAGGCGCTAGTATGTCAGCGTGGGAGATTAAACAAAAGTAGAAAATAAATTTAAAAGTTGTAAGATGTCACTAGGGTGCTATGATAGAATAAATGAGAAAAAGGGTTAAAGGAACATTCTTTGGAAAGTTGCAGGGAAGGGCCTCTCTGAAAGGTGACATCTGGCTGAAATCTCACGTAACTATTAAGATTTGATACCATACTTAAAGAGACACCTCCAGGATCTATGTGTTCCTTATAATAGGCAGATGTGAAAACACTGATATGAATCAATATAGATCAGGGCTTAAAATTGGATGCTATAAAACAATCTGAGTATAAATATGATATAAAAATATGAGTAAAAGTAAATATATCAACTCATTATTACCAAGTATGAAATCATGTTTTAGGTCTATTTTAACATATCTACTTGAATTTCAAATTCCGCATACATTTTTCCAGACCTTGATAAGACATCTAGTGTCCACCTTACTTTGATGACGCCTTGCTGGACAGCCGGTGACGGGTGGTTAACCAGGACCAGAAGCGTGTCTGCCTGGATCAGCTTGTCCATCACATCCTCAAGCATGACGTCGGGCAGGATGAGAAGGGCCCCACTCAGGAGCTCATACAGCCCGCAGCATATGGGCACCAGGCAGTCCTCAGAGACCCTGGAACACAGACCCCAAGTCTCACTCACCGAGGCGAGGGCACACGAGGATGATCTCAAGAGCTGTGATGAGATGAGCTGCGACACTTTTAATGTGAAACGAAACTCTGTAAGGCCTAAAGAATGCTTCCTGATTTAAGTCTGATTAGCAAATTTGCGATCACTTTTCAATCACTGATGTTTTGGGGTGTATAGTCTACTAAACACTGTATCTAGGACACTGAATATGACGGCTGCTTGTGCCATCTGAAGTATTTACAATTAAATGAAGTTCAGCCCCCACTGCTGAGTAACACTCACAGCAGGCACAAGTGGCTGGGGGCAGAAAAGGCCTGTGTGTCGTCACAGAAAGTCTCACCGGACAGTGCTACTTGCGATGCTTTTGGAAACAACAGTCCATTTCCTAATTTCCCTAAACTAAAAAGTTTTTCTCTAACGACCTTAAGGAATTAAATAAACTGAACTTTTTTTCTTTGAGACCCATGTATGGTTGCACCACTGCAACGGTGTAATCAACACTACCGAGAGTGAGATGAGAACAGCCCTCTCAGTCCGTCGGTATCTACCATTACTGTCAGAAATCCTATAACGAGGACATTTCTAGAGGTGCGGACAGTCCCAAAGGCCAGTCTAATGGGGCGGGCAAAGCATGTAGGCACCTGAGAGCATCCTCAGTGCGGCGGCCTGGCTCATCCGTGAGAGGAGAGGTGAAGTTTCCCCAACCATCAGTGATCCTGTCAGCCAGACTGGGCCAGCGGCCAGCGGCTGCAGACCCACTCTGCGAGGGAAAAGCCAGCCCCAGGCCCGCGCCGGTGCCGCGAGCCGGCTGTAAGGAGGGCAGCCCTTTCAGGTCATCAGGCCGGCGTGGACAGGGCTCTTCCCCAGGACTGTCGCTGTCCGATCTGGGCTCTGCTCCCAACTCTGTGTGATTCGCTCTGACCTCCAGAAACCCCAGTGTTCCTTTCGCGACCCCACTGATGGGGGTTTGGGCTGAAAGGAGAGCTTCCACCTCACAGACGGTTTTGGCAGATTCACAGCTACTGATGGATGCATCCTCTCTGCCTTTTCTTAGCGTCTCAGAACTGTCCAAGAGGTTCCGTTTCTCTGACTGGGATATAGCAGCATCACCTTGCAGCTTGTCAATACTACAGCCCAAACTTCCAGTCAGTTTCTGTTGCTGTGTTAGAGGTGAAGCAGCAGGAAGTACTGGCAGGCTTCTGGACCGCTGCCTGCTGGCAGCCCCCTGCTGTGGAGCAGGCCCAGAGGCTCCGTTTCCTGGAAAGAGTGGACAGAAAAGTACTACTTAGCAGACCCCTTCTTTTCTGTACAGAAAAGAAGTTACTCCAAGGCAACAGTCTGTTTATCAAGCAATGTTAAGAACCCACTTAGCTCAGTGACTAATGTTTAAAATTCATTTTAAAACTGAGGTAAAACTGGCTTTCAGCCCTGTCCATGGTTCAGAGACAGGGTCATCCCTGAGGCGTGGGTCCCCGCACTACACCCGCCATCAGAGTTCGTAGGTTCTTCTTAAGTTCCTTAAATGTCAAAACTGTATTTCTTTTAATCATTTTTTTTTAAAAGATTTATTTATTTGTGCTTACAGAACTGGGGTATAGGCCAGAGGCTCAGGGGCAGCGAGAGGCTTCACCAGAGACAGAGTGGGGCGATCTGTCTGTTCTCAGACAGATCGACGAAGTACACTGAGGGGAGCAGCGGGCAGGTCAGGAGAGGTCTGCCATGCCATGTGGTCACCTCCAGGGCAGGCGGGAATCGAACTCATGCGGAAGTGTCTTTAGCTTCTCAGTGCAGTGCTTTAACCCGCTGCGCCACCAGGGAGGGCCTCTTTTAATCATTTTTAAATTAAATTCTAAAACTGTCTTCTGTCTTCCTAACAAAATACAATACTGACTGAGTGAGCAAGTCTGGCACTCATCACTGGAGACCTTACGTTCCTTATGGAGGCTAATCGGTAATTAGCTGAGTGTCAATTACTGAGCCACACATGCGCACCCGAGGATCTGGCCTGCATGCTGCTGTGGGGAACGAGTGAGAGCCCGTCTGCCCACCTGGCACTGTGCCTCGCACACAACAGCGTTCCTTCAGGGATTTAGCCGCGCTTGACGCCACTGTCACTGTGCTGACCACCCCTAGGTCCTGCTCTCCTCTACTTCTGCAGTCACTACTTGCTGCTGTCGGTGAGAAGCAAGTTTTCTCCTTCTTGAAACAGCCCTCAGGTGGCTGCGTGATGGGGACCCGGAGCTTGTTTTAACAAACTGTCCAGGCGAATCCTTTTGTATTCTAACATGTGGAAGCACTGATATGCAGCTAACCAGGCACTGGGTGAACTCAGGGCGCAGGCTTGTGGCAGTAAAGTAGCTCTATTAGCACAGAAGTTTTTCCCTTTGGTTGAAAGGCTGAGGAGCCAAGAGTCTTTCAAAAGACCTGGAAAAATGAGGCCATAACTATGAAAATATTTCAGAGTGATGAACAATAATTTGAAAAACAGATTTTTTTCATAAATTTTCAACGAAAGCCAATCAGAATATGACTTTAAAATAGAATAAAAGGCCACAAAATGTACCAGAGATGTACACAAGTATGGGCCTGGGCAGTTTGGTGCAGGGTGCATGGACATCTGGAGGGGCAAAAGCATCAACTTTTTAATTAAAAATCTAAGACATGAACAACTAGTAAGCTGTATTAAGCGAGACAAGATCAGGCTGGCAGTGGGCAGTGTCCAGTCGGAGGCTTTCAGCAGCCAGAAAGGGCAGCACGTGCGGCTGGGTCACAGCAGCTGCACCCACTTTCCCTGTGGACAGGGAAGACGAGAGGGCTGTTAGCAGTAGTTTAGAAGAAGAGAAAAGTAGGGTCAGCTCAGGACTGGACTAGGTTTGCTGTGGAAGTGGCAGAGGGCACCGACGTTGACCGTGTGGGAAAGCTACAGGGCGCCAAAGGCAGCTGCCGGAGACCCGAGGACAGAAGCTGGCGCTGTCTCTGCAGGTAAGAGTGGCCACGCTGAGTCAGGGCAGTTTCTTGGGTCAAGGACGCCAGTGCCAGGGCACACAGCCCCAAAGAACACCGGCCGACGGGGCCCTCGGGCAGGGTGAACATGCAGAAGGGGGGCCGGGATGTGCCGAGGAAACACAGGAGACTGGTGGGGGACAGTGTCAGGTGGGAGGGGCTTCTGGCGACAGGCACGGGGAGCACAGGTGCCCTGGATGCAGGCAGGCGAGGCTGCGTGCAAGGGGCGCACAGGCGGCACAGACAGGCGGGGAAGCTTCTTGGAGGTGTCAGCGAAGCAGTCTGGAACTTTAATGCAAGACGAGTACTCATGATGAGAGGCAGCGCAATTCCAGAGATGGTAACTTGAGCTCATGGACCCGAGTTCTCCTGAGCCTCCTGCCACGCAGAGCGTGGAGATCCTGAACACAGCCCAGTGTCTAGGTTAACCGTCCACAAAAGGGCTGCGGGCCAGGCTGCACTGTCCTGCGGGGAGGTGTCTGAGCAAGCTCCTTTATCCCGAATGAATCAGGGAGAGAGACTCCCATCACCACTATTTTTTTTACCTTCAGGCAGTGAAGCCGCGAAGCTGGATGGGCTTATCACCCTCAAGCCAGGGCTGGCGGCCGGCGGGCCCCCACTGCCAGAGCGCCTGAGGTCCACGAGCGAGTGCACTCTCTCCTGAAAGATCTCCCCATCTAGACCAAAAAACAACACGGGACATTAACAATAAAACAAAATAACTTCAAAAGCAAACCACTACCACAAGATACAAAAAGAAGTTCGGCGGGAGAACGACAGTCCGCCCGCAGGAGGCGCCCAAGCCGGAGCACCAGCCCGCCACGCACGGCCACAGGCGTCCACACTCACTGACCACATCATCTATTCACGTGAGGTCCAACTATCCTAACAGTCCCTTCCATTGTCTAACATTTAACTGTTCGCTCTTTGTTGACATGATCTCTTCAAGATTTCTCATTCTTTGAGGAAAAGACTCTTATTATTCAAAACATGGTCCTCAGTGTCCAAGCTGACTTCCAACCAGACAGTTACAACTTCGTTTTCTTTTATGAGTTTCAAACCTGTAAGTCTAACTGCTTAGCTTCTTGCCTGCACCACGAGTGTGAGAGATACAAAATGAGTTATCCTTCCCCTTCAGTCCTTCTGCGCTGTTCTCTGTTCTTGGCGAAGCGCCGTCTCCCACTCTCCCACGCAGAAGCCTGGAGCGCCCTGACACGACCCCTTCCCACGGTGCACCTGTCTCCTACACCAGTTCTGTTAGCCTTCGTTCTTGTTCTCGGCCCTAACACGTGCAGTGTGGACTCTTAAAGCTCGATGTGTCGTGTCGCGTACTGGTAAACTGTACCCAGAACGGTCACAGTCACCCTCAGGTCCGGTACCTCCCAAAGTTCTCTTGGCAAATGTGGAGCCCCACCTGGACCATTCCAGCCCTCTGCTGCGTCCTCCTCACCGTCCTCCTCACCCTGAACAAGTCTAAGCTTCTCGCCTGCAAGAGCCGACAGGCCCGTCTCGGCCTGGCACGCGCCCTTCTGCACCCCACTGCTCACAGCCTGGCCAGCTGCTCCCTCTGCTGGCAGCAGCCTCCCTCCACTGTTCAGTTCTTTATGGCTCAGAAGTAGCCACTCCTGCTCCAGGGAAGAGTCTCCTCAGGCTTTCTGCCCCTGGCAAATGCAATATTGCTTCTCTGTAAGAGCGCCTGCCGTTCAGTGTAACCACCTGCTTTGTCTCTAGGCTGCTTGGAGAGAACCTTCTGACTCACCTGCAAAACTGCCCACCCCCGGAGTCCTGACAGCACCTCATTTACTAAAGCCCTTTGTGTCGCTTCTTCCATTCCTCGCCTTGGCCTTGTCCTAGTCGTGTCCTCTCGGCTGGCCAGGCAGCTTTCTCCTGGTTACCGTCCCGCTTGCTCTTTTTTTTTTTAAGGTTTATTTATTTATGTATATAGAACTGGGGTACAGGCCAGAGGTGCAGGGGTGGTGAGAGGATTCACCAGACAGAGTGGGGAGCAGAACAGGCCACTGATGAAGTAAACTGCAAAGGGGAGCAGTGGGTGGGTCAGGAGAGGTCTGCTGCGCCATGTGGATCACCTCCCTGGCAAGCTGGGATCAAACTCATGTTGAAGTGGCTTAAGCTTCTCAGTGCTGTGCTTTAACCTGCTGCACCACCAGGGAGGGCCCTCCGCTTGCTCTCTTACCACACGTTTGCCGAGTTCTTTTCAAACTCCAATCATCCCACCGCAGACTGACTTCCTCTTTTTCACCTCGCCCCAGCAGCAGCAGTGCTGGTGGCTCCAACCCCACCCCCGGCCTCCTGTTCTCTCTGGCTTCTCCTCACTGGCCTCCTCTACTCAAGCTCCAGCTCACCTCCAGGCTCTCTTCCCTGAGCTCTGCTGCAGCAACCTGGCTGCATCACGCCCCCTGCTCAGAACAGTCACAGTAACAACCAGACCCCTCTAAGGGCCTGTGCCTAGAAGCCAAGTTCACGTTTTCTGGCTTCACAGTAGTCAAGACCCACTTATACGACCCTAGGGGTGCTGCCTGAACTCTGGGATGGTCCAAAACCAAGCTGGAGTTGCTACTTCTCGCCCTTCCTCACAGATTCTCCATACTCACATAGAAGTCATTATTCTTCTCTGTCTTCCCTGTAAATCACTACCCTCACCTGGAATGCGAATTCTCCAATTCTACCTAAAATTTTCAAAATCCATGTCAGATACCAAAATCCATGTCAGATACCTAAATCTTCTCTCTCCAGAAGCCTGATGAAACCTCACTTTTCTGAAATTGAATTAGCTCACCTTTTATCTGTTAGGTACTTAGCAACTGCTGTTTTTACTAAAAGCTCGTTAAGTGTTCTCCTGCTTCCTCCTGGCATCTAAGCTCCCTGAAGGCAGAGACCATGGCTGGTCTATATAGCTTTCTGCCTCGTCCCTTCCTGGTCCGTCCTTAGGGCAGTTTCTAGCACACAGAGGCCATTCAGGGAATGGCAAACACATGTGCGTCAAGCAGGAAGAAAAAATGAAACGGAAACAGTCATGATCTCACAAAATGATTATACCTACCTGTGTGCAAAGAAAAGTAGAAGTTTGTAGGGTTGTGGCAAACGTAAGTATTAGTGGGAGGGTGAACTGCTAAAAGGAAATTGAAGACCACTGTCAGTAGTTCCAAGTCTGGAGGAGATCCAAGGACTTCTGCTATGATTTTCACAAATGACTGACAAACCCCGCGGGGCATGGAGGTAAGCTGCCCTTCTCTGTGTTCCTGAAAAAATAAAAATCAAACCATCTTCAGATTTAAAGAGAACTGTCAGCCTACACATTTCACTTCAGCAAGATACTTTTTAGGGTAACACTGAATACTGTAGTCTGACCGTGCTTGACCAGGTGAGTTACTATTTCTTCTCTTCAGCAATCTTGCTTTAAAGAGTTCGTCAGAACCAGTGAAAATCTGATTTTAGCCCACTGATCTTAACTGAGGCAAGTTCTGTTGTACAACCAGGAATGGCCGTGGAAGCCAAGTGCCCGTTCGCTCTCCGGCTTCTCCCGTCACCAGCTGGCTGCCGTCTCCACGCATGGGGTAGGATGCTGCTAGTGTTAGGTTACGGAGCTGTTATGAGGAGGAAATGACAGCTCTCGACGAGAGCCTCACGTCCAGGGAGCCCCAGGAGCTGCTGGCTGCTCCTGGGGCTGCTACACTACTACCCCGGCTGCAGCTCTGCCTCCGCTGCCGCTACCCTGCGACTGCGGACCGGCAGGGCACATTCTGATAACTGAGACTCACTGATGACACACTGCGCCCCCGATGAGCGGCTTTCTTCCCCACAATAGCGCTAGGAGGTTTGCGTCATCTCTCATTTTCTAGCATCTGGGGTCTCAAGTGGTTACACAAGTAACAGACCACAAAGAAAACACACAAGCCATGGACCTGTAACTCCAGCTTCCAGCTCTGCGCTCTCCTTCCTGCATCCCCACTGAGACCCGGTGACAGGGCAAGGAACCCCGCCAAGGAAGATGCACGCAAACGGCCACACAAAGCGCTGCCCACTCAGCTCCGCAACAGACGGCCACTGCCCGGGCCAAGGCTAGGCGGCGCGCCGCCTCCTGCCCACCGGCGTCTGGACGGTGACTCAGTGCCCTGCCCTCCTCACGTAGGCCTGATGCTGCTGCCAGAAACTCGACATCTAGATGCTAACTTTGGAAGAGCCGAGTCCGACAGCCTTAGAGTTAGGAAGACAACACTCAGCTTCTAGAAGAAGGCAAAAAGCCCCTTGGCCAGGTCTCCTCACTGCCAGGTGGCCATGGGAATGCACAGACTACTGAGCGCGAAGCAGCACTACTTTGGACAGAGCCAGCTGCCTTTCTAGCGTCACCCCTGGTATTTCGCCCATGTCCCAGCTGCAAGCCAGAGATTCACCCCCCGAGGGCAGCCAGCACTGCTTTGGTCATGCCCCAGGCCCCTCACAAGCCACTGATATTTCAGTTTTAAAAACCCCTTAACCTGGCCTACTGGGAACAGTCCATTGACATTCTGATTCTCCTTTTTCTAGCTGCTGGATTTTTTGTTTATCATTTGTTCTCACTGGCTCCGACTTCCACCACACATGCTCCGTGAACTCCAGTTCTTGACTCCCTCACTCACTGACGTTTTTCAAGATGTGAAGAATGTCTACATCAATGTTCCTTTACCTGGCACTTTTTTTTTTTTTTGGAACAGTTTGTTATTTGGCTCTAAAGGTCACCCCTTTCTGGTCAGATTCTTTCCCTGCTTCCCACTTCATGTTACTGAGTTTCCTGGTTCTTCTCTTCTGTGACTATCTGATTACACTTTCTTTCTTTCTTTCTTTTTTTAAAGATTTATTTGTACAGAACTGGGGTACAGATCAGAGATGCAGAGGGTGAGAGGATTCACCAGAGACAGAGTGGGGTACAGAACAGGCAGATTGATGAAGTACACTGCTGAGCGGAGCAGCGGGCGGGTCAGGAGGGGTCTGCCACGCCATGTGGATCTCCTCCGGGGCAGGCGGGAATCGAACTCATGAGGAAGTGGTTTAAGCTTCTTTTGTGCTTTAACCTGCTGCGCCACCAGGGAGGGCCCTGATTACACTTTCTACACCTTTGTCGATGCTCCTTCTGCCCGTTTCACACCTTACAGTGGATATTTCCTGAGGCATAAGCCTGAGCCCTGTAAGGCCCTTTTATGAGTTCATTTTGTAGTGTTGATCTGTCCCCGTGACTTCTCTACATGATCACAGCAGACAATCCTCAAGTTCTTTGCTCCCTTTCTAGTCTCAGATTTCCAGGTCTGTGTCTGAAGGGCGCCGCCACGGACTCGCAGGGCCACAGAGTGACGCGTCTGCTGCAAGGTGACTGTTTGTCTTCCCCTCTGAGGCTGCTGCTAGTATTTCCTAGTCTCACACTTTGAGACTGTACCCTGCCGAGCTCACAGACTTGAGTGAGTAAGCAGAGATCTCTGTGAAGTGAAGTGACAGGAAAAATACCTGCAAGACCTGGCAAGTCAGCAGGAAGTGGTGGACCACGCGGGCTCTCGCCAGCTGCTTCACGTTAAACGTCTGGTGTTGGTGGCCCGCTCTGATGAGGACCTCCAGTGCTGTCAGCAGAGTTTCCCAAACACCTTGCTGGGAGAGAAAGCAAAAACAGGGGCCAATTAGCAGTTACTGGAAAACATGCTACATGCTTTTCAGAAAATATGCAGTGTGTCCATTTAGCTTGGTGGCATTCTCCAGGCCCAAGGTCAACATTCAAAGGAAAGCGACTTTTCAAACGTATTCCCAGCCCTTTCGTTTTGTTGGTGACAGCTTATTTCTATGCATTTATGCTAAATGCAACACTGCACCCAGTGTTCCTTTAGAGTATTAATATCTTTTATGACAAAAGATTTAATAAATTACACTAAATAAATAGCATTAAATTGAAAAGTCACTGATAATGTGAAAATTCTGCACTTTTGGATTAATTTACTTTCAAGTTCAAGTAACAGAATTTTCTACACAATTACTACCAGTGCATCTTCAGACAGTACTTAAAGCATGCTCTTAAGGTACCTTAAGATGCTTCTCTCATACTGAGTCAATCTTAAGTTATCCACAAAAATAGGCAGCAGGTTATCTTACATAGAGAACGTATTGAAGGGCATCTGCACCCCGTTTTACCACCCAATGGCCTTTCAGCAGAGCTGCCTCGGAGTGAAATGCGCTGTTTGTGGAGCAGGTCTTGACACCTGCCATTCTCCAAGGGTCACGAGCAATGAAAAACAGGCTGACAACTTCCGGGTCACTGTTGCCCGGACCAGATACCACGCTGGGGGGGCGGTGGCTGAGGCGCTTGGGGGCCTGCCATGTGAGGCCCAGGCGGTGATGCAGCCAAGAATGAAAACTCGGTTCATGTATGGAGAATACCCGAGAGAAAAGTGAAGAATGACCAACAACAAAGTCAAACTCAGTTGAAAAACAGTCAGTGAGGAAAGGAAAAACATTCAAATTCACAGGAGTATTTGTGTGTCTCACTTCTGAATTACAAAAAGACCCGACTTCTAATCAGAGGGCCCCAAATTAGCATTCTCTTCTGGAACACTAGCTACCCCAACATCCACCAAGCTAGCTGGCTCCAGTCTCTGGCCCTCAGCCTCCAGCCAGGCTGCAGCCTCCGACCAGAGTGTTCACACCTGCTATGCCAAGGGCATTTCTCTTCCTGCACATTGCATATACAGCAAAATTCATTATTTTCACTTTGAAAACACTGAAAGTAAAAAGGAAATTCAAAGTCTTAAAAGTTGACAAATACCACAAAATCTGGGAAAAAACAGTTCAGTCAGTTTTTGCACAACCTTCGACAATTCCCTCTGTGCTTTGTGGTTGCGTAACCCTGGTCGCCTCTCATTACAACATTATGTAATTTGTGTATATATAATATTTGATTCTGGACCCTGAAAATGCACACAGTGTTAAATGAAACACACGCAGAGAAGAACCGACTGGCGAGGCTGCAGAAACGGGAGCCCTTTACATCATCAGGAGGGCTGCAAAGAGGCCTAGCAGCCTGCTGGAAGGAACACGGGGCCTGCTGAGGAAACTAAAAGTAGACCCAGCATGACTCAACAGCACCACATCTGGGTCTACACCCAAAAGAATGAAAGAGGATCTGGAAGAGAAACTGCAGCATCCTTTACAACAGCCACGCTGTGGAGCCGTGTCAAAGTCCCCCGAGAGGGAGGGTAAAGGAAGGCCGGGCTATGCCTACAAGGGCTGTCACTCAGTCTTGACAAGAAAGAAATCCTGCCTCATGCCACGTGCCACAGCAACAATGACCCTGTGCCACAATGCTCAGTAAAGCCAATCACCAAAGAAAGACAGTGACACACACACGAAACAGCTCAAGTGGTCAAGACGCAGAAGCGGAAGGTAGAACTAGTCCGGGGCTGGGAGGCAGTGAGGAGCCACTGCTCCACGGTCAGATGGTCAAGCAAGCCACAGAGCCGCTGCGCAGTGCCTGGGCACAGTGAGCGCTGCTGGGCCCTGAACACGGCTGAGAGAGACATGGCCGACGCTATGTCTCCTGTCACATAAGGTACATGCCTCTGCTTTACTCCAGATCTTCCAGTCAAGCAGTATCTCCTCCAGCAGCTTGACATCGTGGATTATAGCATTAGACTCAACATCCAGTTTCAAGTCTCCATTCTCATGAATGTGAATAATGTCTTCACCACAGCAACCTTCAAGAAGAGTCTATGGAAAATTAACATTAATACAAAGTGTATTAGTGATGAATAAAGTCAGCAGGAACATTACAGTTTCAATGTTAGCAGTTAAAACGTAAAACTCATAGGAAAGCGAGAGAGGAATTCAACATTTCACAAAATATCTTTGCTTTGCAAAGCAATTCTAATAATTAGAAAAATGCAAACGTTTCGACATGTACAAAGGTTAAAGTTCCAACACGGGTAACACAGACCGTGGTTTATCTTGGGCATGGTGAGCTGGAGCCGCCGTACCCCCTGGAAACAGAGCACCGCTTGACTCCTCCCAGGAAGCAGTGAAAGCGCCCACCACTAACACGCGGGTCTTGGTCAGCGAGCGCTGGGCCTGGGGTACCGAGAAAGGCCCGTCCTGGCCTCAGGCCAGTGCTCCTGCGGAACACGCTGTCTCGCGCTGCAGACACGTTAGCCAGGACGCACTTAGACACGCAGGAGGCCAGGTCGAGCGACGCCAGCAGGGCCCTAAAGGTGGCCTGCAGTGGCACCCTGCGCACTGACGCACTGCTAGGTGTCCGGGCCGCCCGCTGCCCCTCTGCCACCGGGCGAGCAAGCAGCAGCGCGCCCTCCTGCCGCACTCATCCAGCGGCAGCGGCGCACCCATCCGCCGGTGCGGCCCGGTGTCACGGTCTGCACGCGCATTTGCTCCTCTGACTTTTTGACTGGTTTGGCTTTCAAACAGAAAGCAGTGTGACTGATGAGGGACTACCGAGGGCCCCTCACTCTCTCAGAACACCTGAAATACAAAGTTCTGTCTCGGAGACAGCCACGAAGAGAGCACAGCTTATGAAGACAAACCTTTAGGATGTGAAAGCCGACAATGCATTTTGGTTTGGTCAACACCTGATGGATCATGGAGAGTCCATTGCAATTTTCTAACTCGTGTATTCGCTGCTGGTTATATTTAACCAATGACAGTATAACTCTCAGCGACAGTGCTTGAATTTCTTCACAGTTACTGAGTTCCACAACCTAAAAAAGGAGATAGGTTTTTTCCGAGTTTGTTGACAGCGAACATGTAGTGTGCGCTTGTTTAACATTACGCACTACGAATCCAGCAACTGCGTGTGAGAGCGTGTTTTTATCTCACACTTTGTGATCACTTAGGAGAGTTAATAAAATGGAAAGACAAATACACGCTCACTCGTCTCAAGCGGACTCTACATGAACTGGAAAAACATCGACAATCTTGGGAGCGAGGAGCACTCTCATGGGAAATCTGAAAGGCCAGGAAAAGGACTCCAATTTTTAATGAGTGGTCAACTACCAAGGAACCTTTGCTACCTTTCCGCACTACGGGAGGCGCAAAGAAATGAAAGGCCTGGCCCTTGCCACCAGGCTACCGTCTCTCAGAAGAGAAGGCACAAAGACCAGGCCTGTGCCCTGGTGGCACGCCCAGCGCTGCTTTCTGATTCCTACTACGCAGGCTCACGCCTTCTCCCTGGCAGAAGCCAAGGCCCAGGCTGCTGAGTCTGCCATGGGAGGGGCATGCACACGCCTGGCACGAGCAAGCCTGGAGTGGGCAGGCAGGGCAGGGTGGGGTGGGCTGCATGGGAGTTGGAGGGTGTCTGGAGATTCAAAATGTAAGCTGTGCAGGTAGGATTTTTAGGAAGAATGGATTTTATTATTTAGGAGAAAGGGTAGTAACATAGCTTTTAAATTTTAAGACTTTAAAAGTCTTATTGGCAAGATCTTAAATATATGCAAGGTAAAAATATAGCCACTTTCACGCAGCCCTGATGTTAACCTAGTAATGCATATATAGTAACAGAACAGGAGTCATAACAAATTATGATTTAATAAATAGGTGGAAGAGAAAAAATCAAGGACATGTATTTTGAAGCTATAAAAAATCATAGAAGTAGATCACAAAACATTGACAAGGACTGAAAGAGCTTTTAGTTTAGCACTGCTCTAATTTAAAAAAAATAGATTTATTTATTTATGCATACACAGCTGGGGTACAGGCTGTAGGTGCAGGAGTGGTGAGAGGATTCCCCAGAGACAGAGCGGGGAGCAGAACAGGCTGACTGACGAAGTCCACTGCTGAGGGGAGCAGCGGGTGGGTCAGGAGAGGTCTGCCGCACCCTCTGGGTCTGCTGCACCCAGGGCAAGGATTGAATTCATGCTGAAGTGGCTCCAGCCTCTTTGTGCTGTGCTTTACCCACTGTGCCACCAAGAAGGGCCCAGCATGCTCTAATTTTAATTTTGAATAATAAAAAATTTCTAAAATATCCATATGTTAAAAGACATTTTAACACTGTGTGGAATGATACCAGTTGGGAGCAGGGCGAGTTCTAATGCCACTTCAATTAAAATGAGGAAATAAATTGATTTTTTAAAAAAGCAAGATAAAAACATGAAAGAAGAAATTAAGGCTCCACTTCATTTAGAAACTAGTATTGTGATTTTGTTACTCTTGATAGTATGTTACAAAATGTTAGGAAGTAAAATGCACTATGCTTGTAAAAAATTCCATGTGACAGAAAGTTTGATGACACCTTAATGTTTTTTATCTTAGAAATTGAATGCAGTTGATGTACTGCATTGTTTTAATCATAAAGAAACCCTCGAATTTCTCCATAATAAAAAGCAGTTTCTCTCTAGAGAAGACTGGATCAGTAATTCTTACCCTAGCAAAGAGAAAAACAAATATACCAGTTCCACCAATCTCATGCAGAATGCCTTGAACAGTTTTGCACTCAGTTGGCTGGAGATCCTTCAGGTGCTGGGCTTCCAGTGAGATGCTCTGGATGTCTTTTGAGCTGAAGGGTCTCTGAGAGAGGTGGGTTTTCGTTTGGCTCTTAAGTCTAATAACAGGTTCATAGATAGTGTACTGAGCCGGGCAGTAAGTTGTATACACAACAGAAAGACTTTCCTGAAATACAAATATTTTCCTTCAGTAACCAAATAAACTTAGAAGTAATATAACTTAGCAAGCTGAAAATGAAAATTTCAAAGTGAAAAGACACAAACCTTTGTTTTAAAACAGACAGATATGATACTAAGCGGTCAGCAGCAGGATGAACTGCAGCAAGACAGAGAAAAACTCTGGCCTGGTCGCTGTGGAGCAGTGGTGAGGCCGCACTCCCATGGCTGCTAGCAGCACCTAGCTCCTACACACTCATTCCGTAACAGGCACGGCTCTGCGCACTTTTTTTTTTCAGAAGGTTTTTAAATTTTTTTATGCACACAGAACTAGGGTACAGGCCAGAGGTGCTGCGGGGTAGGGGTCGGACTCCGCAGAGACAGGCGGGGAGCAGAGCAGGCCGATGGGTGAAGTCCACTGCTGAGGGGAGCAGCGGGGAAGCAGGAGAGGTCTGCCGCACCCTGGGCGTCACCTCGGGGCGGGGCTCAAACTCTTGCTGCAGTGGCAGCCAGGTTCACAGCGCTGCGCTCCAACCTGCTGGCACCAGGGAGGGCCCTGCTTTTTTTGTAAATACTTTTAAGTATTTACCTATCTTTACGAAACGATGACGGAGGTCTCAGTAGATTCAAAATTTTTGCTTTGAATTTGCTCACAGGCTGACCACACATTTAAAAGTGACTGTAAACCAAACTTTCAATATTTCTTCCCTGCACGGGACAGCTGCAGAGACTCTGATCATTTTCAACCCATGATGATTTAAGTAGTTTTCTCAGGCACTACCCAGAATATAAAACTGGCCATACAATCTACATGGAATTGCTGGGGAAAACAAACTTTCAGCTTGCTATAGTTTTTATAAGAAAATAAAAAAGAGAAACTTTAGAAATCAAACCCATGGTTAATAATACAGCCAGTCAATGACTATACTAGGTACAGATACTATAAAGTTAAAACAGAACGAGCACTTACAATTAGAAGACCAATGTCCGCCTCTTTCTTGGTCATAAACAGTTCTCTGATTTGCTCACACTGCAGAATATCTTTATCAATGTATTTGGAGTAGTCAATCACTGGTGTGCCATATTTGCACGGCATCAGAGAAGCATGGTTGGGCCCACCAGCGTAAAGGTGAAAGGCCTCTTGCGGGCCGATCTTAGCTCCTAAACAGCCAAACAAGAGTTGCATGGTTAGAACACACCCATGAGGATGTTTTCATATGAAACAGGAAACCAAGGATGATTTTCTGCCATATGCTTCTAGTTGGTCACCATATTTTATGAAATTGATAAAGCCCTAAATTTCCGAACTGGTGTAATATAATTATGAACTGTAATCATGAATTACAGTTCATGACTTTAATTATGAAGCTCTTGATAATATCACGAAATTTTCACTTGCTCCTTAAGCTGGCAAATAGCTAGCTTTTTTGATTTGTTCTGTTTCTTCTTCTTTTTTAAAATAAATGGAAACCACAGCTCAGCAAATTCTATTTTAAAATGACACAGGAATTAACGTGTTTAAACTTTTCATCCACTCATCTGTCTACTCAATAACACTGAATGACAAGACAAGCCAAGGCTTTTTAAAGACTTGTGATAACATTTTTAAAAACCACATATTTCTTTTCCCCTAAAATTTCATGTTTTTATAGAATATACTGAAACTATAAGAGACAATTATTCTATGTTTACCTGCTGTAAAACAGGATTATAATGTTGATTTAAGATAAGTTTCTTGTTCAGAGAGTAACAGGTGTAGGATACTCATCTCTAACCTACGTACATATGTCAATTTTAAGAAACATCTTGATAATAAAAATGTTTAAAAGTGTATTTTTGTAATCTAGGAATTACAGGACTTATGCACAATTAGGAAGGAGTTATTTTATCCAGGATAATTTACGCAGTCGAGTACTTGTTAAATGAGGAGAATCTGGAAATGTCTGAAGGAGAAAAGTATCTACCACTGAAGAGGAGCAAACTTCCCAGGTCCCACTTCCCCGACAGCGGCAGAAAGCATCTTGGGGACGGTAAACAATGGCCGATCATACAAAACGTTTTATTGTGGTCAGGTGACGAACTTGTTTTTCTTGGAAGCATAAAATCCAAAATGACATCAGGTTTCCTGTGATTGAATAAAAGGTTAAATCAATTCCTTCAGTTACTATTGACAGCTCAGTATTTCCAAAGTGACTGCTTGGTAGTGGGAAATCCTCAAATTCTTGAGCCTGCAATTTTCTCGGTTTGGCACCGAACATCTGGTGGTGGGGGGAGAGGGGACCTATTCTGCTGTCTCTTGGTTCACGCCCCACAGAGAGGTGCAGAGCAAGATGCCTGACGGTGCCAGGCCGGCGACAGGAAGTGTGAGCAGACGTTTGCTGCCAGCTGCGCCTGCCAGCTGATGCTGCTTGACTTGTCCCATCACAGATACAGACCAGTCATGTTCCCTAGTCCTGCCAAGATGCCTCCCAGCTTGTAAATGACTTCTAAAACTGGATGTCCTCTCGGAGGCCTCAGAGAGCAATCAGAATCAGCAGACAGAGAATCCCTGCTCCAGGTTTGCTCTGACTAGCCACGGGCTGCCAATGCATTTTGTACCTTCTTTGTTTTCAATACCAAGTCATTACAAAGTTTTGATTACTCCCTTGCTTTTCTCCACGGGTGACAGCTATAGGAATCCTTATAAAAGACAAAGTAGAAGAAGAAGAAAGTGAGGCTTTCTCACAAAGAAGCACACAAAGGCCAGGAGGCCTTCACAGCCTACTTAGAGTACAGTGTGCTAGCCTCTACTTCAGCGGGGCTTTACGCTCCACGCTAAGGTAACGGTAACGATAAAGGCAAGGCAGTAGCAGAGGCAAAAAGGCCAAAGAAAGCTTATGAATGAGACAACAGGCTTAGCTTTTGATGAAAAAGCCTACAGATTTATTTTAACATTTTCCCTAAGGCTAGGTTAGGTTTTACCTAACTATTTTAATAGGAGTATTTAAAATAAAATATGAGAGATAATTCTACAATATGCATCTCCTTGGACCAAATAAATGGTTTAACTGAAACACTACAGCCCCCTCGTGGCAGTATGGCATAACGCAGTTTGTAGTAGAAACCGACTACAAGCAAGATTAATGCAAGATAAATTCAACAAACATTAAGTAACTGCTCCATACCATACATCCCTACCAGTTTTGTAGCCTGTTACTGAATAACAATTAACGTAAAATGTTAATAATTTTTTCTTATCTTTGTGTATCACTAAAAAATGGTCTCGGGGGAGTTCCTTCACTCCACCCTGGACCCCAGTACCACAAATGAAAAGTGGAGATAATAACAGACTCCTTCACAATGCTGTTGGGAGGATAAATGAGATAGCCAGTATCAAGAGCTTAGGCTCAATGAAGGAGCACAGAATCTAGAAGGAAAAGGGGGTCTCTACTCAGAGTCGGACTGTAACAAGATTCTGGAAACAAAGTTACTTATTTACCAGAACTGCGCCCCAGCTTAGGCAGCGGAGACAGCTGGGAAGGCTCCTCCTCCCTCCTGTCAGAGGCGAGCTCCATCTCTTCCTTCACATCTCAGCTTAAGTATCTGTTCTGGTGTACCTTCCTGGAGCAGCACACCTGGTATTTTCCATCTTGGGACCTACCTGTTACCTTTACAATCTTCGTAATTCTACTGCATTTGCTTATCATCTGCTCCTCCTGGATTGTGAGCTCCCAGAAGGCAAGAGGCGCGCCTCCCTAGGTTACCACTGCCCTAGCTGCTAGGGACATAATGCCAGACCGAGATGAGTGGTAAAAACGGGTTAATTTGTGCTAGGAGTATGGATGCTTCTGGGGTCTAATCCACTTTGAAGGATTTCTGAGAGAACTGGGAGGTAATATAAAGCAACTAGCAAAAACTCTGCAACACGAGGATGCAGTCTTTCATGGTCCACATGATGACATCTCGACTTCCCACTATGAAGACCAAAGAGCTTCCCCACGTCCGTCCACTGCTCTTCCTCAGGACTCAGCTTACACCCTGCTTGTCAGCGCTAGTTCGGCACCCTCGGCCGGTCATTTTCACCTGGCGCCTCCCCTGCTGCCTCATCAAAAAAGCTCTTACAAATTGTGCCTGACAGCTCTCCCAAGACTGAGTTTCACATCAGGATATTCTTACTAGCAAAATGTTTCTTACTGACCTGATGATTTGAAGTCTTATAAGAAAAGGATACTACCCATACTCTTTGGGCTGCACAAATCACATCCTGAGCGTGTACCTGAGTCTGCCATGTGGTGTGTTTCTAGGGTGCTGTGTAGTAAGATCAGCTTCTATTTTTCTCTAGTCATCCTGATTTCACTTAAAACTCTGACTTGAGCTGGGTATTAGCCACTTAATTTAAATAATTCTTATGGATTCACTTTGCATGTGGGTTTAAAGGGCCAAATTACAGTAGTGTTCCATGACACAGAAGTCCAGTTGTTCGGATTCCTGCAGTTTTCCTACACACAGATGCTCATTTTCAATAAAATGACTTTTGTGTAAAAGTAATTTATAATAAGGAGAAAATATGCAGCTCTGACAGATTATGACATTAACAAATCACATCTATAGTTTTCTGTTTCAGGAGCGCTAACAGACTAATAAAATTGAAAGCTGTAAGTGAGGTTAATAATCATTACCCAAATGCTGCATACCTATGCCCAGAGACCCACATGGAGACTTTCCCACGGATACTCTTCTTCCCTTGGGGCTGCTGGAAGTAGGTGAGCACCAAATGCTGCCATTTGCTTGGGAGGAAGGTATTCTCCTGAGACTCAACCTGTGCTAGTAAAATAGCTTTTGTGTCATCGTTTGCATCCATGCACACGCTACACAGAAAGAGAAAAGGCACAGGCTGAAAACATGACATTTTGATCTCAGTATGTAACACAGGTGCAACAACCATAATTGTAAATATTTAACAAGGTTAAAAATCAATGCTATTTTTAGACTAACTGGAAACATGAACAGGTCTTTCTTTTATATCTCATTATATTATTGGTTCAATTAATGAAATAAAATTTGCTGACATTAATAGTTTAGGCATCAATTTTCAGATTTCAACTTGCAAAAAATGTCACTGCCCTTTTAAATAAAAATTACAGTGTAAAAATCTGACTCATACAAAATTCATATATCACATAAACGTCTTGACTGTCAAATGAACAGGAGTTCTAACTCACTCGGAGAGGTTACTGAGCATTGGAATATAATATATATAAAGTATCTAGCAGCCTTTAAGGTTTATCAAGTATCTATCCCTAAGTAACCTAATGTTTGTTTAGCTTTAATTCTTCTAAAAGGGTATCATATTATTAATAATCACTAAGTAAAAAAAAGCCTTGTATTTGTGTTAGCTAATAAAGGAGAGAAAAAGACAAGACAGTGAGGGGGCCTGAGCTTATCTGCACGGAAAATAGCTTCTGGTAATAACATCTCAAGATCCCAGCAATTACTTCCACAAATAAAACCTCAGTATTTGTTCTACATCTAGTTGGGAAATAACAATCTTCTTTAGAGTTTATTCTAGATTTTCAGAATGACATACTGATTAGCTATGAGAATGCTGCCTTCTTTCCAAATGATATTTTTCTGTCTCATAATGATCCTTAGTAGGAAACTTCGCATTAGTGACTCTTACATAAATCATTCAAATACACAGTCTACTTAGGAGGAGGAGGATTTGGGAATAATCAATACCGAAAGATGAAAGTGGCACTATGGGGGTCAGTCCACACTTGGATCATCAGTGCTCTGGATCCCAGTGAAACCATATGAATACAGCCTCCTTCGATGAGTCTATCATCAGGGTTTACATGCTCTGCACCTTCTGATGTGTTGTTCTCTGTGATAAAAAGATATCGGAAAAATCAGTAAAGCAGTTGATGAAAATTGAATGGAAAAATTAATTTTAAAAATCTAAAACATGGTTGTTCACTTGCAGTAAATTATTATTTACCCAGTGTTCTAAGCAACAGTATTTCCAAAGTTTAGATGTTAACTCCCAATAATCAAGAGTCAAGCAGTAATTGAATGCTTCCAAGGTTATTAAACATTTAAGCATTTGGTGACTGGGGCTGGTCACAGGCACGCGCAAATCACAGGCATCATGGCAGCGCCCTGTCAGAACCTGAGCCGAGGGCACATGGCTGCTACCAGCCTGCACGGTTGCTCTGTCGGTTGTGGTCTGAGTCCCGGGACAACGTGCCATCATCGCTGGCCTTGACAGACAAAACCACCTCGTAACTATTATGATGGCATGATTTAAAAACAAAACTGATGACATTAAAATTCCTTTTGAGAAACGTCATGCTCCCTGGTATGTGGTCACTGAACATGACGTTAAGTGATTCTGAAAATCTAAAATATTTCTTTAAGGCAAATCATCAAGGTAACTGCCACATGTTGTGGCATGTAGTGATCCATGCTTCTCCTTCCCAGCACTTAAAACGCAGCACGACCCGAGCATTTATAGAGCCCTCGCTCGTCAAACCATCTATGCCACCTTTTACATAATGCTGTTCGCGTCAAAACACAAGATGCATGTGTAAGGTCAGGCTTTTAGAGCACACAACGAGTTACTGGACTGCATATATTTATATTAATTGCCATTTTCAACAGTTATTTGAATGAATACAATTTTTAAGAATACTCCCCTGTAGCAGTGTTAAAGTTTTAAAAATTAGAATTAAAGCTACTGATTAACTTAAGGATTGTTGCCCCGTAGGTAAGATCTGTAAAGAACTCATATCTGATATGATATTAAAAAGTTTTCAATTAAATCTGAACTTGTAGAATTAAAAGAACAAAAATGTACGTAGGAACTATAGAGCAGGAATATTACAAATTTTTTTCATTGAATGCACACAACAATCTTAGGAGGTAAATATTTCACCATGGGGTGACAGGACTGAGATATCAAGAGGTCAATAGCCTGTTTAACGGTGCACACAGGTTTAGTGGCAAAGGGTATGCCAGCACGTGCAATGTCTTCTCATCTGTCAGACCTTCCACTATTTTAAAGGTTCTTCTAAAATGTTAATACAAAATCCTCCTTCTAAAATGTTGATCAATACATCTTCACAAAAAGTATTTTAAAAATTTTGTAATACTTTTCTCAAGTCATTGTGTATATTTTCATTGCTATCAGACTATTTGCACTGGGACTACCCCACTCAAAACATGGGAACATAATCTGCGCAGGTCAGAGTGTAGCCTGCTCTGAAGGTAAATGCAGGTGGTGAAAGGCCCATTTTTATCACTTATCAGCTACAAGAATGGGATACACTGCTGTACCTTGTCTGTAGACACGGTAAAGTGGACACTTAACTGAATTTTTGTGAAGACTGAACACACACGTAGGAAGAGATGACCAGAGGGCACACACAGAAAGCTCTCACTGCGCATGAGCTATCTAGCGCCGCGCCGCCACCACAGGTCTGTCCTGAGCTACCAGCGTCTCGGTAACAAAATCCGACTCACAAAGAAAATGCTTCAGCGGCCCAAGGCAAACACACTCTCTGCCACGACACCGAGGGCTCCGGCCTTCTAGGCTGGCCCCCAGAGGTGCGCAAGCGTGCTGTGCTCCTCCCACATGTGTCTCAGGGGGCGGTTTCAGAGTTCGCACTGTGGCTGTGGTGACATTCCCACCCTGCAATCTGACCGCTCCTCTCAAGACTTCCCCTCCAGCTTAGGTGGGCAAGAGAAGGCCTCTCCCGGGGACCAGACACGAGTGAAGGCCTGTGCCCTGAAGCAGAGGCCCCACCAGGCCGGGTGAGCTTCCCCTGAGGAAGTTTCAGGGGCAGCAGCCCCGTAAGCACAGCCCCCACACATGGCTCCTCTGATTCCTCCATCCCACGTGGGCCCTGAGAAAGCACCAGCATGCTTTCTGCCCCACAGCCATAGCTATCCCATGCTCCTTGTCAAACATGCTCCCTCTGGCCCGGGTATACAAGGAACAGATGCGGGTAGTCTTTAGCTATAGAAAGGGCTGGAACGAAATGTATTCTAACCCTGGAGAACACCTGATGCATTTAAACGTTCTGTAACAGGAACCAGGAGAGGGGCCCCAGGTGAGGTGCAGAAGAGGACAGCTTGAAATAAAGGAGAAAAAGGAGGTAGAAGAGGGCTGAGTGACAGGGCCGGCCAACGGGGAGCAGCAGCAGGAAGGGGCCCGAGGTCTCCATCCTTGGGCCGCTTCAGGAGTCCCCCCATTGGAGGGCGGGGGTGAGTGGACCCCCCAGCGCAGGTGCGTGCGCGGTGACCTCCCGGTGGCCATTGCGCGATCCCGCACACGTGAAGCTGAGCACAGAGAAAGCGGGGTCGCCACGGCCACCCGACAGTGCCGGTTTCCCGAGTGAGCTGTCACCGCCAGGGAGGCTGTGCAACTACCCAGAGCAAGTCGGGGCACCGCTCTATCCTCACTGGCCGGCGGAACGGGCTTTCGGAGGGCGCTGCGCCGTACCTGTGCCGTCGGAGCTGCTGCCGCGTGAGAGCCGGCCGCCGCTCCTCTTCGCCTGGCTGCCTCTCTCCGTGCCCCTTGCGGCCCCGGGGGGGCGTGCAACGTTAAACCACAGCGACACGCTGAAGCCTTCTGACAGGTGTGGCCAGCAGCTCTGGCCCAGCAGCGGCAGGTGGACGGGGGCCACGAGCCAGGAGGAGAGAGGCCGCTGGGGCGGGCTGTCCCCGCCTGCCCCCTTCGGGCCCTGGGAAGCGCGTGCTCTTCCTAGAAGCTCCCTGGCCTCACCGCTCGCGGCCCCGGGGCTCCTCGCCAGGGCAGCCCCAGTGGCGCTGGGGACTTGCGGCAAGGGGAAGGTCAGGCATTGGGCCGGGCCCGCAGTGGGGTCACTCTCAATGATTCTCAGGAGACCCAGAAGAAGAGTTTCCTAGGGAAAAGTCACAGTTTCACAGTGTTACAAGGCGCATGATTATCTTGAAATTCGGTGCATAAATGAAAATACAAATATACAAGCATTCCTATTTAAATATTTCCAAGCTAACATATCACCGAAGTTGTCCTTTCTGTGCAGGAAAGATGCATAGCGAATACAGATTTCCACTTTTTAATGTGTAATCTCCTGTGGTTAATTTGTTGGAGACTCAGATGCTCTTATGGTTGAAACCTAAAATTAAATACCACATCAGGAATCATTTATACTGAAGAAAGATGTTTCTTCCCAAGTAAATTATAGTTTCATCTATTGCTAGTTTCGGAATGATGGACAGAACCAGAGACCTCACAAGGTCTCCAGATCTGTGCACCTAGCAGGGCTGATAACCAAACTCAGGGGTCCATCACTTTCCAACCTATTTTACGTGCTTTTTCTCTAGTCAAAATATTTTCTTTCACTTGTTTACAATCGAATAAAATAACATTTTGGGGTTTTATTTATAAGTTTTTGGTTAAACTAAACTATAGATAGCATAGGAAAGAGAGGAAATGTGTATCTAATTGAACGGAAGAGCAATGATTAAGAAGTCAGGTGAAAAGTAAGAAAGATCAGCCTAGTACAGTGCCCTGCTCACGCACAAAACAATACCTAGTGAGTTTGATGAGGAATGCACTAGAAAGAGCAACAGAAACATCCCGGAAACACATGTTCAGCTCTCCAGACACTAGTGTTCTGGCCCTCACGTTCTACAGGCCCCTCCAGGCTGCAGGGCTGGGAGGGAAGAAAGTGTCGGAGCTCAGGGGCTCCCAGTCTTGCTTCAAAGACTGCGCCAAGGTATCCAGTCACTTATGCTTCTGTCAAAGATTTCATTACAAAAACGGGTTTCTTAGCAAAGAACACTAAATCACACTGGACAAAAACAATGATAGACTATACCTAAGAGCAGGGAATAATTTTCTAAAAAGGTATAATCCTCAACATGGCCATCATTACTCATAATTAAGTTCTCTTCAGTAACTAAAGTTATTTACCATTTCTTAAGCACAAAAACTGGAGGTGGAAACAGTGATATATCTGGTTAGCAAAACAGAAATGCAGTTGATTAAGAAATGTGCAAACAGTAAATAATTGAGAGCCTCACACATAGCAAAGAATTGATGGTACAACAATTACCACATCAAAAGTGAAAGTTTGGTGATTTTCAAACAGTTTTTAAAATATTCTATTAGTATCACTGGAAAATAAATTATAGCATATTTACTATACACGGAGATTTCTCCAGAAATATTCTCAGAAGAAGGGCTAGCTCTTCTGAACATGTTCTTGTACTCATCAAAGATACCAGCAGGTCGACCAATACTCTCTGGCACTCTAAAGAGAGAGGGGAAAAGTTAAAGTCAACCTACAATTAATTAAAGGAACTTAACAAGCAATTTCCCTGGAAGAGATGTCAGACACTACTGTCGTATCTTAAATGCATTGTACAGAGTCGAGTAATCCGCAGCTCTGCAGAGGAAACAGCAATGCATTTTGATAGAGTGGGCGCACACAGTGACCTGGCTGCGGGGAGGCTGGCTGTAAAGCACAGTAGTCGGCTAGAGATGTCATGAGCCTTAGAAAAGATGCACCTCTCTCCTGAGGTATGGCTGCCAAAAACATGCAAACTTGAATTAAACCACAAGGAAACATGTGACTAGCCCAAATTAAAATTTTGTGTATATTAGCCTTCATTATCCAAGTAAAATTAGGTTATCTCCAACTAGATGTAAGGTTCCACACAGTTCACGGCATGCTAATATTCATCATGAGTGTCCAGCCCTATGAAAGCACTCGCGGAAGCAGGTCCTCAACCCGTGTCCCACACAGTGGCGACACGCAAGCCGACTGGCTGTGGTGCTCGGCGGCTCCGGACCGGACACTGAACACCCACTCAGTCCACTGAAATCTACATTTCCCTTCTAGAGGCCTACTGTACTGGATATTTCTGAGGAACAGAGAAACGGAGCACATAAAGCTCTTTCCTAAATATACAACACTACGCCAGTGGACGTCATTATCATCAACTTGGCTGTAGCAACAAAACAATGCCCACGTACTGTTAAAACTAACAGTGTCAGGGCCTCCCTGGTGGTACAAGGGGTCAAGTCTCAGCACCATGGAGCTGCCCACAACCACTGCAGCGGAGTCCCATCCCCAGTCAGGGCGGGACCCCAGGGCACAGCAGACCCCTCCTGTCTCCCACCGGCCCCCTCAGCAGTGGGCTTCAGTAGATCGGCCTGTTCTGCTCCCCATTCTGTCTCTGGAGATTCCTCTCACCCTTCTTCCCCTGCACCTCTGGTCTGACTCAGTTCTTATGTGCATAAATAAATAAGTTAGATATATGTATATGAATAAATAAAGCCAACAGTTTTAACGCACCTTGAAAACTGGAATCAGCTTGTGTTAAAATATTCAAGAACCCTCCTAAAAGAGTTTTCACAGTTCCCTAGAGATTAAAAAACAAACCATAAGAAAGTCAACTTCTTATCTCTGAAAATAACGAGAGAGACTGCTATGGGTGGATCATTTGATAGTTTTTCAAAACAATGGCCGCACTACAGTGAAGTACAGTGTAAAAAACACAACTTGGTCTCAGAAATAGGCCTGATTTCATTTTTAGTATGTCAATGACTGCATTACCTTTTAATGTTATTTTAGAGAACTATGAAATTATTAGGTTTTTAGAGTACCACTTTTAGTTAAAAACACACCTAAGGTAGTGTGTGTTTCTACATACACCACTCAAACAATTCCCACCCAAGCAGAGTTCTACCTGAGAGCACCAACTGGGTCATGAGCGTGATAAAACCGCCAGTCCTGCTTACCTGTTGCAACAGCAGAGAGATGTTCTTTTCTTTCTGCCTGATGATTTTCAAAAAACTCTCAAATACATGGGCAAGAACATCAAGGTTGACTTTACTAGTAGAAAGTAAACTTAATTCCAGCATACAGATCTCAGGGTGTCTTATTTCCCCTTGAGTGGGGGTCTCAAGTAGACCATCTGGGCTCCCTCCCGCGCTGGAATCCAGTGCCTCACGCTCGAAGTCCACACCTGGAGGGGAAGGAAGTGGTTTTATTCGATGAGTAAATATGCCAAAGCTCACTAATCACTTGGCTTGCGAAAGTGTCATTCCTAAGAAGATGCTCACAAAAACAGTCCCTACAAAATATTGGTTATATGTATCCTACCACTGTCAGGGAAATGCAAATCAAGACAATGAAAATCAAAACCACCTCAACAAAAAGCCCAGAAGCGACGAGTGTTAGTCAGGTTGGAGAATAGCACGGACACTTCTCAGAATATTAAAAGTGGATCCACCGGCTCACTCGGAGTATCAGCCCGAAGAAGGGAAAGGCCTAGACTTGGGCCGTGTCCCCTACACTCACTGCAGCACTGTGGATGGCTGCGGCTATGGCAACATGGCAACGAGGCTTGTGCCACAGACGGGCAAGTGGGTCAGAAGACGCGGCCTACAGACACAGTGGGGCCTCAGGGCATCACGGAGCCATCCAGAAAGACCAACTCTCATCATCTGGGACAAGATGGAACTGGAAGGGGTTACGTTAAGCAAAACAAGTCCCACAGAAAAAGACAAACACCAGATGGCATTACTAACACATGGGAAACAGAACAAGGGGTCGGACAACATGAAATCGGCAACAAATCCTCAAAGTGTAACTGCGGAGCTGAGCCAAAGCATCCCACGGAAGTAAGGAGGAGAAGCAAGAGGGAATGATGTGGAGGGCAGGGAGTGGCTGAGGGTCAAATTGGGCGAAGGTGTTAAGCCAGCGGTCTCAACCCACAAACTATGAAAGTGGTTCTGATCTTCAAAAGAAAGAGAAATATCAACAGCAATTTGTGTAGACTCAGGACACAGATTTAACATATTCCTCTCACACAGCCAGTAAAAAATCATACCCCAAACTGCCTACCCTCGAAATACTTAAGTCACAGTGTTTTCATTGCCTGCTACCCCATGAAGGAACAAGCTAGCTACTGCTACGGTGGAGTTTGTACCTGTCAGCTTTTGGTATGAAAAATTGCATCCTAGAAATCTCAATTGATACGATTTTAAGAGAGCACGCTGTGCTCCTAGAAATAATGTTTAAATTGATAAATATCTACATAGATAACTCTTTCAGATCTAGTCAGCAAGCCTTCTCAGAGACACCCTCCCAAACATTAACACACCCTGTTTTATTTTCTTTATACTGCTGATTTCTTAGACTTGCTTGGCTTTTCCTCTCGAATATAAAGGCGGTAGGGGCTTCCTCCACCCTTTACATCCAGGCCTTCAGTGTTTGTGATAATGAGGCACCTCTCGCTCTCTGTACTGCATATATGAGAGCAAGCTTTGCTGTTAATTTCAAAGAAAATGATAATGCAATGCTCTTTTTAACTTTTAAAGTGACACAAAATCTCAAAGCGATGCCGCCTGCCAATACGCAGCCCGACCCGCACACCCATCGCACGTCTCTGTGCTGTTTTACCATCATCCCAGGCTTCGCTGTCCCCAGGGTCGCTCTCACCGTCAGCTTCATAACCTTCCTCTTCAACCAAAAGTCTAAAATCACACCACTGAGGATCCTCAGTTTCTTCTGAAAAATCAGCAGGCTGAGAGGACAATTCTTCTTCAGACTGATGACTCTATATATGGCAAAAGTTATTATCTGCACATGTTTATTGTTATTTTAAAAAATAATATAATAGTTTATTTTTACATCATTTTGTGCCTTTTTCCATCTCTGTTGTGTATTGAGTGATTTTAAGGACTATTTCTGTATTTCCACTAGGAAAACAATCTTAGGAATCAACATGAATTATGAAATTAACGCAGCAAAAATGTTAAGTCTCTTAGACAAGTTGATCCACATGTCAAAGACGGAGGTCTCTAGATTAATTAAGCCCTGCTCATTTCAATGTTATTGAAAAGTCAGTCTAAGAAATTTCATTCTAGTTACACAGTAGGAAAAGACTAAAAACCACCAAAAGTCGTAATTATTCACCTCTTATGGTTAATGCAAATAAGCACATATTATTTTTACATAGTGAGAAAAAAAATTTCATCATAGAATTTTTATAAATAAAGTATTTCAGAATTCACTTAGGTATCTAATATCTTCAAAGAAGATATGAAAAACTTCCAAAGAGTTTCATTCTAAGACTTCAGAATGCAATGTCTGGACATAAGCACATAAGACTGAAGAACTTCAGGTCTGACTTCCCATGCACTACCTTGTAGCATAAAAATTCTCTTTCCTAGACACAAAAACACTGATTGAAAAAGATACCTGTACCCCAATGTTTATTGCTGCTTTATTTACAATTGGAAAAACATGGAAGCAGCCCAAATGCCCAAAAGTAGATGACTGGATAAAAAAGATGTGGTACATATATACAATGGAATATTACTCAGCAACCAAAAAAGAGAAACACATGTCTTTTGCAGCAACTTGGATGGAACTGGAAAAGATCATGCTTAGTGAGATAAGCCAGAAAGAAAAAGAAAAATACCAGATGGTTTCACTCATAGCAGGAGTATAATGGACCAGGCGAGAAAATAACAAAAATAATGAACAACCATATACCAGAGACATTTGTGGGGGTGGAGTGGGGAATGGGATCAAAAACGGGGGGGATGAGGGGGGAGGAAAATGCACGGGATTATGGTGATGGCACATGGGTGACTTGGTGATGGGAAACCTGCGGGGATTACAATTGAGATGGAAAAAAAAATGTACAAAATGATGTAAAAATAAACTTTTGTAATAAAAAAATTTTTTTTTCTTTCCTTACAAAGATACCACTCAATATCTCTGCTTGAGAAAAGATATCACTTACACAAGCTCAGTGGCAATGTTAACAGAAGGCAGAATGCAGCAGGTACTTGAACCATTTCCAGTTCACCAGCTGATTCAGTCACACAATGAAGGCGTTAATACCTATCTCAGTAAGTTGTTACGACAATAAAGACAGCAAACAGTGTGGCAGATTATAAAATGTACAGTGAGACCAAGGAATGAAAAGTGATATAGAGAGAAGAGACTGGAAATAATGAATTAGGCATAAAAAAATGTAAAAGGAGAGAAAAATTAACTACGCATCAGTTTCAAGAAAAAAATTAAAACAATTCTTTCAGAAAAATGTGTTAACCTGAACAAATCAGAGCTAAAGCTGCTATTTTCATGCAAGTGAAGGGAGCAGGGCGCTCCAGGACCAGGTGCGGCGAGAGTCGCCGCCCTGTGCGCTTGGCTCGCCGGGTCGCTCGCGTCTACGCTACAGGGAGTAATTCTCAGTGAACGTCCACTTGGGCTAAAGAAAGTGGGGCGCAACCCGGCCTCGGCCTGGCTCTCGGCCCCATGCAGGCGGGTGGGCGGGTGGCTCCCAGCGCTCTTACCTGCTCGGCAGCGCCGCCGTGCTCCAGGCCTGCCGGGTGTGCCCCCAGGGCCACGCGCAGCAGGGCGTCCAGCAGGGGCACGGCCAGCTCCGTCTCCACCGCCCTGGACTGGGAAAGGTGCTCCCTCACCTGCGACAGCACGTGTCCCACGGTCAGGCTCTAAGGTAAAGTGCAAGAGCTAAGAAAATCAATGACATACTTCACGAGAACCTAAAGCAATGACACTAACACGGACGGACAAGCCAAAGCAAGTCCTTTCCTGAGCGGTTGCTATGCAAGGAGGTAACTGCACACATCGTTTTTAATGCTAAATCTTATTTCAGCTGATAATCTTTCTATTTATGACAAGCTTTACTCATCTTCCTTGATCATGAATTTCAGTTGGTTACATTAATTGTATCACAAAAAGTTTAGTTCAGTTTTGACTGACATCTCCACAGTCTATAAATTCCTTATGCTTACATTGCTCACCACTTCAAGAAATGCTAGTTCTAACCCCCTGTTCATCCCCCTTCATTACTCTTTGTGGCCCTGAGTGAACACTTGGTAGACAGCCCCAGTATTAGGTTCTGAGGCCACCAAGATGCGTGAGAAAGGGACCCCACGGACCACGCAAGCAGACGCTAAGGCAGCCACACCGAAGTCGCAGAAGGCTGTGGGAGCGAGCCCGAGGCGCTGCCAACTCAGGCAGGGTCCCAGCGGCGGCTTCCTTGAGGTGGGGAGCAAGCCCCCAGCGAATGGTGGGAGAAGGGCCCCCAGGAAGCCGCCAGCTCAGCCTGACTGACCTCAGCCCGGGAGGGTGGTGCGGCAGAGGCTAACCTGAGAAGGGCCTTGTGGCTGGTCCCCAGGAGTGTGGATTCAACTGTGAGCAACGCGCCAGGAGTTTGAGCTGGGAGCGCAGTGGGACGCGCGCCGTCAAGGGAGTTGGAGCCCTGGCTGCAGAACTGTGGCGGCATCAACTAGAAGAGCGCACTCAGGCCAGGTTCAGGGGCTCTGCATGGGGCCGGGTGGGGACTGCTCTTTTGCTCAGAAGTACCCTCTGGGGGACCTACATGGGCACTGGGGAAGCGGAGAAGCTGGAGGCAAAGAGGTGACTGCAGAAATGTCTGGCCCTGGGCAAATTCCACAGACAGGACGCTGTGGAGCCTGAACCACACCAGGGGTGGTCCCCAGAGTCGGCCCCCCCACCCCCGGTACTGGGCACCAGCACCCTGCGCGGCCGGGGCGGGGCGGCTCTCTCAGCCAAGGGCAATCCTTGGGGGGTCAGAGGCGAGACTCAACAATCACCGCCAGGGAGGAGGGAAGGTGGGTGCGTCAGCTGGTTGAGGGTCCGGGCGGAGCGCCAGCAGGCTCACACCGAGATCTTAAACTTTTAAAACACAACAATCATTATTTCTCGCTCAACGTTTAATGCACATTTAATGCCAGCCAGGGCTGCATCTCTGTCACAGAGAGGTTTTATGTCCCAAACCAAAAGGGCAAGAACTGGGCCACGTACTCCTCTGCTGCCAGGGGGCTTGCACTGTGCTTACCATCCTGGGCGTCTTAAAATTGAGAAACTTTGGAAAAACAACACTACATACAATACTATATACAACTTTCAAAAATTCATCCATAGGGGCCCTCCCTGCTGGCGCAACGGGTAAGGATGCAGCACTGCAAGCTGGCTGCAGCTGCGTCAGTGCGAGCTTGATCCTCGGCTTGAAGCTGACCCCCCCGGGCGCGGCAGACCTCTCCTGACCTGCCGGCTGCTCCCCTCAGCAGTGTACTTCATCAGTCTGCCTGTCCTGCTCCCCACTCTGTCTCTGGTGCATCCTCTCAGTCCCCTGCACCTCAGGCTTGTATTCCAGTTCTATATGCACAAATACATAAATCTTAAAAAAAAAAAAAAATTCACCCACGGCTGCTTGGAAACCAGCAGCCTGTACACCTGTTTCTGGAAAGCCGGCCCCACAAGCAGGCCCATGGCACCTGGCCCCACTGCTGTTGTGCGCCTGCTCCAGAGAGCGCGACCAGCCTCCAGGACAGTGGGCGACAGCAGGCAGCAAAGGCGCCCGGCTGAGCTGAGGGGCCAGCAGCATCTTAGGAACCACGTGCCACAGGCCTCCGCGACAGGGGCCAAGGACAAGCCATTACCTGGGTAGGTGACTCCGAGTCCATCCTTTGCTGGCTGACTCTGACGCTCTGAAGACAAATGGCCAGGAGGGCTTCCAGAAGCCGTAAGCTCTGGAGTGAGGGCTCACTGCCTGGGCTGGCCGACATCTCTGCTTCCCCGGGGGCAGCTTCAGCCACGGAGGTCTGGTCTGCGGTTACGGAAGGAGGCCGCGGCGCTGCGCTGCCCCAAGCGGCAGCTGTCCCTTTGCGACCACCCGTTTCCACTGGTGGAGAGTCACTTTGCAGAGCGGAAGGCGACACGTCTTCCGCCACGCAGCTCCCGGGCTGAGGAGTCACCTTTAGGCCCTGGCTGTCATTCACACTCACAGCTGCTGCCTTCCTGCCTCCGTCCTCTTCGGGACTCCTGAACAGCCTCTGGATTATCATGAGCACTAATCTGTGGCACACCTGGGAACCACCAAGCCTGGAAAACTGCTTCTGGAAAACTGGACTCCACATGTAGACCCAGCGACACATGGACCAAATGTCTGCTGCCCGGTGCATGTGCTCAGGACCGGGCAGGACCAGGCTCCCGAGAGACACGCAGGGCGGCCCGGGAGCAACCTCCACGTCGCAGTCAGGGAGGTCTTGGGAACGGCTGGCTGAGTCTCCTTCAGGGGCTGCTGCCTCTTCACTCACGCTTAAGAAAGCCACACAGAGGAACAGGTTTATGGTATCGGTGTGAACGTCCTGGCCGATGGGCCGCCGTCTCTTTGGGTAAGCCTCTCTGAGGCCCGCATAAAACCTGCGAAGACTCTGAGGGGACTGTGCCGGAGTGTGCTTGCCGCACACAGTGCCCGGGCTGGCGGGCGGCAGCTCCTTCCGCTCGGCGTCTGAGCCATCCGTGCCTGCCCCCGCAGACTCTGGCTTTTGTTCCCCGAGGTTGATTATCAGACTTTCAAATGCTTTTAAGGAATGGCTTCGAATGCCATCTAAGTAATTTAATTCAATTATTTGATTTACTCCATTGCAACTTAAAAACAAATCTCTTATTACCCTGTGAAAGAGAAACATACAAGAAATTTATATATAGACACGTCGCTTGAAAACAGCTATGTATACTAGAAAATGTTAATGGTGTACACGGTATGTACTAAACACTCTTTTACTCTGGTTTCATCTCATCTTGCAAAATCTTTGCCTTTTTAATGCCATCTTACTTCATTCAGCAATGATGTGGCTTAAGTCCTTTGTCGTGATCCAAATCCCAAGTTACTTTCTAATTACTTTCACATCCTTCTTCAAATGCCATCTATGTGGCTACAGCCACATCTCCAAGAAGGATGGCACGCACCTCCGTTACCAGCACCAAATACAGGAAGCACGCTTCCTCTGACCAGCAAATCCTGCACACACAATGCCATGCTACCGCCACCGGGAGGCAGACATCCCCAAGGCAGTAGGCATCTATGTTCTGCTTGTTTACCGAAGACTTTTTGTTTACTTTAAATCTGCACCTTCTAAAGTGAAAGAAACAAACTAGAGTTGAAGGTTTTCGGCTGTCTCCAGCGAGACTCCGGGTCTCCCCAAGACGACTCTCAGGAGTCCTCATCATAACTTAAATGCAAACCAGCCAGTGAAGAGGCAGGTTGTCCACAACCTGCCAAGGAGCTTCAGGCTTGCAAATCAAAGTCAGTTCTTGCAAACAATTTCAGAATGTCAGGAATGAAAAAAGAGGACTGCAAACATAATGACTGTAAGTTGACTAATAGTCGCTTACAGGCTTTTAAAGTGGCATGTGTATCATCTGGAAGACCTGACTACCCATCAGGAGTGAATATTACTGATACAATTATTTTCTATAGTTATTTTTTAAGTGCCACACATGAAAATCATAAAATCTGGAAAACCTATTGGTGGAATTTAAATATAAATTTTTTTTCTTTAAAATTTAACATTATTTTCTGGACATAGTACTTAGTAAATCAATGTAAATATTGCATTAAAAAGACAATAATAACACTCTTAGTTACACTGCTACAGTAAATACCAATTTAGGTAGACACCAATTTACATGATTGTAAGTATCAGACAATATGCTCATTTTTGCGTACTTTATCCATGAAATATGTGAGTATTTCCTCATGTTCCAACATGATCTTTGTAAATAGTGTTAATGGCCAATAATATTCCATGAAGTAACTATAAAATAAATAATTTAACCTTGCTCTTGCTGTTGGACATCTATATTGTGTCCCGTTTACTTCTCAGAAATATTTTTAAGATTTTACTTTCGGTTACTGAGAAATTAACATTCATCATCAATCACCCTATGAGAAAGGAAGGGAGGAGGCAGCGCGAGGAGGGAGGGAAGAGAAAAACAAAGTTCAAAAAATCTGGCATGGTACAAGAATGTTTGTTGTTGTTAGACTACAGGTAAACCCTAGCGTACAGGTGATGAAGGTACTGACTGGACACCAGGTACCGGGGTCAAAGTTCAGATGCACATCCTTTAGCACACATCTGAACCAGAGCGTAGGGGAGACCTGCATGCGTGCAGGCGTACAAACCTTGACTTCAGCAGGGCAGGCAGAGTCTTCAAGTAAACCCGAAGCACCTCCTGCGGCAGACTCTGGTCCTGGTGGCCGCGCGCCTGAGTTGGAGCTGACGCCCCACGGGGGTGCTGACAGTGACGTGCCAACTCCACTCCTCTTTGAAGCACAGGGTCAAGTATGTAGTGATACAGTTTCCACTGCACAACTATATTGCCCTTCTGCATTAAAGTGCAGATGTGGTGTGCAACCTGCATACTGTGAAATCTGTCTTCAAACACCAAGCTCTGGTAAGCCTCCAACGCATCCCACTTCCCAAACAAATCTCCAGGGGCGCTGCTGGGCAGGACCTCGGAGGCTCCATGGGGCAGGCTGCTCGCGCCTGCCCACAGGGCCTCCTCGAGTCTGGCCAGCTGGTCAGCACCCACCCCACAAAGGCTACAAGCTGCTTGCAGACTTCTCTGTGGTGTCTCGGCACCTCCCAGCTGATCCAAAATAAGTTTGCTCAGGACGTTCAGTATGTGCTGCTGGAAATTTTTCAGCGCTGGCGATTTAAAGGCGTGGAGCAGAGGGGCGATGACCGCCCTGGGGTCCATGCAGCAGCACACCCCCACGCTGCGCACGGCGGACAGCACCCGGAGGCAGGTGGCGCGCTGGGAGGCCCGCTGCAGCAGGCGCAGGCAGCGGTGCACACACTCGGCCAGGCAGCACCGCACAGGGGGGCTCCCGCCGCCCGCAGGCTCCTCGAGCAGGTCGCAGCAAGCCCTGCTTTTAAGAGCTGACGCTGGAAGGCCCGAGAGGTCTCGGTGGTGGTGCATGAAGCGGGAGTATTCACACCGCCTGTGTCTCTTTCTCGTACACACGGAATGGTGAAGCTGCTCCGATCTCACCTTTTTGACAATGCCCATGATGCTGCTCACACTGTCCACTAACAGTCTCAGATGTTCTGAGGCCTCGGGAGGGCTGCCCTCTCTCAGGGCCAGCCACTCCATCTGAAGAATGGCTGTTTCGAATAAATTAAACCCATGATGCCGAATGAATTCCTGCACCAGATCCATGGCTTGACTGAAGAAAAAGGGGTTTGAGGCTGCGCTCTGAAGACAGCGGGCCAGGATCTGCAGAACTCCTTGGAGAAGCTCAGGCAGAAGAAGGGCTCTGTGGCGGTACTTTGAAAACTCAAAGCCCTCCTGGACTTCCTGTAGTGTTTTCTTTTGTCTTGGTGCAAAAGGGTCCGGCTGCTTTTCTAGGCAAGTTCTAATTTTTAAAGCTGCTCTAAGCAATTCGGTCACATTTTTCCTAAGACTCTCCGGCATCGCCTCCGCAGTGCTCACGTCCACGGACAGGAGGTGCAACACTGTTCGAAACAGCATCCGCTGAATCAGCGCCACCGGCTCCTGTGTCCAACCTGCAGACAGCGCTGGATTCCCCCGGGCATCGCTCGGATGGCAACAGTCCCCAAAGCCCGCGAGGAACTCTGTCAGTGTGGGCACTACACTGGCTGCCAGGGCAGAATCCCGACTCAAGGTGATGTCAAACTCACAAACCTTCTCCAGCAAAGACAGCAAGACGTGACCTAGGTCAAAGGGTGTATTGTTCATGTGGCTGATGACAGCCAAGGCAGCGGGCTCACTCAAAATGTCAGTGTCTGATCCTGGCCTTGGAACTCTCTCCCTGGACTGTCCCAGCGCCATGGCGTCAGGAGGCCTCTGCTCTTCTCTGGTTGCCAGGTGGTCAGGGGCTGCCACCAGGGGGTCTCCGTGGGGAGGCTGTGGCGCCAAGTGCTGCAGCAGACGGGGCCGTCGGTGCCTGGCCGCCCCCTTCTCGTCCGAGTTGGCCTCCGAATCAGAGGTGGACAGCGGTGTCTTTCTCGCTTCTCTTATAGAATAGCGATGGGTAATTTTCCGCTGCCGTCTGCTTTTTCGAACAATACTTACTTTTGCAGAAACCTGACCGGATGGGGCACTTCCTTCTAAATGTGATTTTTCCTGAGTAGATCTTTGTAAAGTTGAGTTCTTTTCTTTGGTCAGGATTATATCAATGGAGAATGGTAGATTAAACTCTAATGACACGAAGAAAGGACATTTAGAATACGGCAATAGGTTAACAAATTCAATTTACACAGGCAATTACCCTCTTACTCATGAGGAGTCTGTCCTCAGTATATTTTCACTGTGACTTCCTTGGCTATTTGTGATGCCCCCTCTCCCTCCCCCCACTTACCCTCTCACTAATGCACTACGTGGCATTAGGGCGTTAGTTCAAAGGAAGGCTAAACACTGATTTGGAAAGAAATAAAGCAGAACAACATTAGGGAAGCAACTCTGATTCAAAGCCATAGGTTGCATTCTAGCCTGCACAGAAGGGTCTTGACTCATCTGCTCTTTAGCACTGCTGTCCATGCCATTCATCAGTCTCCCCTGACAGTGCCTCAGGTCAAGGTGTAGGGCTATATCCTGAAAAATAGCCCCTGATATGACTTGGGAATTTTAACAACTTCCAAAAACGTTTCCTAGAAGGAACTATAAACATGATCCCTGAAAGCACAGTGTTTATGCAGTAGATTCCACATGTTCTTTGAGACGGGTGAAGTGAGTACTTCAACGTGCACGCTGAGCCACATATACACGGTACAGGCGTCATGGACTCATGTTCAATGTCAGTCCACGTGCTGGGAAGTGCTGGCCCTCAGTAACACTTCCTGGGGAATGGATGAATCCTCCTCCCTACTTAAAACTGGCAGTTCTCTTCACATATTACATAGTAAGTTCTATGCAAAAAATACGGTTGCAACTTAGAACAAATAAAACTCTGTAAGCAAAGGATATATACTTTCATTAAAATGAGGGAGAGATTAAAAGGAGCCTGAGAAATCCCACCTATGCAAATGATGCCGGCAACAACGACACCTTCCCCAAAGAACACTGATCAGTTTTTTTAGTGATTAACAACTTGCAAATTCTTCAAACTCAGAAGAACATAAGAGCAGAGTTAAGCAGGATATATACTGCAAGACCTTAGATAATTTCCTAAAAAGAAAGCTTCATATCAAAAATATATTAAAGATGCATACATGATGTGAAAATACAATAGCTTTTATAACCCGAGAGATCCTTAAACAACTCACGGTTCCTATGTCCCAGGAAGTGGGAAGGGAGGTAATGTTAGTCTCTCCATGAAAACATTCATGTTTCATATACTTAATAGTACATGAATTTATTCAGAGTTAGAAATATGTACAGTGCTGATCTTAAGTATAATAATTCTACTTAAACTTGAAATAAAGTATTATTTCAGATTTACCCTTCAAAAGTAACATTACATAAACTAAAGTAGAACACTAAAATGTTGGCAGAGTACTGTGTCAGAAAGCATCCTATTAAATGACCTAGGAACTTAAATTTCTTCCTTCAAACTTTTCACCATCCATTTCTCAGATGCTACGCTACATTCCTAGATTCACTCCTCTTGGTAAGTGCTTTGCTTCTTCCTGGTCTAATCAACATTACATTCAAGAAATACTCTGAGAAGCACCATGCTTTTTATACCAGAAGAAATAAAAACTGTGCTTGCCTGAAGAAGGTCTCATCAAGAGTAACACTAACACTGCTCTGATTTGGAACTGTGCAACCACTGAGGCAGAAGTAACTTTTCAGTGGAACATTTTTCCTCAGTGGAATTTTGGTAACAGCAGTGACTGATAAAGAAACATACCTGCGGCCTTTTCTTCCTGAACAGGAATCTTCCATACCAGCGGAAGGAGGGACAGGAGAAGAGTAAGGAGTTCTTCTCTGCATGTTAGCGCCTAGATTTGAAACAAAAATGTCTTCATGCTCTGAGTTCATGTGATATTAATTCCTAATTGAGCCCCCCCCAAATCCTTTTTCTTAAAAGGTTACATTTGAGATGCTAAGAATTTAGCCTATCTGGAATCCAGCGAAAGCTGTGAAACTTCCCACTTTATAAAGCTTTCCAGCGACAAAACTATGTAAGAGTATTTGTAGGTATTTAGCACACTCTTGCTGATTTTTCCAGAACTAGTTGTTCAGGCCATCATGCACACTGCAAAAATTCCTCACCTATGAAAAAATGAGCTAGGTGAAAATGAAAAACTACGCCCTATTTCATTAGCAAACTCATAACGTAAGTTATGATAAAGTGTGAAGTCTTCATGCAGTTAAATGTAACACTTAGAGAACACAATTTTAACAGGGAGATGGACATTATTAATCAATGATGCAGAAAGACTCATTAGTGAAGGCAAGTGGATACAGAGTCTCTGACTGCACACCAGACGTCCCCAGCACTTACTGCCTTACCCTTTCTGGGGGTGCGGCAGGAGAGGCAGGCCCCTCCTGCAGTCCCTACACACAGACACACAAACAATTAAAGGGCAACAGAAGGCATGAAGCGTAAGCAGCGCCAGGCACAGGACAGGCATTCAGATTAGGGGCTTGGAGGCACGCACAATCCTTATCCTGAGGTGGAAGTGGGGGTCAAGCTAAAAATGTGGGCATTTGGGACACTGTGGTCAAGGAATCAATGACAGAGTTTGAATTTCTTGCATCAATCAGCAGAGAGGGTGCTCCAGTGATACAATCAGGTTTGCTTGTTAGAAAGCCCATCTGGTCACTGAATAGGGGCCAGAATGTGGCTGGTGGGCAAGGGCCCCTCAGTGAGAGAGATGATGGGCAAAAGTCTATGACAGCAAACTGAAAAGAACAAAGAAATACCTAAGCAACCACATGGGAGAAGTGAGGTGACTGAAGCTGAGTATAGGGGCGGGGTGGGGGGAGGAGTGGTTTAGGCAGCCAGGTGACGGAGAGTGTGCTCACCAAGGACTGAGGTGTGGTACTAAGATGGATAAAGATGACAGATTTACTTTTTATTAAGAGATCTGTAGGATATCCAAATGGAGAGACCTTTTAAATAAACAGTTGGACCAAGATCTGAAATTGAAGAAAAAGATGAGAAAGAAAGAAACATCGGGGCCCTTCCTTGGTGGTGCAATGAGTTAAAACACCACACTGTGAAGCTGTCTGTTGCCACTGCAGTACAAGTTCAATGGCTGCTGGCCCTGGAGGTGACCCACAGGGAGCAGCAGACCTCTCCCATCTCCCTGTTGCTCCCCTCAGCAGTGTACTCTGTCATCTCCCCACTCTGTCTCTGGTGAATCCTTTCACCCCCTGCATCTCTGGCTGGTACCCCAATTCTGTGTGCATAAATAAATAAATCTTTAAAAAAAAAGTTTTAAATTAGAAAAAAAAAGGAAAGAAAGGGAATCACTGGGGCAGAAGTCAGGCCATATATGAGCTCTCCTAGGGAACAGTACTGGGGTGTCGAGCGCAGATGATGGCAAGGGAGCCCTGGAGAGCAGCGCCAAAGGAGTAAGGAGGGCAGTGCTGAAGGAGGGCTCTGCTCCCCAGAGGAGGAGGACGAGAGCAGTGGAGATGAGAGATTTCAGGTAAGAAGGGTCTCACTTGTGTAAAATGGTGGCTGAGAAGCATTTGGCAAACAGGAGGCTCCCAGCGGCCCCAAGAGACAGTCAGGGGAGGGCCAGGGCAGTCTGAGGAGAGCAGGCTGGAGGGCTGAGGGAAGGGGCAGAGACTCACACTCAGATCACCCTTCTGGTCCTTCTCACAGGCCTCGGCCTTCTATAGCTGTGAGCAGAGACAGCGTGACAGGCGCAGTGCGGAGACCCCCACAGGACGCTGTGCTGAGAGCCCAGTGGGCAGGGCCCGAGAGCCACGGTACCGGCGGGCAGGTCCTCGCGGGAGGAAGGCACCCACGTAGGCTGGGGGCGCCTCGCAAGGGCAGGCCTGGCCAGGCCTGCGCTGTTCCTCATGGGCTAACAAGCAGATGAGGCGGTGGGCACTGGAGGCTGAAGCTGGGGCACCAGGCACGACCGGCAGTGCCAGACCAAACGGGCCTCACACACGGACGTGGCTTTGCCTCTTGCTGCTCCCCAACATGCTCTCCAGGCCTTCTGGGAGCGTGGACGCCATGGCCACCCCTCAGCACACCCCCTTTCTGCCACCTCAATGTTCAAGAAACACCATCTGCGTGAATGACTTTGAATTCTAGTCGCACAGTAAACGTGGTACCAAAAGGCCCCCACTTCTCTGCACTTCCTTCAACATCAGCAAGGCAGAGATGACTCACTAACATTTCCATGAATGGCCCATACTGGGTTTATTTTTTAAGATGCCAGCAAAAGGTACAGTCTTGTAAAAGAGTGAAAGCTCATGTTGGCCCCTACCCTCGTGTGACTCGTGTGACTCTCTCTCCTTGGCGGAGGGCCCGGCGCTGAGCCGGCGGCGCTGGCGGGAAGCGCAGCCTCTGAAGCAAGCGGACTTGCTGTCCTGTAACGGCCCTGCTCTCCACAGGGCCCTGGCAAGCCTTCACGGCCATGCAAGCAGAAACGCCTGCCTCCAGGCTTTGGCGTGACATGCAGTCTGAACTCATCGCATGCCTCCCCAGCTAGCCACATGCTCCCTCGCGAGCTTGAGGCCCAGCCCTTCTGCTCTCTCTCTTTAGCACTTTCTCCCTTCACACCCACTCTACCCAGTGGCTTAGCTCCTGGAAACACGGACCCTCCGAGAGTGACACTGACGCGAACGTGCTGCGTCCTGCCACCTAGCTGGGACCGCAGTCTGGGGCAGGGCACGCTCACCCCATACAAAGCAGGGGAGCAGGGCCTCTCGTCGGAGGCCGTCAAATCACTGCGAACACCGTCCTGGGAGTAGCCCTTCCTGCCACATTGGCCCTGTTACCCTGCTAGGTGGACACTTCTGACTTACTTATCCTTTGAGGCCCAAAGAGAGCATATGTAGGATCTATCCTTGTGCAAGTCATAGAATCTTTTTCTCTTGTGGGCATGCAGACTCTCATTTGTGGTGCTCTGTTTCAAATATAAAGTTCTGATTTTCGATCCCAAGGCTCTACACTGGATTTCACATCGATGGTCTCTCTTGGCTACCTGAAAGCGCGGCAGAGTGGGAAGGAAAAGGCGAGTGAGCTCCAGGGCAGGCCGAGCACCCCCACTGCACAGACGCTTCCCCCGCGCGATTTCAGGACCTCAGGCGACATGCTGACGCAATCTGGACTGGATCCAGAATGCACTGGAATGCTGATGAAGCTAACTTAATTGGCAATGGCATTATTTTTAATCAGAATTTTGATTAACTACATTTATTGTCCCAGACACCAATAGAAATATGAATGCATATATTTGCTTTAATTTCTTCTACCAGAATTTTATAATTATTCCTAATTATTTATCTATCGACAAATCAGTGAATACTTCTTCATTAGTACTGCAAGAAAAATATTTCTTAGGTGTGCAGGTATAGCTCAAGGAAATAAAATGAATCCATGTTAGTTCTACTATTTGGAAAAACAGTTCTCTGGATGATCTTCTGGACTTTCTGTTTACTTCTCTATCTTTCTCACATTCCACCTCACTGTCATATTCTGCTTTACTGTTGCATATTTTTGAAACATGATAATAAACAGAAATTGTAAACTCTTCTTGTATTGCCTCCCTTCTAGACCTTCTTGTTTCGAACATTGCTGTCTTCCGGAAAGAAAAGGAAAAATACCGGATGATTTCACTTATAGCAGGAGTATAAAGGACCAGGTGAGAAAACAATAATAATAACAAACAACTATATACAGAGACATTTCATGGGGGTGGCGTGGGGAGTGGGATCAACAATGGGGGTGGGGGAGAAGTGTACAGGACTGTGGTGACGGCACACAGGTGATGTGGTGATGGGAAGCCCACGGGGATGACAACTGAGATGGGAAAAGGCACAAAATGATGTAAAAATAAACTGTTATATATTTTAAAACAAATAATGAGACAAAATAAATGACTGATTAAAAAAACTGAAAAAAAAAAAAAAATCAGTTTTCCCTAGTGCTATGTATGAAGCCCTGTGCTATTTTTAGAGACTTCACCAAGGGTAAATTTTGTGAAATGTTTCTGATGTCTCAGGAAAGGGACATGGACTGTTTTTCCCATAGATGTCAAGCATCAGGCTAATAGTTTTCCTTGAAATAGACAGGATCACAATTTCTTTAAAGGCTAGATAGCGACCACCTGAGGCTGTGTGAGTCAATGTGATCTCTGCCACACTTTCTTCTGTCTCTTGAGTGCTTCAAACACCCGATCACTATTATTCACTGTGGGCTGTCCAAAAACAGATCCCTGTCCTGCTGCCACATCCCGTCTAACGAGGCCCCACCTCCTCCTCATCCCTCCTGGGGGTTAAGTGGCTGCAATACTCCTGGTGGCATTTGACAGTCACACTGTTAGACGGACGTGCGGCTGAGAATCTGGTGGGCGGGCACCACACACAATTACATGCCCAAAGTAGACAGAGGTCTGTCTCCAAAACTATTGCAGATGTGGTGGAAAGCCGCCACGCTGGCTAAGAATCGGTATTATTAAAAGAGACAAAGTTCCAAGTGCAAGGAAACTCGAGTTCCCACTCTCTAAGGGCAGGAGGCAGAGAGAAAGCTGCCACGTGCAGTCACCTACTGCAGAAGAGCATTCGCTCTGAGGTGCAGCCGAGCGCTCTGGGACACCCTCTGGATTACCCTCCCCAAGGAAAACGCCCCGCGCCGCCTTCCGCCTGCCCTCTGCCTGCCCTCTGCATGTGACAGCACACATGCTCACTGGGCCTCGGTGGGCTGGGCGTCTGCCACGCGCCTCCTAACCAAACACAAGCCCAGGCATCTATTGTGACTGATGCGTTTCTACTTCATCACCTGATGCCAAGTGTTCGAGGAGCAGGCCCCGTGTCTTTCCAGCTCACTTGCCGCGCACCCACCCGGAGCTATAATCAAAGTACCCGGGAAGTCTCACTTGCATCAGCACTGACTCAGATCATGAGATCACAGTCCTAATGCCGATGCTACAAAGGGACAATGCTTTGAGTGTCCCAGGAAGGAAGAAGTGTGGGAGGAATGCTAATAATTGTGGCCAAAGAGGCTGTGGTAGAGAAACATGGCCACAGTTAGTTTTCTCCCATCAAGAGATGGTCTGTATTTCCATCCCTTAGATCTGTGCTGGCCATGTGACTTGCTTTGTCTAGCAAAATGGGGCAGCAGAGATATTATATAACTACTTGTACTCTCATCATCAAGTAAAGACGCTGAATCAGTCTAACTGGGAGGGGAGGGCCCCACGGTTGGAAACGAGGCTTCCTGGCCAAGGTCTCCTGCCACTGACCAAGGTGCCGGTGGAGGTCCAGCCAAGGACCAAGGAACAGAGGTTGCTAGCCCACCGGAACTGCCAGTTCACAAAACTGCTTGAGCAAGTTGATGCCTTATGGGAGTCCATATAAATTTTAGCGTTTTTGTAATGCACACACATTAACAGAATGAAAAGGAAAAATAATGTGATAGCCTCAACAGAAAGGCATTTGGCAAAATCCAGCACCCATTTAAAATAAAAACTCAGCAATAAGAACCGAAGAGGACCACCTAGTTCTGATAAAAGGCATCTAAGAAGCTCTAAGCGCTGACACAAGATTTTATGGTCAAACACAGAAGAGTTTTCCCTAGTCAGAAACAGCGTTAACACTCTCATCACTTGCATCCCCCTTTGTAGTAGAAGCCAGTGCAAGAGCCAAGGAAACGAAGGACATAAACATTGGGAAAGAAGTGAAACTGTCATTATTTACAGAGGAAAAGACTGTCTACATAGAAGCTTCTCAGGAACTGGGAAAAAGCTGCCGTATGAGTGAATGAGTCTAGCAAAGGCACAGGACACATGAGCCATGTAAAAACCAGCCATGTCTCTGTGAATGAAAAACAACAGAGAAGCTGCTTTCAAATGCTGTTTATAATAGCCTCGAAGATGATAAAGTATGTAGATAAATTCAACCCCCAAAATGCAGAAAACCACAAACATGGCAGAGAAATCAGAGGCATCTCACGGAGGTGCACAAGCCATGATCGTGGGCTGAGAAACTCCGGTGCCCTTCCTTCCAAACGACTTTCAGACTCGATGCATCACAACAGAAAGCCTAGCAGGTACTTTTGTAGAAATAAGCCCATTCTGAAATTTATATCGAAAAGCAAAAGGTCCTCAATAGACAAACATTCTTGAAAAAGAACAACACACTGGCGAGCTTACACCACTCCACTTCTAGATTTACTCAAAAAGCCATAGTCATCAGACAGTAAGTGTGATGTTAGTGAAAGAGCAGGTAGGTGGAGCAGGACAGAGCCTAAACTATGCTGGGGCATGTGGCCAACTGGCTGCCTGGTGAAGGAAAGAACAGACAGTTACAAAGAACTGCTAATGAAAACCAAGTAACTAAAGGGGGTGAAGGGGCCATTACTCCTACTCTAGTACACAAAATAGCAATTCAGAATGAGTCACAGGAGAAGTAAAAAATTAAAACTTCCAAGAAGAAAATAGAACATCCTTGCAATTCTGGGCGGTGAGTCGAACACTTCCGAGGCCGCTGCCAGCACTATCCACAGAAGGGAAATCTGCTCTTTAAGACATTGTTATGAAATAAAAAAGTATTCTCCATTCAACAAACACACCTTCAGAGACAGAAAGGGCTACTCCGCTCTGACTTTAACACGGCACAAATCTGAGCAAACATCCACTCACTGTGGTATTAAGGTAAAAAGCACAGTGTATGCAGAACTTGGCAGAAGAAAGTCCACTGTTGATTTCTAGGTATTTCGGATGATGCAAAAAGAGCACGACCACCGCGGTGCACAAACGGGGCCTCTGGTGCTGCTCAGCCACGTGAGGGCAGCACTTTGCCCAAAGGGAACCTCAGACGCTCTTAGTAAGAAATTACGTGTAACCACGAGCTCTAACACAGTCCTTAAAGTGTCCGATACGGGCAGTCACCTGGTCAATGACAGAATTCAGCTGGGTCAGCAACAGAAACCCTCGGCCGTGGACAAGGTAGCGCCCTAGGGCCGCCTCCGCCGCCTCCGCCTCCGCCTCGGCTTCCCGCCTCCCGACCACAGCATTGCAAAGCTGGTTGACGTCAGTCAGAAATTCACGTGCCAATGAATTGCTGTCGGTGCTCATGACCGAGCTGTAAAATAAATATTACAAAAAAGATTAGAAAAGCAAAAATGATATGTATTTTTTGAGATGTATTTATTTATGCACACAGAACTGAGGTACAGGCCAGAGGTGCAAGGGTTGTGAAGGGAGTCACCAGATACAGAGTGGGGAGCAGGACAGGCAGATTGCGGAGCTACAGTGCTGAGGGAGCAGCGAGGAAGACAGGAGGGGGTCTGCTGCACCCTGGGGTCCCTCCCTGGCTGCGGATTGAACTTGTGTTGAAGCGGCTGCCGCCAGGCTCTTAGTGCTGCGCTTTAACCCCCTGCGCCTCCAGGGAGGGCCCCTAAAATGATGTTTATTGTCTTTTACCGAAGACTGACTTTAAATCACTGGGCATTGGGACCTGTCCTGTAACATCTGTGAACGTCTCTGGGCCTGTGGCCTGGCGGGTGACTCTGCATAGCCCAGCCGCATGGGGAGGCCCTGTGGGCGCGGATGCCGTGAAGGCACTGGGAGGGCAGGGGCAGGGGCCCGGGCACTCACAGCCGGGGAGACCTGCCTTTCTCAAATGGCCTCACCCAGGTAGGAATAGGCCTGCTGCCCAGAAAATACCAAAAACATTTCTACCACTTTGGGTCCTGCACATCCCAGGGTGCAGGTTTAATTCCTGGGTGCCCAGGAATTACAACAGAATTACAACAATAACCCCCTTTAGTACATCGTTATTTTAAATACTGAGGCTTAGCAAAAATGTTTAAGAAAATAAATGTACGCTCATTATCCCAACATGCATCTATAACCTCGAGTGTATAAAATATTGGTTCTTACATTGCTTTCCTAAAGAAAAACTGCTCAGTAAATCAAACCCAGTTTATACTCTGTCCATAATTATCTGGCTTTACTTAGTTCACTTAATCTATCAATGACAAAATCTGTGGCTTATCACACGCGCAGAAACGACCCCACGATGTCCTGACTCACAATCTCCCACATACTGTCGCCTTCTGGGTCATCCAAACCAGCTATTGGGCACCATTTTTAAAGTTGCGACTGTTGCTGGTTTCCAAGGTGCCAGGCTGGCATTCTGGAAGTCCGCTGCTGCTTTCCAGGGCCCATCAGCAGGATCCGCGCAGAGCTCAGGGAACTAAAGCCGCCAGAGGCAGCGGAGCGCGCGGCTGGGGGAACACTGGCTCTGCGGGAGTACTGCCGCGGGAGCACCGCCTCGTTGGCCAGCAGCCCGATGCCACGCCCGGCAGGAGCCTGCGGACCGCGCTGGCAGGCACCAGCTGAGTGCCGGCCACCCCATTCACACACAACCTAAACGTGAAAAATGGAAAATGGGAGTGACTCAACGGAGCAACGGCTGCTCCTGACAGGTGGCACTCCCAAAGCCAACCCACAGCCACTCGGGCAGGCGCAGGGCTGCGCTGGGAGCGTGGGGGCAGCGTGAGGGGTGAGGCCGGATCCTCGCCTGCAGGACCGGACAGACCCCACAGAATGGCTCGGAGAAGCCACAGGCTGAGCGCACCCCACCGCCCAGAAGCTCAGCACACAACAGGCCTCTTCTAAGGCTCGCCTCCCAGTGGGAATGAAACCGGGGGAGCCCAAGAAGTCTCTCCCAGGGCCGCCCGTGGCTTATCAGGGGTCTCTACTCTTACACCATGGGGCTGCCGAGGAGCGGAAGGCAACGCGGGTTTGCAACAATCAGCTCATTTGCAGGCCAAGAGAAGAGTGCGAGGAATAGAAAGTATATTTAAAGCAAGGATGACAGGAAGCTTCCCAAACCTGTCACGTAGCTTCATGTTACTAGTTTCAAAGTCTTAGGCTGAGAAAATATTTTGACTGCTCATATTATCACATTGAATACTTACCAGTTGTTCAACACTTCTGTAACATTTAGCCTCTTAATTTGAGCTCATCATCTCTTGAAACAAATATTCTTAAAAGTTTCACCTACAAAAAAGGACAATGATATTAATGTTAATAGTAAAACAATTTTTTTTTTTACATTTTGATTTTGAGGATATTTTCTAACTTCTTCATAGGTATTTACTGTATTGTTCTCAGGAAGATATAACATTTTCGGGGTCACTGTAATAGTCAAAGAGGATAATCTAATTTTCTAAAGAATAAATTAATATGGCCTCTCATGTCCTAAATAGAAAAGATAATGATATGATAAAGAACCAAATGCCAGCTTTACTGCCCTCATAATTTATATAATCTTACTTGAAGTCCTTTCTTTAAAGAACACAATAGTTTATTTTTACATCATTTTTTCATCATTTTGTGCCTTTTTCCATCTCAGTTGTCATCCCCTTGGCTTCCCATCACCGGCTCACCCGTGCACCGTCACCATGGTCCCGTGCACTCCCCGCCCATTTTTGAGCCAATTCCCCACTCCACCCTATAAAATGTCTCTGGTATATAGCTGTTCATTATTATTATTATTTGCCCCCCCGCCACCCCCCAGGTTCTTTATGCTCCTGCTTTGAGTGAAACCATCGGTATTTTTCCTTTTCTTTCTGACTTATCTCACTAAGCATGATCTTTCTGGCTCTATCCATGTTGCTGCAAAAGGTAGGTGTTTATTTTTCTTTTTGGTTGCTGAGTAATACTCCATTGTGTATATGTACCACATCTTTTTAATCCAGTCATCCACTTTTGGGCATTTTGGCTGTTTCCATGTCTTTCCAATTATAAATAAAGCAGCAGCAAACATAGGGGTGCAGATGTCTTTCTGAGTCAGTGTTTTTGTGTCTTTTGATTCCTAGGCATGGGATTACTGGGTTCTATGGAAGCTCCATGTTCAGCTCCAGTTCAGCAGGAACCTCCAGTTTTCACAGTGGTTGTACTAGTTTGCATTCCCACCAGAGTGCAGGAGAGTTCCTTTCTTTCCACATCCTCTCCAACATTTGTTGTTGCTAGTTGTTTGAAGATGTGCCATTCTCACTGGGGTGAGGTGGTATCTCATTGTGGTTTTAATTTGCATCTCCCTTATTACGAGTGATGTTGAAATTTTTTCATATGCCTGTTGGCCATCTGCATTTCCTTTTTGGAGAAGTGTCTTTTTAGCTCTTCTGACCATTTTTTGATGGGGTTGTTTATTTTTGTTGAGTTTCATCATTTCTTGGTATATCTTTGTGATCAATCCTTTATCTCTAGTTTTATGTGAGAAAAATTTTTCCCAATCAGTGGGATGTCTCTGTTTTTTGTAATGTCTCTTTTGCTATACAGAAGTTCTTTAATTTGATGTAGTCCCATCTATTTATCCTTGTCTTCACTATCATTGCATTGGGTGCTCTATCTTCAAAGATGTCGCTGAAGTGTATGTCGTGTAGTGTTTGGCCCATCTTTGCTTCCAAGTGTTTTATGCTTTCCGTTCTTATGTCTAGGTCTTTAATCCACTTCTAGTTGATTTTTGTGTATGGTGTGAGGTAGTGATCTAGTTTCATTTTTTTGCATGTAGCTTCCCAGTTTTCCCAGCACCATTTGCTGAACAAACTTTCTTTGTTCCAGTGTATCTTCTTTGCTCCTTTGTCAAAGATTAGCTGCCCATAAACCTATAGGTTTATATCAGGGTTTTCTATTTGAATACACTGGTCTGTGTCTGCTCTTGAATGATATTAATAAAATCCTCACATCAAAAAAGCAGCGAACCTTCATAGCTGATGTATAGAACAGCCAAGAAACTGTTTCAAATCTCAAGAACACAATAAAAAACACCCAGAGCTTCAAGAAAGTAGTATCGAGAGAGGCGGTCTTAACACATTTGATTTAAATAAGTTGTTGTGGCTGCCTACCCTTCTCTCAAAATGCCTAACTTACAACCTCCAGGTAAATCACCAGGTAACTGATGAAGGAGAATCACAACAGCACCATCTCCTTAACCCTAAAAGCTAGGAAGCAGCTGAGTCCACCTACTCACAGTGAAGAGCCACCTTACTGCGCATAAGGATGGAAAGACCCACAGATAGATGAGAACTCAAAACACACTAAAGCCAGGGCCTCCCTGGTGGCGCAACGGGTCACAGCGCAGCACTGTGGAGCTGCCCGCAGCCCCTGCAGCACGAACTCGATCTCAGGCCCGGGAGGGACCCCAGGACGCAGCAGACCTCTCCTGTCACCCCGGTGCCCCCTCAGCAGTGGATTTCAGTCAATCTGCCTGTTTTGCTCCCCGCTCTGTCTCTGGTGGATCCTCTCACCCCCACACTTCTGGCCTGTACCCCAGTTCTTGCATGCATAAGTAAATACATCTTTAAAAAAAAATACTAAGGCCAAACAACAAGTGAAGCACCACCACCTAATTTTTAATGATGTAGCCCTTACACACAATACCACGAGGACTATTTACAGATGCCTACTGCTACGGTGGCAACCAGATGCTGCTCTTTATTTCTCCTTTAAGCTTTTACCAAGCAGAAGCGTGAAAAATATCTCCTTATTACAGCTGTAAGGCAAGCATAGGTTTATAGTTTTATTTTGAACACCAAGTCTTTTAAAAATAAGGATGGTCTTGGGCCCTCCCTGGTGGCGCAGCGGGTTAAAGCACAGCACTAAGAAGCTAAAGCCACTTCAGCATGAGTTCGAACCCCACCTGCCCCCGAGGTGACGCACAGGGCACAGCAGACCTCTCCTGACTGCCCGCTGCTCCCCTCAGCAGTGGACTTCGTTGATCTGCCTGTTCTGCTCCCCACTCTGTCTCTGGGGAAATCCTCTCACCCCCTGCACCTCTGGCCTGTACCCCAGCTCTGTGTGCATCAATAAATAAATCATTAAAAAAAAAAAAAAAAAAGGATGGTCTTTAACTGCTTCAGATGGTTAAGTCTCGTGAACTGCTTGAACTCCCTCCTGGCTAGCAAACTTTTCATCTACCACACACTTCTGAGGGTAAAGTAGGCAGGAAATGGGCCAGTGCTGTCGAACGCACAGGGCCTGTGTCGACTGGGACAGAAACACCCCTGCCCAGGATGCTGTGGCCCAGACTGCTGTGGCCCACGTCAGGCACACGTACCCCCAGAACACACCCACTGGCTGGCAGGGTGCATGCACACACCAGCGCACCAGCGCCCACACACAAAGAGCTGGCCAGAACAAGTCACGATCACCCCCGCTCCAGCTGCCCAAAATTATGGCAGGGGAAGCTGTCAAACAAGTATCAGCATAAACTGGTGGAGCTGCTGCTCTGACTACCAGCACCCTCGGCTTACTAGGAGGGAGAAGCTTCCACCTGGATGCCAGCTGACTCAGCATGGCCATGAGAAGTGAGCGCAGACAGCCTCCTGTCTCTCCGAGCAGGGTCACTTCTTGGTCACAGCGAGGGGTTTCTGTCAGGCTTCTCTGCTCTCGTTTCCATCCAGCCTGGAGAGCAGTTTCTTCGACCCCAGCACGGCCCGCTGTGCCTGCCTTACGCTGCCATCATTCTTCAGACAGCTGTCCTTTCATAACTCTGTCCCTATGGTCTGGCGCTCATAAAGTCTGGAACTAGTTTTTTTTTTTTTTTTTTTTAACAGACTGGAGTTGTCCTTAAGGTATTACATGTCCTCGCCTGTTTCCAAACACACGGACAGCGAGTCAATTATCTATGCGACAGCCCCTAGCGGCGGCAGACCCTGTCTCATCACTTACTGCACCTTGTGGCTCTGTGACCAGCTGTTAAGTTCATCATCATTATAATTTTCAAATTTTAATTGAAATTCCTCGTTATAATGCCACCCTAAATAAAACGTGGCCCCAACATTACCAGAATTTTATATTAATAAAATTTGCCATAAATGAAAAGCATAACAACAAAATGCCTGTAATCATATAAATCACCTCTTCAGGGAAAACAGTGGATTTCACTTTCTCTAACACAAGGCTGACCATGTAGAAAACACAAATGCCCAAAGCAAAGAGCAGAAAACTGGCAATGTATTTTTTTTTAAGATTTATTTATTTATTCATACAGAACTGGTGTACAGGCCAGAGATGCAGAGGGTGAGAGGCTTCACCAGAGACAGAGTAGGGAGCACAACAGGCAGATCGATGAAGTACACTGCTGCGGGGAGCAGCGAGCGGGTCAAGAGAGGTCTGCCAGCCATGTGGATCTCCTCCAGGGCAGGCGGGGATCGAACTCATGCAGAGGTGGCTTAGGCTTCTTAGTGCAGTGCTTTAACCCGCTGTGCCACCAGGGAGGGCCAGCAATGTATTTTTATGTCATCAGAAACTTACCCAATATTTAACTGAGTTTAAGTCAACAAAATGTTTCTAGCATATTTACTGAATGCCAGCTACTGTTTTGGTACTAGGTATAGAGCAAAGAGAAAACCCTACCCTCTGGGATCCTAGGTGGTCAGACAGAGGAGAAATAGACACACGGTGTGTCAGACGTGCTGACTGCAGCGGGAAGCAACAGCAGGTGAGGCGCTTCGCCAGGCGGGGAGCGAGGAGATGTGGAGAAACCCAGGGAAGCCCAGGCAGGAGAGCGAGCCGTGGGTGTCTGGGAGAAGGGAGTTTTGGGGCAAGGACCTGCTGCGTTTACTGCTCTGGCTGCTGGGGTGAATGGACGGAGACCAAGAGGACAAGGAGAGGCACGCTCCGGAACAGCCTTGAGAGCGGCAGTGTCTCCCCGCCTCCCACACCTGCCCCAGAACCCTACAAGGTTTGTTGTTGCTGTCAGCCCATTGAAAGAGCAGCACTGCTTACTCATAGGTAACACTCACAAGACAGCAGGTTGGCACGGAGAATAAAGTTCCGCTGCAGTTAAGGTTGACAAGTGTCTCAGAAACCAAGTAAAGGGCCTCCCTGTAATCATATAAGGCTGACCATGTAGAAAACACAAATGGCCAAAGCACAAGGGGCCAAAGCACAGCACGGTGACACCATCAGCAGCTGCAGCAGCTGGAGTTCGATTCCCACATGGCGTTTCAGACCCCTCCTGT